CTATTCCCGAAAGGCCATCTCATAACTATCCACTTAGGAATGCAGAGCACGATCTTTATCTCCCAACCCCGAGCTCAGAACTAGTTAAAGGTTCAATACTGTACAATGCCAAAAAAATGTACAATCATCTGCCTTTGAATATCAAATCGCTTTCATTCTTTCCCGCATTTCGCAAAGCTCTAAAATCATACCTACTGAGAGAGCCCTATATGCGGTAAACGACTTTTTGTTGATGTTTAATAACGAACAATTTTGAATTTTAAAATTTTGATCATCTCACACACTGGTCAAAGGTCAAGTATTTAATATTTTATAACTTTAAAATTATATCTATTTACTGCGTACTGTTCTAAAATTGTCCATGTATATTCTTTTTGTAATTTTAAAGACTTAAATTTTTTTGAATTGTATTATTTGTATTGTGTATTTTTTGTTGTTTGTATTTTTTTTGTGATTTTGTTGTTTGTGAGTGCTTTGTCGATGAAGCTGTTTTGGCTTTTTGCACAATAAAGCGTTGTTTGTTTTGTTTGTTGTTTGAAACGACAAATCGAAATGTGCAAGAATTTGAAATAATTGGATCTGAACCATGTCTGAACGATAAACATTGTTTACCATATCCATTTTAACAAAAAAATGTTTATTACAGATTATCAAAGCTATATATAAAAAAGATTCTTTAAATTCCTTTCCGTATATTTTTAAACGATATATGCAATAATTTTGGCAATAAAGATGACAATAACACAGAGTTTAAAATAGGTAAAAAATTTTATAATAATTTAAAATTACTGGTTGAGGAATGTTGCTAGATATAAATCATAACAAGGATTTATCGAAATTTATTCGAAGAAGTAACCTTAAACCACTTAAACCTTGACCTAACAGCAGACACAGTATGTTAAATCTCTATCATAGGCAATCAAAATCACTGTCTTATTATTTTTCAAAGAAAATTTTCCATATATTTTCTGTGTCACTCTGAACCGAATGGGGATTCACAGTAATTGCAACTAAGGATAGTTTTGAAAAAATACCTTAAATCAGGAAAGGCATAACTCGAAATACCACTTTTTGTCCATATAGCCAGCCGTATATACTATATTAATTACGGAAATTTGCTTTAATTGGTGCCTACTATGTATACAAACCGACCGTAGAGCACTTTCTACACTTCTTGTTTTATGTAAATTTATTGGATACTGTTTTCAGAAATAGTACGAACAAAACCTGTTATTAAGTGTATTTTTTTTCAATGTGTTTTGTTTTCAATACCCTCCTAGGAGGTAGATGGCCATACATACATACATACTGCCATTACTCGCTGACGAGTATTTGACAAGCATCAGAAAATAGTTACGCAAAACGTTTTCTTTCATGAGCTTTTCTGTGACTAAAAAGCCCGATACGTGATGTTATCTGTCTACCGCACTCCGAGTTTACAATCCTTCTCCATTCCGTTCTATTGTGAGCTACTTCTTCCCACTCATTCTGCATATGCTTTAAGTTTTCGTGGAAAATACTCTTTTACCTTTTGAGTTGTCCACCCGGCCTCCTCTTACCGTCTACAAGCTCAGTGCAGCAGATATTTTGGTATGCGGTTTTCTTGCATTCTGCATACGTGACCAGCCCATCTTAAGCGGGACTTTGTAATCATTCAATACTCTCGCAGTTAGCTTTTCAAGAACTGATACGTTTGAGACATGATGGATTTGATTCTTAAGAGTTGTTTAAGATGTCTCTGTTGCAACTTGATTAATGCGTTCATATCTCGACGGTACGGCACCCAGGTTTCGCTTCCATATAACATGGTGGGAATTATTGTTGCTCAGTACACTGCAAGTTTCGTTTTTGTGCCCAAGTCATGATTGTAAAAAATCCTGTCTTTTAATTTCCAGAATGTTCTTGAGGCGCTGCTAATCCTGTGCTGAATCCTGTGCTACATATTCCAATAGTTGTTCTCCGATTTTTATAGCATTGTTGTGAACTTCCGGGGGAGTACACATTTCAGTTTTATCGATGTTCAACTTAAGTCCCAAAGCCTCGTATGCCCAGGTATATGTGTTCAACATTTATTGCCATTGCTGTAACGTATTTGCAACTAGAGCACAGTCATCAGCGTATTGAAGTTCTGTGATGAATTTTGTACCTGAGTCTTTTTATGTTGAACAGACCCAAGTAGCATTTTCACGACTTGCGACCACATGTTTACTAAACACAACGTTGGATTAGTTACAAAAAATAGTTAGTTCCGTACCTTGCGTATTAAAATAAATGTACCTAAACGTTGTTGTAACGTTGTGCCGACGATGAACTAGTATTACAACAAAGTAAAAGCTTCTGCGACGTCGAATAAACGTTGTCTTGTAACCTTTTTTGCTTAAGTGATCTTTAGGTGATTCGGACAACAATGTTGGGAAATAAAGAGTTTTCCGACGTCACTTTCAGGACCTATTCCAACATTATGCAAACGTCGTCTGTTTTACTAATTTCAACGTTATTTAGATTTCCTTATTCTTACGTTGGTAGGACGTCGAGCCACTACCTTTTTGCAACTGTATTGAACCATAACCTTAAATCTTAAATTTTCACTTCATTGTTCTGTCCAGTCAGACAGTTCAGTGCTATTTTTGTTTTTATAAAAAAAACTTAATTAAAATGGGACATAAGAAAGGTACATATAAAACTAAATTTAAATATACATCGACATATTACCGATACTTTATCCACTCCCTCGTTTATTTAGATTATAGAGGGCGGCATAAGCTAGACTCTAGGATGACTAAATTAGACAATCTTGCGACTAATATACTACCTATTAAGGCTGAACTGCGACTTGATTAGTCCAGTATGCGACTACTCGAACTACTCCATCTTAATCTCCAAAACAACAAAGTGAAAGCCGCCATGTTGTTGAATAAGAAAATGTTTCGTTCCTAAAATAGCAATTCCTGCTTTTTGAATACATTAACTTGAAATATTTGACCCTAAAAAACACGCGGAAACAATTTTTTCGACTGCGAATAAATTATTCTCATTTTACCAAAAAAAACAATTCAAGAATTTTTTAAAAACTTCTTTAATTTTAAGGCCCATTAGTATTTTTCAAAGTAGAAAAATACATTTATCAATAAAGTTGTGTGCGTTATTTAACTTTTTTGCTTTGGGTAACGCGAGTTACAGAGCCGGTTAAAGTGTTTCAAATTATGATCTTCAAACATCCTCCACACTTAAATACTTTTGTTTTGTTTTCCTTTACTGCCATCTGGCATACGTCTCTAACTAAATCATAAAAATAATATTTTTACTATAATTATCCCAATTTAGGATAAAACGCGACTTAGACACCATATTACTATAGTTTTGTATTTCTGTGAATTAGGATTTTAAACAACGTTGCAGTTTGTACTAAATTAGGGTGCTAGCCAACATCGGTATCCAACGTCGTTTCGACCCAAAAATTATTCTCCAAATTAATGCAGACTAGGGTTGGCACGAGGTTGTGCCGACGTTGCGCTCCGACGTTTGGTCGCGTTACACAACGTTGTCCCAACGTCCAATTGCTGCTTGGGGACTGCCGTCGTATCTGTGTCTAGTATTTAATAACCAACCCTCTCTCCTGCAGTTTGCTGTCCACTATAATGGAGAGCGCTGCCATGAATATGTTGAATAGGAGAGGCGCTAAGACACATCCCTGCCTAACTCTTGTGTTTGTTAGGAAGGGATCGCTCAGTGATCCATGATGTGACACTCTTGACTTGTTGTTGTTATGTAGAGGCTTTTACGCACTGTAAGAAATTTGTTGGGCACTCCGAACTTTCTCATAATTACCCAAAGCGCATCTCTGTTCACAGAGTCGAAGGCTTTTGTTAGTTACATGTCCACTCCTCGGAGGATGAACAGTTGTTGTCAGAGTTGTCATGTATAATGAGTTATAGACTGTAAGAGTTATAATTCAAGAAAGGGGGACACAATAGATCTTTAAGGTCGCGGTGATTAACTCCCATTCTACTCGTTCTCCTTTCTATAATGGCTGAGAAAAAAATACATAAAACTTCGTTAAAAGTAAGAGTCTAAAGGGGCGTCCAGACCGGATGAGCGAGCAAGAATTCGGGTATGTTCTATAGGAACGCCTAACTGGTGTGGACGGCTCTGCGAGCGAGCGAATGATTGCTTGCTCGCGCTCGACGCTGTTCCACGCCGTGTCGGTACATCAAAGAAAATTCGCGCTATTGCACGTTCGGTTTGGACGGGATTTTGTTTACCACGTTTGCGATCGAATATCAAAAATGGAATGACCGAATGAAGTTGTTTTAGAACTAATAGAGGAGTACAAAAATCGTCAAGATCCGTAAGGTTATAGCTAGCCTTTCTCTAGGTGAAATTGCTTTTCGGTAATTGGTATCACTTTTCATTATTTTCATGTCAATTAAATCTAATAAGGTATTAAAATCTGTAAGTGACATCCGACAAAAGTTCTTAAATTTTCCAGAATCTTCTGTTTCAGCATTGTTTAGTAAATTGTTACCACCATGAGAAACTCGGTTTTTAAAAATAATCTCCTCTGCAGTCTTTTTCTCTTTTGACGTTTCAACAATTTATAAAATACAGTGAAAGACGCACAGCAATATTTTTTCCGACATTATAAACTTATGAATATGAAGTGCCACACACCGATTAACGCCGAACATACAAATAATCGCTAGGTCTGGAAGGCAGCTGATCATGTACTCGAGAGCAGCAGAAATCGCGAATTTGAATAAATGTTTGCTCGCGCTCGTTACTGCTCACTCATCTGGTCTGGACGCCCCTTAAGAAACATAAAATTTTAAAGATCACAAGATCACAAGATTTGACCCAATCTAACTAACACGGCAATTTAATCAAAGCGTGTAATAAAACATCTGTATGAATTAATAATTTTCTTAGTAAATGCAAAATACTCTGGCCGATTTACCAACATAATTGGTCACGACTAAACTCAAATTGTCCAAGTTTATTTACCAAAGATGCCAACACTTAACCAGTTCCAACGCGACCGACTCTCTGTCAGTGCGGATCATTTAAAATTTGCGCAATTTTTCGTCAGGGTAAATTAACTTTTTACGCTAAAAATGTCGATTCCTATATGAATTCAATGACGCACTTGACGTTGTGAGAAGTTTGTGGTTTTATCCTAAGAAAATCAAAGTTCCTGTACATATAAAAATGTAAGATTTTCTTCATTTTGTCTTAGACGTTTAGAGATTACTTTAACAAGTGCTCAAGTGATCATAAAGGAAGAGAACAATGAAGAGGACATTGTGTGTTTTGTATTTTTACTTTATCTGTGTTATTTGTGGTGATAGTTACGAATATAAAGAAGGTAAATTTTGTGTTACTTTAATCAAGAGTAAAAAAAAATCATTATATGTTTTGTATTTTTAGTTTTTATTTATTTCTTCTGTAGTTTTTTTTAATATGTGAAGATATGTAAGTTATGTTCGGAATTTTCTGTACGTATTCTGACCCATCTGAACTGATCTATCTACAAACTATGAGATAAATAATATTAATAATCATTATTTTTTGTTCAAAATGACATGCACGCAAACAAGCAATACATTAACAGGATATACAGAGTGAATGAAAGAATAACAATGATATATGAGTTTGTAACAATCGATAATTTGCATTTGAATTTCTTCAAAAATAATCATTTTTTGGATTTAATTAAACAAGGATATTGAGACTTTTCGATACAAGATATTGTTGCTAAAATGATTAGATATTCATTAATTGTTATTGCTTGGGTGTACTTCGATGATCTACTATAGAGCTACAATAATTTAAAATTGTTTTCATAAGGTTCCGAATAAATAAAAAGCAACTAAAGTTGTATTTTCTAGATGACACATCCTGTATATTATTATATTTTTGCTTTTTACGATTCAAATTTACGAGGTAATAATGTTGTTTAAGAAATTACCTACTTTTATTATCTAAGAAATATTTACATTTTTATAAAGAAGGGCTATTTTAATACTTCATTTATTTTTCTATGTATATTTAAGTTTTTAAAACAAAACCATGCATTGAGGTTTTATTTATTTACTAAATACCCCTACTAAAATACTGCAACAATTAAAAAATTGGTACTACTACCCATTTATAACTTGTTTAATTTAAATGGAATATCCTGTATATTTTGAAACCACCCAATGCAAAATTTCATTAACTATAACTCTTTGGCTATCTCTTTATTATTTAGTACAAAATGCATCATCATCCTTATCATTTTGAGCTTACTCAACTCATGTTCAGATACTTTCTTTGTAGCCCATTGTAGATACTCTCTTTGTGAGCCCATTGTTGTCTATTGTTGACTATGCGGACCCATGTTATCCCTACTAATTTCCTAAAATCATGGTCCCATCTCAGGGTTTGGTCTTCTTCTAGGTATCTTAATTCCTCGTGGATATATTAAGAATCGCTTTTAAAACGTCCTTCGACGTTGTGCAATGCCTAGTCGCCATTGGTTTCTTTCATTCCAGTCTCCGTCACGCAGATCCCTTCAGCTCATCGCCTTCTTGACACCCCCCATCCAGTTTGTCCTTGGTCTTTCCCACTTCCTTCTCTTTTGTGGAAGCCAGTTTAGTACCTTCTGAGGCAGTCGCGTGTTGTCCATCCTTCTCACATGTCCATATCACCTCAGTTGGGCACTCTCTATTTCCTATACTATAGTTTTTTGTCTACCCATTTTGTCTCGTTTCGTACTCTATCCAGTCTTGATGGTCGTGCTGATCTCCTTATCGCGTCCATTTCTGCTGCCAGTAATTTTCTTTTGTTATTCTCTGTTAACCTCCATGTTTCCGCCTCAAATAACAGATCGCTCTTGATTATTGTATCATAAATTCTTAGTTTTCTGTCTTTACCTATTTCGTTACTCCAGAGTATATTATTCAGATATTTTATTGCATTTCTTGACTGTTCTCGAGCTTATTTCGTTTTCATGTTTCCCGGATTTATCGAAAGTAACGCCTAGGTATTTGTATTCGTTACATGTTTGTATGTATTTTCTCGTGTGTACCATGCTGTAATTTTTGTGGTCCATCTGTTGTCCGTCCTTCTTGCCAGGTGTCCTGCCCATTCCCCTTGAGGGATTTGATTCTGTTGACATTTATTACCTGGGTCTTTTGTCGTATCTACTCTATTCTTTTACGGTCTTTCTTGGTTATTCCCAGCATATTTCGTCCCATTGAACGCTGTGTGGTTGGTTATTTTTAATCCTTTGTTGGTCCAGGTCCAGTTGACGGAGGATTTCTTCTAGTGTTGCTGTAAACAGCTTTGGGGATATCGCGTCTCCCTGTCGTATCCCTTTGTCAGTTGGGAACTCAGGGGTTGTTGTTTTATATATAATTACTCTTGCTATGACTTCATAGTATACAGGGTGGTCCGAACTGTATTCCGGAAACTTCGGCAGCATATTCTGCAGATAAAAATAAGTAAAAATGTTCGTATAGATGTATGTCAAAAAATGCTTAGTTTCGGAGATACAGGGTGTAAAAGTAATGTCAATATTTGGATTAAAATTGGTGTTTGGGAATTTTTTGATATGAGAAATTTTAATGTCAATATGACTCCTAATTGCAGGGTGGGCCACCTACATGTGCTTTAACTGTTTTGAAGAGTAATAACTTTTCTCGTCCGTACCTGTATAAAACTACTGTGTAAAAAATATACATTTACGACGCTTTTTACGTAAAAAAGGTCTCTTGGTAAAAATCGCTACGAGTAATGGTTTTCGAGATATTTGCAATCGAAATTATCAATACCTGTCATCACTGACATAAATTAAACATGTTGACTAAATAGTTATTAGACACATTGATACCCTTGGAGAAATGAAGCTTTAAAATTTTTACTGCAATTTCACAAAATTGAAAATATTTCAAAAACGGTAATGTTTATGTATAATAAACCTTAATCACATTTACCTTTATTTTAATCGTAGAAACTAAAAATGTTGTAATATACAGGGTGTTCCATTTAAAAAAATACAACTTTGATATTTTTTATTTATTTGGGACACTCTGTACCTTGTAAAAATATTTTTAAATTGTAGCTCTAATAGTCCTTCAACGAACCCCAAACTTACAATTTGTAAAAATCTCATCGTTTAGCTACAATACTCCGTGTCGTATGTGGTGAACAACCCTGTATACATAGGTACTAAAAATAAACAATATGCTATACACTGTTACTTTTTTTTATTTGCATTAATTTAGAGGAATCCGAACAAACGCATTTGTGTATTTACATTTTAAATTGTCGCTAATTATTGAATAATATTATCATACCTTAAGATGAAAGAGATACAAACTTACCTATAAAAATAAATTCTCTGACGCAAACCTAGGTACAAGATTTAATACTGCTTAATTATTTTTGTCGTTATTATTTTATCTTTACTATTATTTTTTTTTTAGTTAGAGATCGATATTTGTTTACAGTTTGTTTATTCCAATACTCGGAAGTATGGAATTTAATGAAACATCTGGTAGATACAATGTCTGTGATTTATTATCAACAAAATAGAAAACCCAAAACATACTAAATCGGGAAATATCAAATAAAACAAAATATTTATACACACTTTTATGTTCAAGATATATAATACTCTGATATTTTTAAAATAATATACCCTTCTTTCGTTTATTTCTTAAATTACTACTCAAATTTGCATAGGGTGTATTCTCATTTAATCTAAAATATCTTAACTATGCCTTAACAAATACTTTCATTTTAAATTTGTTCTTGCAGAAGGATCATCATGTGTTCAGTTAGGAAGTCCTGGGATATGCAAAAGGATAACAGAGTGCGAGGAAGCAATGGATTCGTTGAAAAGACATGGGAAGCATGACCTTTTGAGGTGTGGATTTGTTAAAGATGAAGAGGTAGGTAATATTCACAGTCTTCCAAAATAAATCAAAATTTACTCATTACTCCGAAAATATGCTTGAATACCTATGTTTTTCTAAGCTTTTTAAGTTATTGTTTTTTTTTTCTTCTAACTAAAAAAAAAGAAAAATGTGTCGGCTATTTTTTTACAAGCTATTTGCCTTGCTTGTGTTGGTTGAGTCAAAATCTGGTCAGTTTAGTGTAGTACTCGGTAGTACCTAATCAGGTATAGGTACGGTATTTTCATTTTTGATGTAGATATAATATACAGTGTGGTCCGAACTGTATTCCGTAAACTTCGACAGTACATTCTGCAGATAAAAATAAGTAAAAAAAGTTCGTATAAATGCATGTTCTAAAATACATAGTTTCGGAGATACAGGGTGTAGAAGTTTAATTTTTATTTTGATAATATTTTCCAAATAATTCCTGAAGAAACGTCAATATTTGTATAAAACTTGATAGGAGAAATTGGATTTTGATGTCAATATGACTCCTACTTGTGGAGGGCGTCATCTTATTTTTTAACTGGTATGAAGAGCAATAACTTTTCGTCCCAACCTGTATAAAACTACTGAGTAAAAAATATACATTTGCGACATTTTTAACGTAAAAAGGTCTCTTGGTAAAAATCGCTACGAGTAGTGGTTCTAGAGATATTTGGAATTGAAATTATCAATACCTGTCATCATTGTCATAAATTAAACATATTGACTAAATAATTATTAGACTAAAACCATAAGTTTGAAATGATTTTGTGTCAAAAGTTCAACAGAAACTGTTGTACCCTTTGAATAAGAAGACTAAGGAAGGAGCATATCAAAAATCTTAGGTACACCGCGATGGGCCTCAAATATGGCCGACTGAAATTCCGGTTTATCAATGTCGTTCTAATTTTATTTAAAAAATGTAAAACTATGATGTAGGGTAGACGTGGGGTAGACTCAATAATTTGTTGTTTTATTTTACGTTGTGAATAAATGTTGGTAGTTATTAAAATTGTTATAAAAATATATAATTCTAATAAAAATAGATAAGTTATAATAAGTATTTATTAACACAAACATCCGATACGCTACTGAAGCAGGTAAGTCAAATTAACGTATCTAAATTCTTTGACATCTAATCTTTGACAAGTAATAAATAAAAGCTAAAATGCAAGAAAAATATATAATGTAGTTAATTTAAGTGAATTTCATAAATGATCGGTTTACTACACGTATGTATATTATATAGTCACTTACTAGCGAAAAGTTGTTCCATTATTTCACTCAGTTTTTGCCGAGATCTACCGCACGCCACACAACCAACTATTTTAGAGTCTTTTTCGATAAATCGCGATAGTGTCACTGTTAATTTAAGTTCTGCCACAATTTCCATCTAGATTTACTACCTTTATACAGCTATCAGTAGTAGAATAAATAATAAATAACATAAAATAAGCTCCGTAAAGACTGACAAATCCACAAAATTTCAAATCAAATTCAAATGTGTCAAATGAATCGTCAAACAGAACTGTCAAGGATCCCCACCCTAGAGAGCTTTTATGGTGGCTTTTCCGCCCACCATGCATGAATACATGGATAGCATTATGCTCCTTCCTTAGTCTTCTTATTCAAAGGTTGTACCTATCATTATTTTTTCATCAAATCTATGATTAATTCAAAAAAATAAAAAGTTTTCAAATTTATCATCTCAGTCAAAGAACTATCTACTCAGCATGTTTATTTTTTGTCAATAATAACATGTATTGCATATAATTAAAACGACTGCTCGTAGCAATTTTTACCAAGAGATATTTTTTACGTAAAAAATCACGGAAATGTAATTTTTTTCACTCAGTAGTTTTATACAGGTACGGACGAAAAGTTATTACTCTTCAAAACAGTTAAAAAACACGTAGGTGGCGCTCCCGACAAACAGCAGTCATATTGACATCAAAATCAAATTTCTCATGGCAAAAAACTCTCAGACACCAATTTTCATCCAAATAGTGACTTCAGAAATTATTTAGAAAAAGTCGAAATAAAAATGAAACTTTTACACCCTGTATATCTCCAAAACTAAGCATTTTAGGACATTAATTTATATGAACTGTTTTACTTATTTTTATCTGCAGAATATGCTGCCGAAGTTTCCGGAATACAGTTCGGAACACCCTGTAGATTATTTGATAATTAACAGTAATTTTTATTTATTAATGATAAGGGAAAGATTTATATTTTAGGCAGTTTCCATATCTCGACTAATATGATTGATATTATAATTAGAGGAGTAAAAATCTTTCCCCAATAATTTTAGAATATTTCTTAACATACCTATCAAAACTTTAGTATTGTTGCGATTTGTTAATGACAAGTCACTTTGTTAATATCTTCAGTGTAGAATGATACTTTTACCTATTAAGTTATTCTCGTTCAAGGTTCTCTTTTCTGTTTACAAGCACTTTACGTAGAGCACTTTAAATACCAAATTATGACATCTTTAATATTTTAAGAGATGATTTTAGTTATCGACAGTGTTTTTACGTTAATTACTAAGTATAAGGTATTTTCAAATTTACCGAGAAAAATCAATCGAAAAGATTTTTTAAAAAAGTCTTAGTACTCTATTGATAAGTTTGTCAAAAGTACTACCAACATTTCCAAGAATATTGCAAAACTTTATAAAAATATTACAATTTTTTTAGGTGGTTTGCTGTCATGGATTCTTTTTTGACCGAAATCCTACGATAGAAAGAACGACAGTAGACAGTAGAACAGTGTGGAGCACTAATGACATTGATGATGGCAAAAAACCAAACGGGAAACGCATGAGTGAAAGAAGTAAGTATAGTTCATATAAGGCCATCTACCGCCTTTCCGGCCAAAATATTCTAATAAAGTTGCGATGAGTTTTTTACGGCTATTAAGCTATCTTTTACACTTCGCACTAAAAGAGGTTGTAAAAAGAACAATGTTCGACTGCAAGGTCTGCTAGTAAAAATTTTCAAGCTTAAATTATCACAACACAATAATTCATTTAAATCAAAAACTCGTAATACAAAACTAAAGTGTCAAAACGAATAAAAATGTCAGGAAATAAATAAATAAATGTGGCAACCTGGCATTTTTTACAGGGGAGCTACCTGAATCTACAGCAGGAAATTTAAATCCCAGTTATGGTAGTATCAGACACAGCTACTTTTGTTGCGCAATTTTTTTTCAGTCGCTAGTCGTTGCAAAAGTTGCATACAGTGTTCATACACCAGCAGAAAGTAGCCCAAAACGAAATGCAGCAGCTGCCTAAAAAAGTTTTCATATGTTCAAACCAAAGCGCTACTTTTGCAACATATTTTTGTAGCCGCAGCCTTGGAGGGGCAACATTCAACAGTACATGACAGTACACCACCCACAGCTCAAGGTATCGTGTGTGTACCGTTTGGAAGACGATGTGAATTTTCTTTTTTATGTCTTCATCGGGTATATGTAAGAAATACAAAAGGCTATTAAAACTCTTAAGAACAATAAAGCAGCCGGCCCCGATAGCGTCCCTGCAGACCTCCTTAAAGCAGATCCTAGCACAGCAGCAGATATACTGCATCCTCTAATTACACGAGCTTGGGTATCTAACATCATCCCAGATGACTGGAAACAGGGTCTCATTATTAAACTCCCTAAAAAAGGAGATACCACTAACTGTGACAACTGGAGAGTATTGTTTTGTTAAACACCATTCACAGGATAATATCCTCTATAGTTCATTTAAGGTTAAACTCCTATATAGAGCCTCTGAGAGAGAACCAAGCTGGTTTCCGACCGAACCACTCGTGCATTGACCATATTAACACATTGCGCATTATCATAGAGCAGTCAATAGAATTTAGGTCACCTTTATTCTTATTATTCATAGATTTCGTCAAAGCTTTTGACAGTATCCCCCATGCGATGGTATGGAAAACTCTAAAAGAAAAAGGTGTTCCGGAAAAACTAATTAATATAATCAAGGAACTCTACAGAAACACAGAATGCAATGTGCTGCACAACGGTAGAACAAGCGACAGTTTTAACTTAGGGACAAGAGTAAAGCAGGGTTGCACTATTTAATATCGTACTCGACAGCGTTTTGACTAAAGCCACAGCAAACATTAGGGGAGTACAATGGACTCTGACATCGCATCTGACGGATCTTGATTATGCTGATGATATCTGTCTCACAACGCAATCCTTCAAAGACATGGAAGTGATGCTCACACGTCTAAAAACAGAAGCAGACAAAGTAGGATTAAGCATAAACATCGACAAAACAAAGTCAATGCGCATTAACACAAACAACAGCACTCCATTCAATGTAGGAATCAAACATGTCGAGAATGTAACAGAGTTTACTTACCTGGGAAGTATTGTAACAGCAAACGGTGGCGCAGACGCGGATATTGTCAGCAGGATCAGGAAGGCGCAGCGAGCCTTTGGCCAACTAAAATCGGTTTGGACGTCCCGTCAACTCTCCATACAAACAAAATTAAGAATATTCAATTCCAACGTCATACCAGTTTTATTATTTGGCTGCGAGACATGAAGAGTGACAAAAATATCCATCAACCGTCCACAGGTGTTTATCAATCGCTGCTTGCGGAAAATACTTAAAATCTTTTGGCTAGACACTATACGTAACACCGACCTGCTTCATCTTACAAACCAACAAGAGGTAGGCATTGAAATCCGCGAAGGAGAATGGGATTGGATAGGTCACACTTTGCGGAAACCTGATAGTAATATAGCGAAATCTGCGTTGGAGTGGAATCCCCAAGGAAAAAGAAAGCAAGGACGACCTGCTCAAACATGGAGACGTTCCATACTGGATGAGCTTCAACAAATAGGGTCAACATGGAAGGAAGCAAAAACAACTGCCAAAAACAGAACCCGATGGAGAGCTTTCACTGAAGCCCTTTGCTCCGCGTAGGAGATCCTATATATATCGGGTATATGTAATTCAGAAGAAATTTCCGAAATAGCGGCTCGTCTTTTCGTTTGGATGTGATAGAATGACTTTTTACGTTCCATAAACACTCATCCCTTGCTTCTACCGCTTCTATCAAACATTTTACTTGTTCTCTGTTCCAAATCCCTTGTTTTGACTTCGACAACATCATAATTTGTCGGTTAATTCTTTACTAAATACCACATATAAATCCTGGAGTTAACTGAAAAAAAAGTATATACGTTTCGGGCATACCAACAGAATACTGCACCAATGTCCGCAGTAAAAGTTTCAACTGATTAGTAATCTTTTTGCTGCACTTGCAACCTTCATCAACAAATGTTCACACACGGCTATTTCTTAAACTGCGCGCAACAAAAAGTATCCTACGCAACCAAGCTGCGATCACAACGTTACAGGTTGCCTAGGTATTCATACTTGCAGCAGATCAAGTTGCGCAGTTTTAACAAAGCTGCGCAACAAAAGTAGCTACGCTGAAAAAAGGATCTCTCAGTCGAAATGAATATGACTTTGACCCAAAAGATTGGCGCTTTCAATAGGGCCACGAACGACGTTTCTTTACCCAAAGCATTAACTATCTTTTCATAAGCTTTAAAAAATTACTTTAGAGAATAGAAGAATCTATCTGTCCAAAGTATTTCACTCTTGACCCAAAATGAATATGCAAAGAAGCTCTTGCTACAAGAACAATAGCCTCTTTGATTCATACAAAATTTTTGATTGAAAAGGGACATTTCTTGATTAAAGAAACACTTTTCTTAAACCAATAGCGAATACTATTGACTCAACTAAAATTTATTTTGATCTAAGAGAAGTCTATACTTCATATACAGGCATATTACGAGGTATATTGTTTTCTGATAAATTTAGGTTTTCCTGGTCTGTAGTAAGTAAAGTGATATTATTTTCCTCGATTCGATAAGTAGTTATTTTGCTTCTTCACTCCTTGGTATTTTTTGGGGTGGTTCATCACTCTACAAATTACAAAAAATGTTACATCACGATTAATCAAAGTAAAGCAAATAAATTATTAAAATTATACGCTTTGGTCACATTTTGAATTTTTAATACGGCGACTAGAAATTCTAGAATTTTTGTAATTATTTGCATAAAAAAATCGATTCCTATATTCTATTCTATCTATAGTCACGCATGTATTATCTAAACAAGTGCATTAGGTAAATGTCTCTTACCTTCAAATATAGCAAATAAATGCTCTAATTTCCATTTTTTCAGAAACTCCTTTAAAGAATCCATATATCCTAAAATTTGTCCATAAAAAATGACAAATGCATGTTAATAACGATCACTAAATTGTTATACGATATGCGTTTAAAAAGCAAATTATTCAAAATTCCAAGTGGAAAATTCCAAGCAACAAAACCCGTGCGTACTATGATGTGCGACCTATGAAATGCGACGTACGACTGATCGGACTGCCAACTGATTGTATATACCGTCCTTCGTCATCGTCTTTGCGTGACGTTACTATTTTTCATCAAAAGAGTATTTAGCTATTGGAAAAATGGCCATGTTTCTTGAATGAAGTACTTCCTAGCGTATTTTTCTTATTATCTTAAAACAAAGTAACTTGCACTTGGTTGAATGAAAATAGATTCAAGAGAAATTTTCGAATTTTTCAAGAGAACCAGTTTTCTTGAGTTAAGAGAGTTTTTCTTCAGGCAAAATATTTTCTTTTACGCAAAAATAAATTCTCTTGGCACTAATTTTTTTTTCAAGAACGATGACGACTTTAGTTCAAGTCTACCTTTTTTATCAGTGTATGTCTCTATGTACTATACCTTTAGTCAGCCCGGCGCCGGCGTCGAATAAGTTGATGGTGGGCAACAATGAATTTAAAAATCGGGTTTTCGATGACGTAATTAAAAGCTTAATTGGTATCGAATATAGGTTCATTTATCTCAAAAATATAAATAAAAAATATATCAACATATTCGATTTTTTTAAATATGTCTTTACGCTAATATGTGTTATAAATGAAATAACGATCGATGACATTCCCCATATAATTTCCCATATAAAATGACAGCGATCTTCATTTCATAGTCATTGCTGACACCGTTTTTTTTCGATCGTATACTTAAAACCTAAATCAGTAACTTCTTAATTATTTTATGTATATTTACAATTTGTTTAATTATTTTCAGTGTGTGACAAATATATAAAAGAATATAAGATAAAACCCGAGATAAATTTCCATATAATCAACGGAGAAGATGCTAAAATTGGCAGATTTCCCCATATGGTAAGATTTTTTTGTTCTATACTCAACAATAATAACAATATTGTACCTAAAAAGCTTAAAAAACAACTTTTTTAATGACTATTTTAAATAAATAATGGGTTAAAATTCAAGGGAGTCGGGACAAAATTCATAAATAGGAAAATCAACATTCTGAATTATTTTATTTTATTTTAGGCCGCTTTAGGTTTTCGAAGCGATTCCGACGAGAATATAATAGAATTCAACAGATGCTCGGGATCACTAATTTCAACCAAATTTGTCCTAACAGCGGCCCACTGTATGTTCTGTGCCATCTGTAAAAACCCAGTGTTGGTTCGGTTTGGAGTGATCAACATCACGTAAGTAAAGGATACAGGGTGTCCCAATATTCCGTGGACATCGAACAACTACGTATTTTTTGAATCAACATAAGTTTGTTGCGCACTATTTACCTCTATACAAAAGTACTTCGTTTATCCGTTAGAGGGCACCAATTAAAAATAAATTTGAACGGTCAAAATCGGTCGTCGGTGGAGTTGGAAAATATTTATACTAAAATTTATGTAGGGTGGGGTTAGTTTTCTCGTACTTTTTCTTGATATACATATACAGGGTGGTCCAAACTGTATTCCGGAAACTTCGGCAGCATATTCTGCAGATAAAAATAAGTAAAAAAGTTAGTATAAATGTATGTCCTAAAATGTTTAGTTTCGGAGATACAGGGTGTAGAAGTTTCATTTTTATTTCGATTTTTTAAAATCGAAATGTAATGTAAGTAATGTAATGTAAGTAATAAACTCATGTATACAGAGTCGGTCACAAAGTCGTGGCACATCAAAGTTTCATATTTTTAAATGGAACCCTCTGTATATTATTGCATATTTCAATTCTTCCTTCAATTCTAAGCAAAAATCGAAACCACGTAATGTACCTCAAACCAACTGTTTCCGAGTTATTGACTTTTGAACATCATTTAAACAATTCGATTGAAAATTTAATATTGATATGTTCAGTTTCATTTAATGATGTCATTCTGCCGAAACTGTGATACTATTGCAATGGTTTTTTAAATGCCTATTAGCTACTAGTAAATTTAAATATACAGGGTCGATCATAAAGTGGTGGCACATCAAACTTTATTTTTATTAAATGAGACTTGCTGTATATTATTGTATATTTTCAAGTGATATTTTCAAAAGTCAATAACTCGGGAAAGGTTGGTTTGAGGTACATTGTGTGTATTTCGATTTTTTTTTAGAATTGAAGGAAGAATTGAAATATGCATTAATATATAGGAGGTTCTATTTAAAAAAAAACTTTGATGTGCCACGACTTATGACCGACCCTGTATAGCAAAATAAAAACACTAAAAGAACATTTTAAACGAACAAAACACTTTAAAGAACATTTAGCTCAGATAAGATATGGTAGACCGGATAAATCTTGCGTTGCCGAACATATTGTTGATAATGAACATTGTATAGATCTTAATAATTTCTCAAATTACAGGCAATTAGATGCATATGAAAGCATCAGAATTAATAAATGTAAAGATAGTATGAACAGAGTCAACGGTCCAATTCCTTCAAGTTCTTTGTTCCTACTACTCTAGTGGCGGAAATCTAACTGTTACGCTCAGTTGGCTAGATTTTGCCACGCCCACTCGGTGCCCACTGAGCGAGTATATAAACGCTCAACTTGTAGATTGTACTTTAGTTTATAATCATCTGCTGATGATGCTAACATGGTTAGCGAAACGCGCGTCCAGTGTAAAACTAAAAGTGTTTTGGTGTATTGTGGTGATTTAGTGTTTTTATTTTGCTGTGTAACACCAAAGGTTCCAACCCTCAACTGTAATCGACCCTGTATACATGAATTTATTACTCGCTCATAGATATTTAAAAATTCTATAACTTTTATATTTAACATTTTGTGCTACCTCCTATATTTTACCTAATAATGGACCGTTTCCATACATAACAACGACCCTGTATATCAAAACAGAATCGGAGCTTTGTTGATGTAAAAGATAAGTCTTATTTTTACGTGAGGAATCTCCTCACGAGAAATGGCACATGATTTTTGAAACATCCTGTATTTATATTTCTCTCTTTTTAGTTCAAGAATAAAAAATTAAAAGAATCATCTACCAAACACTTGAATCAACTATCGCAAAAATTTATATAGTACCAAAGTAAAATATTCTTTGATAGTACTCACTGAGAACATACCGTACGATCGGAAAAAAACAGCGCCCAGGTGGCTTATAATTTTACATATAAAATGACAGCGATATTCATTTCAAAGCTATCTCTGACGCCGTTATTTAATTCATATTCATATTATGAAAACTAAAAACATGTCGGTTTTAGTGATACTAAGGACGCACAAGATATAGAAGTAAAAAACATAATACTGGGAGATTACAACTACACGTCAAAGCACAACGATATCAGCTTGATCGAGCTGATGAAGGACGTAACAACATCCAGGACAGTCTATCCAGCTTGTTTGTATACCTCGCCTGATGATCCTATTAGTTTGATCATAACTGGATGGGGAAATACAGGTAATATAATGGCTACAGAACAATATAAAATGTGTCCCATTTAGTAGCCCAAGTAGCATTTTCACGATTTGCGACCACATGTTTACTAAACGCAACGTTGGATTAGTTACAAAAAATAGTTAGCTCCGTAGCTTGGGTATTAAAATAAATGTAAACGTTGTTGTAACGTTGTGCCGACGTTGAACTAGTACTACAACAAAGTAAAAGCTTCTGCGACGTCGAATAAACGTTATCTTGTAACCTTTTTGCTTAAGTGATATTTAGGTGATTCGGACAACGTAGTTACAATGTTGGGCAATAAAGAGTTTTCCGACGTCACTTTCAGGACCTATTCCAACGTTATGCAAACGTCGTCTGTTTTACTAATTCCAACGTTGTTAAGATTTCCTTATTCTTACGTTGGTAGGACGTCGAGCTACTACCTTTTGCAACTGTATTGAATCATAACCTTAAATCTTAAATTTTCACTTCATTGTTCTGTTAAGTCAGACAGTTCAGTGCTATTTTTGTATTTATAAAAAAAAATTAATTAAAATGGGACATAAGAAAGGTACATATAAAACTAAATTTAAATATACATCGACATATTACCGACACTTTATCTACTCCCTCGTTTATTTAGAATATAGAGGGCGGCACAAGCTAGACTCTAGGATGACTAAATTAAGCAATCAGTATATACTACCTGTTAAGGCTGAACTGCGACTTTATTAGTTCAGTATGCGACTACTCGAACTACTCCATCTTAATCTCCAAAACAACAAAGTGAAAGCCGCCATGTTGTTGAATAAGAAAATGTTTCGTTCCTAAAATAGCAATTCCTGCTTTTTGAATACATTAACTTGAAATATTTGAGCCTAAACAACACGCGGAAACAATTTTTTCGACTGCGAATAAATTATCCTCATTTTACTAAAAAAATTCAAGAATTTTTTAAAAATTCTTTAATTTTAAGGCCCATTAGTATTTTTTAAAGTAGAAACAATACATTTATCAATAAAGTTGTTTGCGTTTAACTTTTTGCCTTGAGTAACGAGTTACAGAGTCGGTTAAAAGTGTTTCAATAATTATGATCTTCAAACATCCTCCACACTTAAATACTTTTGTTTTGTTTTCCTTCACTGTCATCTGACATATGTCTCTAACTAAATCATAAAAATAATATTTTTACTATAATTATCCCAATTTAGGATAAAACGCGACTTAGACGCCATATTAGTTTTGTATTTCTATGAATTAGGATTTTAAACAACGTTGCAGTTTGTACTAAATTAGGCTTCTAGCCAACGTCGGTATCCAACGTCGTTTCGACCCAAAAATTATTCTCCAAACTAGTGCAGACTAGGGTTGGCACGAGGTTGTGCCGACGTTGCGCCCCGACGTTTGGTCGCGTGACACAACGTTGTCCCGACGTCCAAATGCTGCTTGGGAGAGTAAAGCTTTTCAAAGATGCGGTTTACACATCACTGTGCTTTTGTTATGAAACTTAAATGACTCTTCTTTGATTTCTGGTAGTACAGAATCAATGTATAAGTAATGTTAAGTCTATGACCCTCCATTTTGTAATATATTCATTTTTTTTCTCTCTGTAGTAAACACGCAAAGGAATGTACGCCCGGCAGTGTTGCAGCAAGCAAGAATTGCACCAGTTGAAGTGGCAGAATGCAACAGCACCTTCGCAAGAGTGGATAAGGTTTCCCCAAAAGTGATAATGCATACCCAAATCTGCGCTATTTCAGAAAGCGATGCTTGTGAGGTAAGTTCCTCACTGGATAAAAGAAACACAGTTATTCAAGTTTGAAAATGCACCACCGTGTATCTAATCTCAAGCTAGAATATTAATTCCAGTTATACAACAGTTATACCTTGTGAAAACTGCATTTAAATTTTTTTTTTCTTTTATGTTACAGGGTGATTCAGGTGGACCGCTACAGGTGGTTAGAAAAGATGGCGCCTATGGAATAGTAGGAATCGTCTCCTTCGGGATTGGCTGTGGCACTAAAATACCGGGTGTGTACACAAGGGTGTACACATTCTTGGATTGGATAGAACAAAAAGTATGGCCCGGTTAAATAAATTATTTGTATAGAAAAATTGACTTTTTTTATTATTTACTTAGAACCTTTTCTAGAATTTCTGAGGATATTCTTAGGATATTATAAACAAACAGCGTTCATATTTAAAATAGTTTATTTGGTCCATCCATAACCAACAATTTCATATACATACAACTATCTAACTTAAATATTATATCGTGCTTAGAATGAAGGCACATATCACAGTAAAAAAGGTTGAACATACACGAATATAAGAAGAAAAAGTTACAATTATTTTAGTTTGTCATAACAAAGTTTAGATTAACTTATAAAGAAATAGTAGAAGTTTATACATAAAGAAATACTGGAACCTAAAACTATGTATATTAATTATAAAAGTTTTAAATGTATACAGGCCATTTTATAAATATGTAGTCTCCTTCAAAAATATATACAATATAACATAAGGAATAACTAATAGTTAAGGAATAAGTATACTATACTTTATTTAACTCCTTCCTATAATGACATTTAGTTAACAAATAGATTCATTTAATAATAACTTTTTTAGAGGATAAAACAATTTCTTATTTTAACATATTTACAGAAGTATACTTGAAGAAATGTTACTTATGAAAGTATAAAATATACTAAGGGGCTGATGGGAAAGGTTAGTCTTGGGTTGAGATTTCCGTGTGTAAGAAAAGTACAACGTGTTGATAGTGTACTGAACAGAGAGAGAACAGTAAAAACGTTGCCAAACGTATGAAATAAAACGAGAAACTCTGCACTGTGGAATTGAGTTGGTGTTCGACAGTGGTCGCGCTATTAGAACGCTGAATTCAGAAATCGATATCTCGAAATCCATTAGAAACGATTGATTGTATAGTAAACGCCACGAATATTTGGGAGTGATTCGTCGCTTGATGAAGTTAGAATCGACACGCGCGCAATCATTTTTACATTAAAAACGTAAATTTTTACCGCAGACGTAGGTTTTTAAAGACCCGGTCTAATCATCTGCCTGCGCTCCTCCTTATTCTAAAATGTTAGCGTGATTGACAAAGACGATACTATATCGCGTTTCTTTGATTGATTCGTTTTTGTGCGTCAGTCCATTGGTGTGCTTGCAGTGCGACCAATGGGGCATTCCATTTTATATTTATAACCAAATATATGTTTTGACAAGACTTTGACAGTTAAAACAACAAATTACAACCTTTGAATAAGAAGACTAAGGAAGGAGCATATCAAAAATCTTAGGTACACCGCGATGGGCCTCAAATATGGCCGACTTAAATTCCGGTTTATCAGTGCCGTTCTCATTTTATTTAAAAAATGTAAAACTATGATGTAGGGTAGACGTGGGGTAGACTCAATAATTTGTTGTTTTATTTTACGTTGTGAATAAATGTTGGTAGTTATTAAAATTGTTATAAAATATATAATTCTAATAAAAATAGATAAGTTATAATAAGTATTTATTAACACAAATATCCGATACGCTACTGAAGCAGGTAAGTCAAATTAACGTATCTAAATTCTTTGACATCTAATCTTTGACAAGTAATAAATAAAAGCTAAAATGCAAGAAAAATATATAATTTAGTTAATTTAAGTGAATTTCATAAATGATCGGTTTACTACACGTATGTATATTATATAGTCACTTACTCGCGAAAAGTTGTTCCATTATTTCACTCAATTTTTACCGAGATCTACCGCACGCTACACAACCAACTATTTTAGAGTCTTTTTCGATAAATCGCGATAGTGTCATTGTTAATTTAAGTTCTGCCACAATTTCCATCTAGATTTACTACCTTTATACAACTATCAGTAGTAGAATAAATAATAAATAACATAAAATAAGCTCCCTAAAGACTGACAAATCCACAAAATTTCAAATCAAATTCAAACGTGTCAAATGAATCGTCAAGGATCCCCACCCTAGAGAGCTTTTATGGAGCCTTTTCCGCCCACCATGCATGAATACATGGATAGCACTATGCTCCTTCCTTAGTCTTCTTATTCAAAGATTACAACAGATTATATATTGATTATTATAATGACTTGAAACACCACGGCACTGGAATTAAGTTTTATGTGACCTTGAACAGATTAGTTCACATGGTAGCGACCGATAAACTCTCAAACATTCGTGGCGTTTACTATAGTTTTTTTTGCCAAAAACTTTCTAAATATTTCTGCTATATTTTCTTCGCAGAGAGTATGTGAAAATCTTCATAAATAAAAAAGTTACATGATTGCTGAAAACTGATATGCACTCAAAGTAAATGGATGGGTTTTTTTAAAATTTTGAATGAAAAAAAAACAAGCCTATCGGATTTTTCTTATTTAAACATCTTGTAAAAGATCCGAATTTCAAAATAAAAAAAGTTTTAATATCTAAAGTGGTTCTTGAGTTATCGCGTGTTATGTGTTAAAAAGTTGAGTTTTTAAAGTATCGCGATTACTGAAGTTTAGACACCTTAACGATATCCTTATAATTCCATTTCAGATGCCCAGAAACATATCTAATGATTTTATCTAGTTAAATTTTCGAAAAAAAAGTCTTTTAAAAATAAGCGGTTTGCGATCGTGATTTTACTTACCTACCTTAGGGCAAAGAGTAGATAAGACAAGAGACGACAGTTCGCGCGGTACCTTTCATGTTTGAGTGGTGGGGAGAGTGACCTCGTCTCGCTTGTCCCTTTTAATTTTCGTAATTTTTTCGCGGGAAATTTGAAACAGACTATTATTAAAACTTGCTTGTATACCTTATAAATAGTTAGGTACTGTATGGGTAAAGAAATAAATAGAAACGAAAAAAAGTGAGTTTTCTAAATATTATATAAAATAAATTATAATTAGAAACATATTTGTCGGGGAATAAAGATAATAAAAGCAATATTTTGTATATCGTTGGTAAACAAGATAAAGTGACCAAGTCGATTTGTAAGAAATGTTTTATTTACGTGTATTTTTTTTACATATGGACTTGAACAAGTGTAAAATCACAATGTGGAGGTTATGTACAAAAAAAACAGAGTTGCTCAATTTTTTTTAAATATATTACAAGCTTCTAACCATGTCTTCGATCTATGGATTACATTTAGTTTAATAACATAATTATATAGTATATTTCTATAAAAATACTTTTCAGGATCCTTTGGAAAAGAGTGAAATATTATGTTTGTCGAAGAATAAGACCTACTTTTGTAGTCTTTATAAGCACACACATTGCCACCATCTCGTTTTTTCCTGCTACTCGTGTCCTGTTCAGTATTCATATTTAACAATATTTACAAATTAGTACGCAACAAAAACGATACTAAAATTAAACCTTAAAAACTCTCAAAACGATAATATATCGAAAAACTCTGAAAACACACTTTAAAAGGCAAAATGCAAAGAAAACAACTAATCAGATTTGTTTATGTTTAAGCCTGATTAGCACAGCTGATTAGCGTCCTAAAATCATAGGTTAGATTAGATAAAATACGCCGTTGTCAGATTTTGAGATTTTATCTGTTTATCTTTGAAATCGATCAACTTATAAGTCATTCTGTTTCTTTGATATTATCAGTACATTGTGAAAAAAGAACCTAAATCAACCTAAATTAAAAATTTACATTTCCGTGTTAACATACGTTACTTATATCCTTCTTATATTATTAATTTATTTTCAGAAAATCTTGTTTATTTTTCAAAGAAATATACTTGGCAACAAAGACAAAATGGGACTTGATGGGACCTTTAAATTTTAATATATCTGCGTCTCTCTCGCGAAATTCAACTTCTTTGTTCATTGTCGTCTCTTGTCTTATCTACTCTTTGCTTAGGGAAAGGCGTGCCGGAGAAATGTGGCAACGCCGCAACTGCACACCGTCGCATTTCTCTCACTCCGACTTAATAAGATCCCTATGCGATTTACTTCCACACATGTAAATACCAACCCAAAAGTAAGAATTACCAGCACGGTATGGGCTAACAAAAGGACTAAAGAAAGGTGAACCAAAAAAAGGATAAAAAGTCAAATACAGTATTTTTTAGATAAAAAATTACTGAACTAATTTAAAATAATTTGAATTTAGCAAAAAAATGCGGGATTTTGTATAATTTTCACCTAAAAACGGTTAGTCAAAAATATTTACAAACAAAAAATCACTTGTATCTAGGTCTCCCATTGAGTACAATTTAAATAAAACTTTTTTTGTAAAATAATCTCTTAATTATAAATTTCAAATTAAAATAAAAAACGGTTTAATACCGTATCATCGAAAAAAAGGCATCCAGTTGGCTGGGAAATGACGATCGATGACATTTCCCATATAAATTTACATATAAAATGACAGCGATCTTCATTTCATAGCTACCGCTGACGCCGTTTTTTTTTCGATCATACGGTATAATCTCAACTTTAAAGGCGAAGAGCGAGCGTTGTAATGTAAAGGTTCGTCCATAGTGCACCGCCCAAGTAGCATTTTTGGATACATTTTAGGTAATGTTTCTAATAATCGTGTCTGTTTCTTGACACAAAATGGAAACATTTTCGAAATCTAGACAGGGTGTCCCAGAAATAAGTGCAAGTATTTTAACTTGTAGTATAGTTCAACCCCAGAAACACGCCTATGAGGTTATTTTCGCGAAAAAAAAATTGAAAATTCGAAATTTTTTGACTTTTTTTGAATTTTTTTTAGTTTGTATTTAAAAAAAATAATTTCTTGATAATATGGCAACATATGTAGTAGATTAAATTTACAAGAAAGAAAATCCAGAAAAGATCCGGTGGTTCTCAAAATTTTAGCAAAAAATCATTTTTTTTGGAAATTTTCAAAGTAAAATAACTCCGTTATTTTGGATTTATTTGAAAACGATAAAGAGAAAATATGTTTCTTTTATCGAGATCTACCACCCCTTAAACTACTTGCACTTATTTCTGGGACACCCTGTATATTTTATATGGCTTTATTACTATAACTTTTCGGGGAAATGTTTCGAAATATTTTCTGCAATTTGTGTCCAAGATGTGCCCGATAATGGTGGATCGAGTTACAAGACAACCTTACCTTTTAATAACCTCGAACCGGTCGGGGATTTTCAAACAAGTCAAATATATAATATACAGGGTGGTCCGAACTGTATTCCGGAAATCATATTCTGCAGATAAAAATATGTAAGAAAGTTCTTATAAATGTATGCCCTAAAATGCTTAGTTTCGGAGATACAGGGTGTAGAAGTTCCATTTTTATTTCGATTATTTCCAAACAATTTCTGAAGCAACGTCATCAAAATCAAATTTGTCATGTCAAAAAACTCCCAGACGCCAATTTTCATCCAAATATTGACGTTAATGCAGAAATTATTTGGAAAAAATCGAAATAAAAATGAAACTTCTACGAACTTTTTTACTTAATTTTATCTGCAGAATATGCTGCCGAAATTTCCGGAATACAGTTCGGACCACCCTGTATATTGATATTCCACCTCGAAGAGAAAAATTTGTTATAGTCTCTTTTCTTTGACCCTTCAAACTAAATTTATTTTAATCATTTCATTTTCTCACAATATATGATTAGTCATTTTCAAATCTCCAAACTTACTAATAATTTTGGACTTTTATTAATATTTTGGTAAATTATTGAAATTAGTCTTTTACTTACAGAGATCTACCACCAGTATAAAAAACAATCCAGACATTATTTGTCATCTTTTATAGCCCAAACCAACGGCTCATCCACCTTCTTTTTCTTCTTATTCGACCTTCTCATTGGGTAAAACCTCTTATCAGTGTTTTCCTTAAAACTAATATTAACCTCACTTACATCTACCGGTTTTTGGTTTAAATTTCTATAGAGTCCCCCGCTAGCTTCTTGAGCTGGACTATACCTCTTCCTTGGACTATTTCTCGCACTGTAACTTCGATAGTTTTCGTTATTCTCACTATAAAACTCCTTCTTTCTTTCAAAATGATCTAAATTCGCGTCATCAGGTAAAATTACTGGATTTTGATCCAGATAGATTAAGGCTTGTCTCTTGAAATTCGAGACAGAGTATTTGTAGGATTTGGGATAGTAATTGTGAAATGTATTCTCGTGAGAAACGCACTGCATGGTGAGATAAGCGTGGACGAGAAGAAGAGGAAATCTGCTGGTCCAGTAATGAGCGAAAGCTTCCTGGGTTTCCCCAAGCGATTGTTGAGCTTCTTTGGTCAGTTCTCGAAAATGATGTTTCTGAAATAGAAAAATATTTATGAAAAAAAAAACTATTAATGATTAACAACACTTTTTATTGCTTTTAGAACAATTTTTTGGCTAGAGAAAAGCAGACCGTCCACTGGAAAAACAGAGAGTGGCACAGATAGTGATGTAAATGGGCAAAATGAGTATGTTGGCTGTCAAATGTATTATAAAGGTGCGTATTCATTATCCGCACGAACGAACGAACGAACGAACGTACGCTAGTGGTATGGACGGGGACCGCACGATAGGACCGCACGAGAAGACCGGAGGCATTTGTTGGCTAACGCCTTTGATGTACCGACTCGAAACGGATGGTCGAGCGAACGAACGAACGAACGGCCGCATGCGTTCGGTCCCCGTCTAAATATACCGCACGTTCATTCGTTCGTTCGTTCGTTCGGATAATGAATACGCACCTTAAGAATATATTGCTAGTACCACATTTACACAATGAGTGGAAAGTGAAGCCAAAGAAAATAAATAGGAATATCAATCTTGCATAAGTCTATCCTTTTCGTTCAACAGGATTTTCGTGCGTACGGACCCAATAAAACGAGCTGATTCGTCTCGCAGTCACCTGCCCGCGCACTATTATAAACTCTAAATATTAATAACGTTTAATATATTATTTTTTTATTGGTAATGGCATTATTTCGACCTCTTATTTTAGATATTCATCATATCTATCCGTTTCTTATTTTGAAATTTAAATTTATAAGTAAAGGCGTGAATAGTCAGACGCTAAATTGATTTACGGGGTAGATAGAAACTTAGAAAACTACTTCTATTGGTTAGTATGAAATAAATCAACTAATCGAGAAGCACTTCTCACGCTTGCGTAGTTCAAAGATGTTGAACGAAAAGGATCGACTTATGTGGATTTTGTATTTGTATTAGAGGTGTGTAGTTCGTGAACGAACTAGTTCCAGTGAACTATTCCGACTAGTTCCTGGTTTCTCAAAGAACTAGTTCCTCAGGTCCTATATGCGACGGATTGGCCAGAGCCGCCAGCGTATGTCATCGGATCCGGACCTAGCGGAACTAAATAAATAAAAGGCTAGTTTACGTATGGATCGGCTCATCGGCCAGCGCGATCGATGCTAGGCAGGAGTGGGGAGTGCCAGCCGTATGTTATCGGATCCGGACCTAAAGGAACTAGAGGAACTAAATAAAAGACTAGTTTACGTACGGATCGGCAGGCGTGGAGAGTGCCAGCCGTATGCTTACAATGCTATCGGCTATCGGATCCGGACCTAGAGGAACTAATTAAAAGACTAGGTCACGGGAATCTATTCAGTCGGCAGATCCGAGATATAATACAAGGCAACGACGATGGATTCGGCCTTGTCTATTGCCACAGCCAGCCGGCGTAATTACCACAGAAAATTGTTGTAGATACTGTTTTTGATTTTTAGTTTGTTCTTTAAATATTTTATGGAAATGTTTTACTTTAGGTCCATAAAATTAAGAAATATCTTATAAAACGAAGTATATTCTGAAAGTGAGAAAAATGTAATTTTTCGTCATATTTTCGTAATATTCGCTCCAATTGATTTGTGATATAGTTTTTTCAACTCTTATTTGAGTTTCTTTTTTATTTATTTTTATCTGCAATAAAACTTACCTATATGTTTTTAACATACACAATTACACGTCTCGTTATATTTCGTATATTATAAAAATTATACAGATCATACTGTGAATAGTTCTGACTGACAACGAAACCCATTAGCAAGCAACGGGAATGTCAGTGTTAGTCGGGAACTATTGTGAACTAAAGACCTAGTTCAAGGAACTATTCCTCTGGAGGAACTAGAACTAAGGAACTAGTTCCTCCCAAGGAACTAGAATTCCCACCTCTATTTTGTATAGCTCCGTCTCAAAAATTTGGCTTCAATTTCTGTTCCTTACTAGCAATATATTCTTATAATATATTTGTTGGCTGTAGACATTTTAAATTTACCTTCGTCAAAGACCGCAACCGAAAGAACCTTTAGTACTTATGGACTTGTTCATCGGCCAAGAAGAAATAGACTTACAGTGACACGAAAAACAGGCACCCTAATATGTTAACAAAGCAATAAGGAATTTAAAAATAATTTTATTCTCTAGGTACGTTTTTTTCCGCTAGTTTGTTTTCTGATTCATCTCAATAGCTTTATTTTTTATTGGAGATATTCGCTTTTGAATAAAAGATTAACGATTTACAGCAATTTTAATATACATTACAGCATTGATTTTGGGTCCTTATCCCTTAACTTTTAAAATAGTATTATTGCTTTTGTAATGTCACTATCATTGAAAAGTCATATTATTATTGTTTATTGGAGTTTACTCTAGTAGAGATGGGTTTAGGTTCTAAAATATCGGCTATTGCTGCTTTAATTGATCATGGTAGAGATCAACTTTAGGACTTGAAACCATATTTGCTGGAGTAACTGTCCAACAGACAATAAGATTTGTCAAAGACTGCCATATTCCATAAATCATAAACACTATTTTATAGGTCTGTAGACTAGGACCAAAAGCAAAAGTATGGTTTTAATGTAAAAAATTCGAAAATATGTTAGTGTATTCTTTAAAAGCGAATATCTCCCAAAAAAAATAAAGCTATTAAGATGAATAAAAAAACTATCAAGAAAAGATATACCTAGATGACAAAATTATTTTTAAATTTCTTGTTTTGTTATTGTACTCCACAGGGTGTTTCAAACTTTCACCAAAATATGAACGTTTTGTTTTCCTCCGTATAATTGACAGATGAATACTTTCATTTTTAATTTAGAAAGAGATATTAAAAAGTCAAATAATTTAGCTACAAACTGCTTAAAAATTCATCAAAATTGATTCACTAGAACACAATATACAGGGTTGTTCACCACATACGACACGGAGTATTGTAGCTAAACGATGAGATTTTTACAAATTGTAAGTTTGGGGTTCGTTGAAGGACTATTAGAGCTACAATTTAAAAATATTTATATAGATATATAAATATATATTTAGGATATATTTGGGATACAGAGTGTCCCAAATAAATAAAAAATATCAAAGTTGTATTTTTTTAAATGGAACACCCTGTATATTATTACATTTTTAGTTTCTACGATTCAAATAAAGGTAAATTTGATTAAGGTTTATTATACTTAAACCTTACCGTTTTTGAAATATTTTCAATTTTGTGAAATTGCAGTAAAAATTTTAAAGGTTCATTTCTCCAAGGGTATCAATGTTTTTAATACTAAATATTTAATGAAGTTTATTTATTGATCAGTTATTGTGTTGCAATAATAAAAATAATACTACCTTATACAGAGTGTCTAAAAATTTATTTTAAATAATTATTAGCTTCAAACGGCAATAACTTCTTTAATTTAAATGGAATGCCCTGTATATTTTAGGAGAATCAGATGCCCAATTAAATTGTCTATCAAATTGTATTATACCATTTTTTACCTATCCCTTCAAGTTATCGTAGAAAATGCATTTTCTTTTAATTTAGACCTCATTTATCAATATATCCATGGAATATTGACATTTGAGATTGTTTTTAAAGCAACAAATGTACAAAATGTACAGACTAGTAATATTATCGTTTTTAGCAAAACGATAATATTACTAACCATTAATATGCAAAGAAAACTATTTAAATCTTTATAAAAAGTATACCATTAATTAAATATAACACCATTATTTCCGCCCATATACTAATTAATGACATACTTAATGTGTTCGTTAATAAATTATTATAAATAAATGTGGATTTTTGAGTCAGAAATCAATATAATAATAAGTTATCAAATTAAAGTCTTTGTTGTTATAAATAAGCATTTATTAAAAAATGAAATATCATTTTTAAGGTATTACTTTTTATCACACTGTCTAATGCCCATACAAAATTCAGTTTTTTAGTATTTGGAGCAATTATTATTAATCAACGCAAACGGTCAGTTAATGTAGTTTGAATACTGAAATCATATTAATTGGTCCTCTTTAACAAATATTTAAACAGTTTTTTTTTATTTTTTAATAAAATAAACAAATTATATCGACAATATTAGTATCTGTACTCTTTAAAAATGTGGTACATCTTTAAAAATAATCTAAAATGTCAATAGTCCATGGGTATATTGATAAATAAGTTCTAAATTACAAGAAAATGTATTTTCCACAGAAACTTAAAGAGATAGGTAAAAAATGGTATAATATAATTTGATAGACAATTAAATTGTGCATCTGATTCTCGTAAAATATACAGGGTGTTCCATTTAAATAAAACAAGTTATTGCCGTTTGAAGCTAATAATTATTTAAAATAAATTTTTAGACACTCTGTATAAGGTAGTATTATTTTTATAATTGCAACACAATAACTGATCAGTAAATAAACTTCAGTAAATATTTAGTTTTAAAAACTTTGATACCCTTGGAGAAATGAAGCCTTAAAATTTTTACAGCAATTTCACAAAATTGAAAATATTTCAAAAACGGTAAGTTTTAAGTATAATAAATCTTAATCAAATTTACCTTTATTTTTAATCGTAGAAATAAAAATGTAATAATATCAGGGTGTTCCATTTAAAAAAATACAACTTTGATATTTTTTACTTATTTGGACACTCTGTATCTTGTAAAATTATTTTTAAATTGTACCTCTAATAGTCCTTCATCGAACCCAAAACTTACAATTTGTAAAAATCTCATCGTTTAGCTACAATACTCCGTGTCGTATGTGGTGAACAACCCTGTATACTTTAAAATACATTAAAATTTTAAGGTGCCCGTTTTTCGTACCTGTGAGTGTATATTGCCCATAATTAAAATTTACTAAATGGAGAAGAACATCCATGAATTGTAGAAGCTGCTGAGAATGAAATGGAAGAAGATATCGATTTTGAATACAATTAACTAATGAAATTACACTTAACTAATGAAAGAGAAAGAAGTATAAGATAACGAGATTGATGATATAATAATAAGATTAGTTGAATGTTAGTGTAATTTTACACTAACATTACTACCGTATGATCGAAAAAAAACGGCGTCCAGTTGGCTGGGAAATGACGATCGATGACATTTCCCATATAAATTCACATATAAAATGACAGCGATCTTCATTTCATAGCCATCGCTGACGCCGTTTTTATTCGATCATACGGTATAAAATTAACACATTATAAAATTAATGAACTCTATGCTTACCTTATTTCTTAAAGCTCTCAAAAGGTCTCTAACACTGGTTCCCTTATATGTTCTGTATTTTCTCAAATCTTTGGCTACCTCTTCGTGAATATGCACCCTCCAATCCAATTTAACTACTGGAGAAGCATTATCCTCCAATTCCAAAAGCACATCATCATCAGGTTCAGCTTTTTCAACCCTGTCACTGACATCCTACCAACGAAAAACAACAAAAATATAATAGTTTTTACTTTTATTCAAGTTACAAAACTTGAATAAAAACTATAAAAAATCATAACTTTATATGCAGAATTATGAAGTCACAATTTCATATCAAACACGCAATACTATTGGATATATTTCCTTACCTGAAAAAATGACAGTATCTTTTGGCTCTTCCAAAAAATAGGATGGGACAAAACCGCATCACAAGTCGGTCTTTCATCAGGGTCAGAAGACAGTAACGCCTCCAAAAGGGTTTTCTGCAACTCAGTCTCCCAATCTTGACCACGCAGACGAGTCAAATCATAAGTACCATTAAGAATATTGGCTTGACGTCTCAAAACGTCACCAAAAGGATGAGAACCATTGGAGAGGACGTAGTAATATAGACAACCCATCGAAAATAAGTCTACAGATGCAGTCTGTCAAAAAATAATAATTCTAAAATAGTCCAAAAATTAATGTTAAGGTAACTGAAGGAATTCTTACTGTTCTGCCCGTTCCTGTGAGCATTTCTGGAGCAATCCAGCCGTCTGTTCCGGTGACTCCAGATCTACGTGAAAATGAGTCTCTTCCAACTTGGAGTTTTTTGCATAAACCGAAATCGGAGATCATGGCTTTTACTTCGCCTTTGTAGTTAGGAACGGATATTAGAACGTTGTGAGGTTTTATATCTCGATGAACTGAAAAATAAACCAACCAGTAAAAAAACAGCGCCACTGACTTTTTTCTTTTGATATCAAAATTGCGTAAATTGCGTTTAATGCCAATTAAAAGTTATCTCTTAATATTTTGTCGAATTCGGCCTCCTTGATGAGATAAACTCAATTTTATTAATCACAATTAATAAAATTAAAATAAAAATCTATACTAATACATAAAATCCTTAAGTGACTGACATACTGATTAATCACGATCCTGCTCAAACCACTCAACGTAAGAAGCTCAAGTTTGGCATACAGCTTGATTCTAGGGTGTAGAGGTTCGATAATAAGGAATTTTTCGAAATTCCATTTCCAAGAGGGTGAAACCACCCCTCAAATATTACAATATTTTTTATTTAAAAAACGGTCAAGTTTCAGAAAAAACGCTTAAACACGTATATTTTATTTTATTTTTTACATATTTTAAGATTTTTTAAAAATCTATACAGGGTGTTTCGAAAAATCTGGTCATTGATTAATCACGATCCTGCTTAAAACGCTTGACGTAAAAAGCTGATTTTTGGAAAACAGATTGACTTTAGGGTGTAGAGGTTAACCGGTGAGTTTTTCGGAAAAAACCGGTGAGCTTTTCGGAAAAACTCTTAAACACGTATATTTTATTTTGCTGTTTTACATATTTTAAGATTTTTTATAAATTTATACAGGGTGTTTCATAAAATATGACCATTGAGTAATCACGATTCTGCTTAAACTGCTTGACGTTTAAAGCCGATTTTTGGCAAACGGATTGACTGTGGGGTGTAGAGGTTCGATATGGAGGGATTTCTCGAATCTCAAATTCCAAGAGGGTGAAAACGTCCCTCAAATATTACAATATTTATTATTTAAAAAACGGTTAGTCTTTCGGGAAAACGCTTGGACAAGCATAATTTATTATTTGTTTTTTTTACATATTATGAAATTTTTTAAAAAATCATACAGGGCGTTTACCTTACCGTTTTTGAAATATTTTCAATTTTGTGAAATTGCAGTAAAAATTTTAAGGCTTCATTTCTCCAAGGGTATCAAAGTTTTTAATACTAAATATTTACTGAAGTTTATTTACTGATCAGTTATTGTGTTGCAATAATAAAAATAATACTACCTTATACAGAGTGTCTAAAAATTTATTTTAAATAATTATTAGCTTCAAACAGCAATAACTTGTTTAATTTAAATGGAACACCCTGTATATTTTACGAGAATCAGATGCACAATTTAATTGTCTATCAAATTATATTATACCATTTTTACCTATCTCTTTAAGTTTCCGTAGAAAATGCACTTTCTTGTAATTTAGAACTTATTTATCAATATACCCATGGACTATTGACATTTTAGATTATTTTTAAAGATGTACCAAATTTTTAAAGAGCACAAATATTAATATTGTCGATATAATTCGTTTATTTCATTAAAAAATAAAAAAAAACTGTTTAAATATTTGTTAAAGAGGATCAGTTAATATGATTCCAGTATTCAAACAACATTAACTGACTGTTTGCTTTGATTAATAATAATTGCTCCAAATACTAAAAAACTGAATTTTGTATGGGCATTAGACAGTGTGATAAAAAGTAACACCTTAAAAATGATATTTCATTTTTTAATAAATGCTTATTTATAACTACAGAGACTTTAATTTGATAACTTATTATTATATTGATTTCTGACTCAAATCCACATTTATTTATAATAATTTAATAACGAACACAATTAAGTATGTAATTAATTAGTATATGGGCGCAAATAATGGTGTTATATTTAATTAATGGTATACTCTTTTATAAAGATTTAAATAGTTTTCTTTTTGCATACAAATGGGCTAGTAATATTATCGTTTTGCTAAAAACGATAATATTACTAGTCTGTACATTTTGTACATTTGTTGCTTTAAAAACAATCTAAAATGTCAATATTCCATTGATATATTGATAAATGAGGTCTAAATTATAAGAAAATGCATTTTATACGAAAACTTGAAGGGATAGGTAAAAAATGGTATAATACAATTTGATAGACAATTTAATTGTGCATCTGATTCTCCTAAAATATACAGGGCATTCCATTTAAATTAAAGAAGTTATTGCCGTATGAAGCTAATAATTATTTAAAATAAATTTTTAGACACTCTGTATAAGGTAGTATTATTTTTATTCACAATAACTGATCAGTAAATAAACTTCATTAAATATTTAGTATTAAAAACATTGATACCCTTGGAGAAATAAAGCTTTAAAATTTTTACTGCGATCATACGGTATAAGTTATATTGATAAATATAATCATAAATGCGGGAAGTTTCATAAAGCTTGAAAGTAAGAAATAGTTCTTTTTTCTATTTTTTTGGTATATGGTGTCTTGTTCGTGTTTGTTTTGTATTAACACATACCGTTTTGATTAAATAAAATAACTGGATTACATTTTTTCAGTTTTATGCAGTTTTTTTCACAATATTTTGAAGTAATCACTTGTCAGTCAAACTTCAAATATTTCCCGCTATGCGTTCCAGTTGTACCAACTTATTTCTTTGTAAAATAAAATAAATTACTTTGAAATTAAAATGACAGACACATCTATCACTATCAAGGATCTTCTCGTTGGACAGACTATATAGACATTTTTTACCATTAGTTATTATTACTATTAGTCCAGCTTACAGCAATTTCAAATAAAAAATAATGGTATTTAAGATAATTACAAAAAAACTAATTTTAAAAAGTTTTAACATCCTGTAACTCTAAAACTCAATATTTCCATACCCATGTTTATAGGAACTGTTTTTCATATTTTTTAATGAGGAATCAATGAGTACTTATTTAAAACTTTCGCAAGTTAATGATATTATTTTTTTAAAGGTTGCTGTTAGACTTGGGTGAAGGCAAATTAATAAAATTGCGTTTAACTCATCAAGGAGGCCGAAATCGACAAAATATCAAAAGACAACTTTTAATCGACATTAAACTGCTTACACTATTCGTCGACAAGAGAAAAAAAATTCTGTGGCGTACACGCTTTTTTTAGAAAAATATTCCAGTGATAACCTAGTCCCTGATGAATATATCGACATATTTTTAGCTTTAAAATATGTCGTATTTATAGTAACTTTTACCCTCAAAATTTCATTCAAAACGCTAAAAGTACTTGAAAGAAAATTATAATAAATCGAAAGATTATTAAGACATTAACACCCTGTAGCTACGAAACAAAGCAGAATCGGACCTATGTCGATGTAAAAAATAAATGTTATTTTTATGTGAGGGCTCTCCCTACGAGAGATGGTACATGTTTTTTGAGACACCCTGTATACAGGGTGCCCCAGAAATAAGTGCAAGTACTTTAAGGGGTGGTAGATCACCAAAAGTAGTCAAAAGAAACATTTTTTCTCTGTACCGTTTTTCAAATAAGTCCAAAATAATCGAGTTATTCTACTTTGAAAATTTCCAAAAAAAAAATATTTTTTGCTAAAATTTTGAGAACCACTGGATCTTCTCTTTCTGTAAATTTAAGCTACCACCTATGTTGCCATATCATCAAGAAATTATGTCTTTTTAATTTTAAAACTACTTTTTTAAAACTTTTTTCAAAAAATTCCCAAAAAAATTTTTTTCGCAAAAAATACCTCATAGGCGTGTTTCTGAGGCCGTAATATACTACCAATTAAAATGCTTGCACTTATTTTTGGGACAGCCTGTATAGCCCTTGCTTTATCAAGTTAGTAATTATTTAACACCTTTAAATTGTTTTTATGCAAATAATTATGTGAAACATAAATATAAAATTCTTAAAATAAAAACAACGGATTTTTCTCGCTGCCTTACCTATATCTAATGAATGTAGATGTGCCAATCCCATAGTAGCTTGCTCCAATATCTCTAAAGGCTTGATAGTCGTAGTATCGCAATCTCCTTGCATATACTCAGACAATGTTGCTTGGCACAGTTCCAAAGCGATATATCGGAACATCCTATCTTGTTCCATGCAGTAGTACCTTATAGACAAGGATGTTTAATTAAAAAAGCGTTTATTAAAATCAAATAAATTTATTTCCATCGGTAAAATCAACAATAATTTCTGGACATAACAGATATAAAAACAAAAGTTAAATAAACGAAAACGTATTTCTCTTATTAAAATAACAAAAAGATGATAAAAAAACAACAGTTATGGTAAACGAAATAAAAGCAATATTCTTCAAAGGTACAAAAAATAATTATGTATATTATAATATTAATAATAGGAACAACAAGAAACATCTTAAAAATATAAAACTTTTTCAAATATAAAACAAAAACATAAACTTCACATTTTCACAAGAATTTGCAAAAATATTAACATTTCGAGTCTATTATAAAATATAAAGCACGAAAATTCAAATCATAAAAAGATTAAAAAGATAAAGATTCTTATAACTTACAGTCAATTTGTAGGACCTTCGTTTTGTCTACGTTAGCGATGTAATCACAATAATATGTATAATCATAGTAATTATTATGTTCTTCATAAATGTAAAATGTATTAAATTATTTGTTTTCGTTTTGTACGCTAATAAAATAATAGTAATAACCAAACAAAACGCAAAATCAGGAATTCAACAGTTCGTTCAAGGATGGTTCAAGACAAAAACGTTTTTCGTTTTATTTAGGTTAGGTTTGACGAGTGCGACTGCGCGATGATTTCTGACTCAACTGGCCAGCGCAAAAACAATAATTCGACTTCCTCAATCCTTTGAAAAGTCTTGCTTTTGTTAGTTTGTCTATGTACCTTACCTATATCTAATGAATGTAGATGTGCCAATCCCATAGTAGCTTGCTCCAATATCTCTAAAGGCTTGATAGTCGTAGTATCGCAATCTCCTTGCATATACTCAGACAATGTTGCTTGGCACAGTTCCAAAGCGATATATCGGAACATCCTATCTTGTTCCATGCAGTAGTACCTTATGACGTGCGGATGAGCGTCACTTTCCCTTAGTAGCGCCACCTCGCGATCTGCGAAGGTAAAACACTCGGGAAGGAGTCGTTTTACTGCCACCCTTCTATTATCAAATTCACCCCTAAACAAAATGTTTTATTTTACCACACAGATTAAGAAACTTTATTTTTTATTTTGTTAGCTAGTACATTCATAAAAAAAAACAGAAATTATAGTGTTTTATTCAGGTTGCAGAATATCTGGTAGAGAGATCTAAATTAAGATGAATACAAAGATCAAGAAGAAGAAGAACAATCGGGTTTTAGAGCTGGGAGATCCTGCACTGATAATATATTCTGTTTGAAACTCCTCATAGAAATAAAATAGCTATAAATGAAGATATACACCTAATGTTTGTCGATATCCAGAAAGCTTACGATAGCGTCCCTATCACCAAACTGTGGGAATCTCTTAAACTAACCAGATTAAATCACACACTTATAACAGCAAAACAAAAAATATATAAAAAATCGAACCTCCTGAGTCTCAACATTTCTAAAACTAAAGCTTTGTCGTATAAAAACTCGTTGCAGCCTTTTGTACTTAACAACACCACCATTGACGTCGTAAAATCTGTAAAATTCTTAGGGCCTGTTGTGGAAAATTCTCTGAGATGGGACATACATATCGAAGCTTTGTCGAAAAAATTGAGCTCTGCCTGTTTTGCATTAAGGTCCGTTTCTAAGGAGCTTAACTTGTCAGTGGCTAGAACTGTTTATTATGCACTTTTTGAGTCGCACCTCAGGTATGCCCTTCCATTCTGGGGTACGTGTTGTGCGACTCAATTTGGCCGCATTTTCAAGCTCCAGAAGAGAGCTGTTCGATATTCACTGGGACTAAACAGCAGAACTCATTGCCGGGACTTTTTTAAAGAGTTAAAAATATTGACTCTTCCTTCCTTATTTATATTTGAATCCGTTTGCCTAATACGTAAACATGTATCAGCTTCTCAAGAAAGGCCATCTCACACTTATCCACTCAGGAACGCGGAGCAAGATCTTTATCTACCTACCCCACGCTCAGAGTTAGTTAAAAGTTCAATATTATACAACTCGAAAAAAATGCACAATCACCTGCCATTTGAAATCAGATCCATAACATCATTTTTTTCATTTCGCAAAGCATTGAACTCTTATTTACTACACAAGGCTTTCTACGCCGTAAATGAATTATATTTTGAAAATCAAATTTGATCTTGTAAACACTGGTCTAATGTTTGCTATTGCTATATTTACTAATGCCATCGAAATGAATTTATTTAGAGGTCATTGATATTTTACTATAAACTAGCTAAATATTTTTGAATATTATTTTTATTTTTTTGTTCTTTGACATTGTAAACATTTATAAATGTTTATTTTAACAATAAGACTGACAATATTATTTGTATAATGTTTTGTATTATCTTTTGTTTGTTTGTTTGTGTACCTTGTTTTTTTACTTCGTTTGTTAGTTTACCTTTGTCTACAAATTGAAAAATTTATTCTTGTTCCTCAATAAAAACTGGAAATAAAATATTAAAAGGATTAAGACAAGAGTGTGGCCCTATCACCAACTGTATTTAAAATATACGTCAACCAAGTGTTAAAGCAGTGGAAAAGCAAGTGTAGAGGCATGGGCATACCAATAAGTGAAGATTCTTGCTTATACACTTTGCAATTCGCTGACGACCAAGTTATTTGTGCAGGAGACAAAGATGACTTGGAATATATGACACGAAAACTTAAAGAACAATACCAGGTTTGGGGACTGGAAATGAATATCACAAAAACTAAATATCTCTGCATTGGATCAGATCAAACAGCAATAAAACTGGATAACGAATACATATACCTAGGTGTTACTTTCGATAAATCCGGATTTACCCAGCAGGATTTACCCTGCTGGCAAGCGAACCTTTGTATCGGTTATGACAATCAATCTAATAAGTCGGCATGAGCAAAAATACGAAGTATATATTACATAACTACTTAATCTGACGCTAGATTCCATGCGCTTGGGAGAATACTCGTCTTCTGTCTTTATTCAGTAGATCTTATTTTACTAAGCGTGTTGACCGTACTCTTCGTACACATGAACCGGCACCCAAGACCAGAAATGTCAACCCTTAGTATAAGATTTGAACGATGAGCCGTAAAAAAGAATCCTGAGAATTGAATCGAATCACAATGAATCGTGGCCAGCACGGATGAACGATGAGCCGTAAAAAAGAATCCTGAGAATTAAATCGGATCACAATGAATCGTGGCCAGCACGGATCCACAATATTTGAACGATGAGCCGTAAAAAAGAATCCTGAGAATTGAATCGGATCACAATGAATCGTGGCCAGCACGGATCCACAATATTTGAACGATGAGCCGTAAAAAAGAATCCTGAGAATTGAATCGGATCACAATGAATCGTGGCCAGCACGGATCCACAATATTTGAACGATGAGCCGTAAAAAAGAATCCTGGGAATTGAATCGGATCACAATGAATCGTGGCCAGCACGGATCCACAATATTTGAACGATGAGCCGTAAAAAAGAATCCTGAGAATTGAATCGGATCACAATGAATCGTGGCCAGCACGGATCCACAATATTTGAACGATGAGCCGTAAAAAAGAATCGTGAGAATTGAATCGGATCACAATGAATCGTGGCCAGCACGGATCCACAAGATTTGAACGATGAGCCGTAAAAAAGAATCCTGAGAATTGAATCGGATCACAATGAATCGTGGCCAGCACGGATCCACAATATTTGAACGATGAGCCGTAAAAAAGAATCGTGAGAATTGAATCGGATCACAATGAATCGTGGCCAGCACGGATCCACAAGATTTGAACGATGAGCCGTAAAAAAGAATCCTGAGAATTGAATCGGATCACAATGAATCGTGGCCAGCACGGATCCACAATATTTGAACGATGAGCCGTAAAAAAGAATCGTGAGAATTGAATCGGATCACAATGAATCGTGGCCAGCACGGATCCACAAGATTTGAACGATGAGCCGTAAAAAAGAATCCTGAGAATTGAATCGGATCACAATGAATCGTGGCCAGCACGGATCCACAATATTTGAACGATGAGCCGTAAAAAAGAATCGTGAGAATTGAATCGGATCACAATGAATCGTGGCCAGCACGGATCCACAAGATTTGAACGATGAGCCGTAAAAAAGAATCCTGAGAATTGAATCGGATCACAATGAATCGTGGCCAGCACGGATCCACAATATTTGAACGATGAGCCGTAAAAAGAATCGTGAGAATTGAATCGGATCACAATGAATCGTGGCCAGCACGGATCCACAAGATTTGAACGATGAGCCGTAAAAAGAATCCTGAGAATTGAATCGGATCACAATGAATCGTGGCCAGCACGGATCCACAATATTTGAACGATGAGCCGTAAAAAGAATCGTGAGAATTGAATCGGATCACAATGAATCGTGGCCAGCACGGATCCACAAGATTTGAACGATGAGCCGTAAAAAGAATCCTGAGGAATTGAATCGGATCACAATGAATCGTGGCCAGCACGGATCCACAATATTTGAACGATGAGCCGTAAAAAAGAATCGTGAGAATTGAATCGGATCACAATGAATCGTGGCCAGCACGGATCCACAAGATTTGAACGATGAGCCGTAAAAAAAGAATCCTGAGAATTGAATCGGATCACAATGAATCGTGGCCAGCACGGATCCACAATATTTGAACGATGAGCCGTAAAAAGAATCGTGAGAATTGAATCGGATCACAATGAATCGTGGCCAGTACGGATCCACAAGATTTGAACGATGAGCCGTAAAAAGAATCCTGAAATTGAATCGGATCACAATGAATCGTGGCCAGCACGGATCCACAATATTTGAACGATGAGCCGTAAAAAAGAATCGTGAGAATTGAATCGGATCACAATGAATCGTGGCCAGCACGGATCCACAAGATTTGAACGATGAGCCGTAAAAAATAATACTGAGAATTGAATCGGATCACAGTGAATCGTGGCCAGCACGGATCAACGAAATAAGCTCGAGAATAGTCAAGGCCAGAAATGCAATAAAATGTCTGAATAACATACTCTGGAGTAACGAAATAGGTAAAGACAAAAAACTAAGGATTTATGATGCGATAATCAAGAGCAATATGTTATTTGGGGCGGAAACATGGAGGTTAACGGAGAATAACAAAAGAAAATTACTGGCGGCAGAAATGGACGCGATAAGGAGATCTGCACGAACATCAAGGCTGGATAGAGTAGGAAATGAGACAATCAGGACTAAAATGGGTAGACAGAAAACCATAGTAGAGGAAATAGAGTGCCCAACTGAAGTAGTATGGACATGGCTTCCACAAAAGAACTAGCTTCCACAAAAGAGAAGGAAACAGGGAAGACCGAGCACAAACTGGATGGAGGGTGTCAAGAAGGTGATGAGCTCAAGGGATCTGCGTGACGGAGACAGGAATGAACGAAACCAATGGCGACCAGGCATCGCACAACGTCGAAGGACGATTTAAAAGCGATTCTTATATATATTATTCAGGTTTAAACACAAATTTGTCAAAAAATATGTGAACATTGTTGTATGTCTTATTTTTTTACCTGTAAACAAATGTTCCTTCGCACCCTTTGCCTAATAACTGTTCTGGATGGAAGGTAATCTTGCCTACTTTGACCAATCCACCTGGTAATTCTTCTGAAAAAGCAGTAATGTTTCCGTTACGACCAACTGAACTCTGTTGGCTGCCTCTGGAACCATTTTGGGACAGGTTCTGAACTTCCCTAACCTAATATTAAACATCATAAAAAATCATCTTCTAGCATACTAAGATTCTTGAATTGTGATATCGCTATAATACCAAAATGTAAATACAATAATAAAATATTGATTTTTAGATTTCTATATCCTTTATTTTTAATAGTGTACAACGTTTTCAAGTGATATTAGATTCTCAATAACTTTCAAGTACAAAATTGTATAATACAGGGTCGCTGACATGTATGGGAACGGCCATTTATTAGGTAAAATATAATATACTCTGTTTTTTTTCTCAAGTAAGAATTCGACAGGCGATGACTGAATAAAAGCAGATGACGTCCCATACCAATCTATTTATTTTACTAAAAAAAGTTTCTAATAATTTTTAAGTTAACTATGGATGGGTTTAAATATAAATTCGTCATGCGTCGTCACTTGTTATTTTTAACCAGTTTTATTGGTTTATTTCAAAAAGGAACAGATCGTATTTCAATTTAATTGGTTTGACGGAACGATGAATGACAAACGGACGCCGATGCGTATGAACTCGCCTTTAGATTTTTGACGTTTGTCAAAGTCTTGCCAAATTATAGGTTATAATTTTGTGACAACTCTTGTCAAATACCCTGCGTTTTGGAAGACGATGCATTTTGATTCGTGTTATTACGTGTGTTTTGTGTCTTTTGAAGTCAAGTGGAGGAAAAATCGAGTGAAAATTAACAGTAGAACCCAGAGCACCGTTTATGGTTAATACTCGCTGCCCAGGCAGAAAGTCTTATACAGATACACCAATAAAGTTACTATCAATAAAGTTCGTATACCATCTCGTCGTAGATAAGTGCATCTCGAATATGGTAGAAGGACCATACTCTAAACACATACTAAAAACTGGAGTAGCTGTAAAATATCGACATCGCACGATAGGTAAATAATGGATTTTAGTACTGCAGAAAAATAATGTCAAAAGGTACTGGTTAAAAAAATTAAGATTAAAGTTAATTTATGAACCTGTGAGGTATAAAATTTGGTAAGTGTTATTATTAATAAAATAGTTTGTTTTATTTATGTTGTTTTATTTATTCCTGCAGAATATTACAAATTTGTATTTGTACATAAGTTATATTGACAAATATAATCATAAATGCGGGAAGTTTCATAAAGTTTGAAAGTAAGAAATAGTTCTTTTTATATTTTTTGGTATGTGGTGTCTTGTTTTTGTTTGTTTTGTATTAACACATACCGTTTTTATTAAATAAAATAACTCGATTACATTTTTCAGTTTTATACAATTTTTTTCACAATATTTTGAAGTTACTTGTCAGTCAAATTTTAAATACATATATTAATTTCCTGCTATACGTTCCAGTTGTACCAACTTATTTCTTTGTAAAATAAAATAAACTACTTTGAAATTAAAATGACAGACACATCTATCACTGTCAAGGATCTTCTCGTTGGACAGACTATAGGTACCGCAAAAAGTTAAATATAAATGTTATAGAGTTTTTAATTGCGGAAACTGTGATACTTAATAATATTTGACGTTCGTTTTCAAGTTAGTATTTATAGATGTATTATATAAAATGAGGTTATATCAAGTCTGGAAATTACAAAATTTTCGTTTAACATTTCAAAATCAAAACTTCATAATTCGGAAATTGTTGAATTTAGGTATACCGGGTGTTGCATCGTGGAGCGGGGGGACATAGGAAATCCCATGTAAATTTTAATGGGATCAGTTATTGGCTTCCCTAATTATTTTAGGGAATAATTCTATTTAGGTTTATTGAAGAGCACTAAAACCCACATTCAAAAGAATAACTGTAGATATTTTTGATTAGCCCGTTTACGAGTTATCGCCGATTTCTTTTTAAATATGTCTCCTTTCTTATGGCCCTGTATTTGCTTATGAGCAACAGTCAAGGTAAAAAATAACTGTCAAACGAAGTTGTCATTTCAGAAATTTATCTATTTAGTGCTTTATTATTATTATTAAAAACTCATACCTACATCGAAAATATTAGCCATCAATTACACTACCGAAGAAAAAGTATTGATGATTAAATGGTATTATCAAGGAAATAGTTATCAAAAGGTGTCGGATATGTTTGCTGCCCTGTATCCGAATAGACCGATACCTGGAAAATCGCAAGGAATATCCAGAGATTTGAGACCAAAGGTACCCTAATAAATAACTGCAGATGTGAAGCAAGGCAGGAAAAAAGAGAAGATGCAAGAAATGATATCGACTTGGAAGTTGTATTGTGCGTGGAAGAGAACGATGGAAAGATCAACGCAAGGAAACTTGAGGATGAAATAGGAATAAATCACACTACAGCGTTTCGAATTTTGAAACGACATAAATACTATTCCTTCAAATATGAAAAGCACCAAGAGCTACGAGATGGGGACGAAATACGGCGGCAGGCGTTTTGTTTTGATATGATGGAAAGATCAAACACGGATAGGGAATTTTTAAAAAACATATGTTTCACTGACCAATGCACGTTTACCTTAAATAATGAACCCAATGTTCAAAATTATCGGTATTGGAACAAAGAAAACCAACACAGGTTTATCGAAATAAGGACGCAATATCCACAGAAAGTAAATGTTTGGGGAGGGACATTCGGACACAATATTATCGGGCCATTATTTCTTACGCGAAATTTAAATGCAGAATATTATTTGGAACTACTCGAAAACCATATTTACCTGCTTTACAATGATGCCGCTAGGGAAAATCAGGAAGTTTGGTACCAAATGGATGGCTGCCCGGTACATAGTACCCTGGCTGTTCGGGAATATTTAGACAATAGTTTTAACGGAAACGTTATTGGCCTAAATCATACAGTAAATTGGCCAGCAAGGTCTCCTGATATTTCGCCAAATGATTTCTTTCTCTGGGGCCATTTAAAAAATAGGATATACAAGGATAAAAAATACCCAAATCTAGACGAGTTAAAAATATTTCTGCCGAATGCAATAGAATTTCAATTTACCAACTGGCGAATGTAAGAAGAGAATTTTATGCTCGCCTGGGTTATTGTCTAGCAGTCGATGGAGGAATATTTGAACATCTTAAATCCTAAAGTTCTAACAATTTAATAGTACCTAAATTAATAAGTTATTGAATATTGTAATAATACTATAATTAACCGTGTAATTGATTACTTTATTTTACTTTAATTCATATTAATTTGTAGTTATAAAAAACATCTTTAAGATTTCCGATGTAGAATGAGTTTTCAATAATAATAAAGCACTAAATAGGTAAATTTCTGAAATGACAACTTCATTTGACAGTTATCTTTCACTTTGACTGGTGCTCATAAGTAAATACAGGGCCATAAGAAAGGAGAAATATTTAAAAAGAAATCGGCGATAACTCGTAAACGAGCTAATCAAAAATATCTAAAGTTATTCTTTTGAATGTGGGTTTTAGTGCTCGTCAATAAACCTAAATAGAATTATTCTCTAAAATAATTAGGGAAGCCAATAATTGACCCCATTAAAATTTACATGGGATTTCCTATGTCCCGTCCGACGATGCAACACCCGGTATAATCGTAATACACAATGTGTTCAACGTTTTTCAAATTATGAAGTTTCGATTTTGAAATGTTAAACTTAAATTTTGTAATTTCCAGACTTGATATAATCTAATTTTATACATCTATAAATGCTGACTTGAAAACTAATGTCAAATATTATTAAGTATCATAGTTTCCGCAGAATGGCATTGTTAAATGAAACCGAACATATCGAAATTAATTAAATTGAATTGTTTAAGTGATATTATTAAAAGTCAGTAACTCGGAAACGGGTGGTTTAAGGTACATTGTGTGTATCTCGATTTTTGCTTAGAATTGAAGGAAGAACCGAAATATGCAATAATATACAGAGGGTTCTATTTAAAGAAATAAAACTTTTATGTACCACCACTTTATGACCGACGTAAACTTAAATTTATTATATTTTAAAACCCTATAACTTTTATATTTAACTTTTTGCGGTACCTCTTATAGTTTAGCTAATAATCGACCCTTCCCATACATATCAGCGACTCTGTATATACTGCATATAGCGCAGTACATCAGTGTTTCACAATAAGATCTCTCGATTAAATATATTTTCAATATGGCGGCACTTCCGGAAGTATCGGAATTTGACAGTAATTGTTGTATTTTAAATAAATACATTCATTTTTTCTCATAGGTTTAAATTAGCTATAAAATTTAATGAAATTTGATACCAAACACTACTTTTGAGATAAAAATTATTTAAACATTTTAGTTATATAACCTAAATATCTTTGAGGTCGTTTTATTTTCGAATATAAAGTACTTTTTTGTCTTAAAATCGCTTAAAGAAACACGTTCTTAAATAACACTCTTCAAGGACTCTATATTTGAACTCACCTGCATCAAAAGATACCAAAACATACCAAACACCATCCCAGTCATTATAATCAAGCTCAACTTCAATCCTTTGTTCTCCTGATGATTGATCCAGTGCCTCAAATCCAAATAATAACCTCTAAAATACCCCTCTTTAACTTTCTGACGTTCACTGGCAGTCTCCTTGTCATCCTCTGTCTGAGTACCAACATTACTCTTCAAGGACTTGTCAAAAAACTCTTTACTAGCATCCGTGAGTAACTTAATCTCAGATACTGGCCTATTTGGCCCCAAAAAATCAGACTGGGAATAGTTAGGCACGTTATAGTGACCAGTATAGATGACGATGTGATTTTCAAAGTTGGAGAGGCTCTGAAAGTTGCCTTCTTGGGCTTCCTTGGGTAGTTTGTAGTTGTGGCCCGGTAGGGGGTACTCGGGGTACAAACGCGGGGGATCTGGAGCATGGGGGCCTCCTAGAAGAAGGGGCCCGTCGTCTGAGGCTGTGATAGTGACCACGTTTTGATCTACTAAGGATGGAATGGCGTAGAGGCCATGATGGTGTTCTCCAACATATAAAGTTGGACTGAAATAGAAAAAGAATTTAAAAAAAATATTTTTTATAAGAAAACAATTAAGCAAAATTATAAAAATAAATAGACTATAGGTACAAAATAATTTCAATTCAAAAAGCAGTGATGTTTCTAAAAATTATTTATTCAATGAAAATTAATATTTATACTTCCTTTAGTTTTCCTTAAAAACAGCGTAAAACGAGACAGCGTAAAACGAAGCAGCGTAAAACGAAACAGCGTATATCGAAACAGCGTATATCGAAACAACCTTTTTATTACATAAACTACACATGATGAGTTTAAATAAATGCAAATATTTTTAGGGGTGGTGTATTTCAACCCCAGAAACACGTTTAAGAAGTTTCTTTGTGAAAAAAAAATTGACAATTTTGACAAGTATCTACGCGTGGGATATCTATGTTGCCGTTTCTCATCGTATGTTATAACTCGACAAATCGTTGATTTGTATTGAGGTACCTATATTGAGTTACATACATATAAATATTTCCTATCTAATATGGAATTAGTAAAATCGCGTAAAAGTAAACCGCATAAAACAAGTCACTGAAACCGCGTAAAACGAGACCCACCTGTATTTTAAAAAGAAAAGATCAAAATAACAGAAATATACTTACTATAGTTTCATATGATTGGGATTATCAACCAGCCCATTATGAAAATCAATTTCACTAGCCAAATAATGAATGGTATGATTTGACAAGCTGGTAAATGGTACTTTAATCAACCCATCCAAAGATAACAAATAAATGGCTATAACAGGACTGCCAAGATCACCCTCCCAAAGTAGTGAACCTCTTCTTCTATCCAGCGTTAGTATTTTACCACTTGATGTAGAAGCAAAATGTACCAAATCTGGAGCATCATTCTTAATTGAAAAAAATTACTAAAACATTTATAGTTTTTTACCATAAATATTCAGTTCCTCGCTACCCATATCGGCAGCTGTATAGTCGTAAAATGTTACATTCCATTTTTTATTATGGGTATTTGTATCTACCATCATTATGGTGTATTTGGTACGCCCTATATACACGAAATTGTTGACTTCGACTGGACATGTGGGGCTATTATCACCCCATCCTATAATCTGTTCCTTGTTGCCAGTTTTGGGGTCTAATTTGTACCAAATATCTTTCTTTTTTCCTAAATATTAATAATAATATAAAATACTTTATATTTACATCTGTAAAAAGCCGATCAACACGTCAGTTATGATGTGTAAATCAAGTTTTATATGTATGTATAAAAATTTTATTCTGTGAATAAACAAAATAAAAAGTTAAAAAAATAAATGAAAAGGAAATATAAAAATGTATTAGTAAAAAATACAAAATAAAAATTAAAAAATTTAACAAGAAGAAAAAAGAACTAAAAATTAATATAAAAAAATAATAAATATATATAAAACGTAAAAATATAGTGAATAAAAAAGTTAAAAATGAAATATTTAATATCTTTTGATATCCATTCTCAGCAATTTTGCTGTATATAAACTATTTTTTTCTACTGAACTTTTATTGATTTATTTAATAATATACAATTCCAATATAATTTCTCCATAATTAAATAATAAATTAAACTCTACTAAACTTGCAAAAAGAGTCTTTTCCGAATGAAATATTCATCAAATCAATAATGATGACCTACAAAAACTACTAACAGCAATTTTAATATTTTCTCAATATTAAAACAAGGAAAATACATTTTCTTTGATAATATCCAATCAACTTTGATCAATATTTCAATTTAAAATAACCAAGATAGTTAAATTTTTAATAGTTCCCACGTTTTTACTTTAAAAATGAGCGAAATACATAAAAATATTTACAACAATGCCATGTTACTTATTTCTTATCAGTAAAAATTCATGTTATATAAACCAAGTGTAACATAAAAACTATAAAATTTGCATAACAAAAATATAATATATTATCTTACCAGTATATAATATGCCATCAGAGCTCCTACATGGTGACGAATGCACTAACTGGGGTATATTAAACGGTAGTTTTTTCAGTGGTTTTTTACTACTACCCATTAAATACAAGGACCCATCTCTGGGGTCTGGTAAAAAAATCGGTACAAGAGCTTCTGATGTGTCTAATGGAACTTGGACTATGGGTTCTAAAAGTATTAAAAAAAATTAGAAATAATAGATATTTAATCACGTTTGATATTATCTAACTTACTGTCCTTGATTTTCCATAATACTTTTCCTGTTTGTTTATCTAAAGCCGCAAAGGTACCATCTAAAGTGGCATAGACCAACAGCCTTTCGTCAGACTCCTTTGCTAGTTCTGTGTTCAGTCCATCAATTTTCTTTGATATTAAATAAAGCAGGATGATATCAAATTGTAATTCATTATAATTTAAATATAATAACTATTTACCTGTTCTATTTCATCATTAAATACAAAACCGAGACATGCACAAATGCATAAAATACACCATATCTTTTTCATCTTGACCTGTATTCTGTTTACAATAATTCGTACACATTTATGTAACTTTTTACACCGATCAAACAAAATTAAAACTGTTTAAATTAGTTAAAAATTGTGTTTTTCAACAAAAATATGCACTCCTTTTAACAACTTACAACCTGTTTTTGACATTGACAAATATTTTATTCCTGTCAAATTATGTTTTTGTATTTTAGTGCCAACCATAGAATAACTAACTGAAAGAAATGAAAACTCCTATGTTAAAGCCTGGAAACACGCGCTCGACGCGATCCAAGCGGGCTACTGGCAGAACTAAAAATTCGCGCCATATTTTTAAATGGACCTTTACTGCCAGTTCATAAGTTTTTTACTTATATTTGGTAATTTCAATCTAGAAATAAGTTTTTCTTGAAAGTACAATAATGTTACTTTAAATCGTTATTTAATCGATATAACAATTATTTATTTAGCTTTATAGTGTTTTACTGAACCGGAGTTGACAAACAATATCGTCAAAATGAGTGGTTTCAATTATTCCAGTTTCAACAAATCTAACAAAATGAATGCTGTACCTCCTCCTAGCAGTTTAACAGCTCCTTCTGTGCCTAAGAGACTGAATGCTGTACCTCCTCCTAGTTCTATGGGAACGGGAATAAGGCACAGTGCCATTCCACCCCCTACGACTGGTCTTAGCAAACAGGGATATTCGACTATGACTGCTATCAGCCAGAACGCTCTTACAGCGTCTTGGGGCACAGGATCCAGGAAACGAGCGGTTACAGAAGACGAGTAAGTTTCTAAAGATCGAGAACACATTAGGTTGAAAGGGAATATACAAAAATAACAAGAACCTTGTCAGGTAACATGTAGGGCATTTTTGATCGGATATGTTTCAGATATTTTGATCAAGATGACGAGGAACAAGTACCAGAGCTTGCATATATTCCCGCACCTGATAGTCCTACTAGGTAAATAGAGTTTACTTGTATTTTTAAGACATTTTTTAAATATGTATTGTTTTTAGGTTAGAAATGAATAGAAAAAGGTCCGGGGATGATGATAATGATGACGATGACGATCCACTTGATGCTTTTATGGCGGGGATTGAAGCTCAAGTAAAACAAAATGCTTGTGTTGAGATTTTTGATTAATTTATTTATATATAGGTTCAAAAAGAGAGTCAGAATGTTGGTTCATCTGCACAGTCCCAACAACAAGCTGTTAGAAATGATTTAGAGGAAGAAGATATTGAAGAATCTTATTACAGGTACATGGAGGAAAATCCAAATGCTGGTGTGTTACCTGTGGAAGAGGATGGCATAGAAATAGGTAAAATTTGTTGTTAAATGTATTTAAACTGTATGCTTACTTTTTTTTAATTTTTAGAGTATGATGAAGATGGAAATCCAATCCCACCTGATAAGAAAAGAATTATTGATCCACTTCCACCAATCGATCATTCAGAGATTGAATATCAACCTTTTCAGAAGAATTTCTATATTGAGCATCCAGAAATAAAGTTGCTCAGCAAGAATAAGGTATAGGAATATTAATAAATGTCATAACAAATTTGTAATTTATAATTTTAGGCTTCTGAGTTGCTTAAAACTTATGACCTTCACGTCTCGGGAAACGATATACCAAAGCCTGTCGCTTCTTTTGCCCATTTTGGCTTTGACAGCAAACTTCTAAAGGCTATTGTTAAAGCAGAGTATTCATCACCTACACCCATTCAAGCCCAGGCAGTACCGTGTGCCATGATGGGTAGAGATGTACTGGGCATTGCTCAAACCGGTTAGTGTAAATAATTAAAATAAAATTGGGTTTATGAAAAAAAAATTTTTTTTGCTAGGTAGTGGTAAGACTGCAGCTTTCTTGTGGCCTCTCTTGAAGCATGTTTCAGTTCAAAAGCCTGTGGAGGAAGGGGAGGGGCCCATAGCTCTTATTTTAGCTCCGACAAGGGAGTTAGCGTTGCAAATTTACAATGAGGCTAAAAAGTTTGCTAAAGTTTATGATTTGAGGGTGATATGTGCCTATGGTGGTGGATCAAAGTGGGAGCAAACATTGGTAAGTACACAAATAAAAAAATGTGCAATAATAAAAAAGTTACACTTAAAAATAAAAAAAAAGAACTAAAAAACTAAAAATTAAAATGACAATATTAAAGAAAAAAGAGATTAAAAATTCAAAAGCATAAAAAAATAAAGTAAAAAGTAAAATAAAAATGAAAAAAATAAAACATGTAGTTAAAAAAATAAAACAAGTATAAAAAATTAAAGGAAAAAAAGTTATAAACATAAAAGAAAAAATTAAAAGTGTAAAAATAAAGAACGTTAAAAATAAAAGGCGAAAGTAAAAAAATGTACAATTAAAAAGAACAGTATATAAAAAAAATAAAATATAAAAATAAAAGTAGAAATGTAGAAAATAAAAAAGTTAAAAAATGAAAGAAAAAAGTAAAAAACGAATAACATAAAATAAAAAAGTAAAAAACTTCCTTTTTTTCGTTTATTTTTTTTTTCATTTTATTTTTTCCTTTTTTTTCGTTTTAATTTTTTTTAATTTTTTCCCTTTCTTTTTCCTTTGTTTTTTTCTTCCTCTATTTTGTTTAAAAATAAAAGACGAAATTAGGTTAAAGTCAACAAGAAAAAAGTTACAGTATAAAAAATTACATTTAAAATATAAAAATAAAAAAGCAGAAAACAAAAAGTTAAAAGAATGAAGAAAAAAGTAGACAAAAAACTTTTGTCCTTTTCATTTCTTTCATTTTTTTTCATTATTTTTTTCCTATTCTTATTTTTCCCCTTTTTTCCTTTCTTTTTACTTGTCTTTTTTTCCCTTCCTAATTTTTTAAAAAATAAAATATGAAAGTATAAACAAATTTAAATGAAAAAGAAGTTAAAAAAAAATATTAAACAGATAAAAATTAAAAAGTAGAGAATAAAGTTAAAAAATGAGAGAAAAAGTCTAAAATAAAAAAAACTTTAAAGTAAAGATAAAAGAAATTATAATAACAAAATTAAAAGAATAAAATAAAAAGAATTAAAGATAAAAATAAAAAAGTAAAAACTAAAAAATATCAAGTTTTTTGAGATAATCATTTTAAATTATTGATTTTAGGCTCTGCAAGAAGGCGCGGAAATAGTCGTGGCAACACCGGGTCGTATAATCGACCACGTCAAAGGCGGCGCCACAAACTTACAGCGGGTGACGTTTCTGGTATTAGATGAAGCCGACAGAATGTTTGAGTTGGGTTTTGAGCCTCAAGTTAGATCGGTTTGCAATCACGTTAGGCCTGATAGACAGACTTTGCTGTTTTCTGCAACATTTAGATACAAAATTGAAAGGTATGATTTATTTTGTGTATCTATTTTTTTCACTTTTTTTTCTTTAAAATTTTTAACTTATTTTTTTACAAAATTTGTTGTATGTTTTTAGTGTCTCTTTTTCTATATTTTTCCACCAGGATACTATAGAGATAAGGATAGTTCGATTCCTATCTTCCTGCACTGTCAGTTGTGTTACGTCATCAACTGACCGAGTTGAAGTTGGCGCTAAAGATTTTAAACAGTGAGAGTTATTTTTGCATTTGAAGGACGAGCACACAGTGCGTTTAAAGATAAATTTAGCGGGACAAAAGCGTTTGGTTAGAAATAAGCCAAAAATGTGTACTGATAAGAATAAATAGTAGACATTCCAATTGATACAAAAATGCATGAATATTCTTTGTATTTCGATACATTTTATCAACCAAATTTGGTCGTTTTCTGCTCAGCAAGGCAGAGATCATACGAAAACAAAATATTTACAAGTACTTATACATTTTATTAGAAAGCCAAATTATGTTGAAGATTGCCAAAGGAATGTACTTTTCTACTGTACGTATATTATTTCTTAAAATCCTTCGTGCCGTTGTTCTGCAGATATCAAACTTGCACTTTTTTTTCAAATATCGATATATTGAATGATGTAGATCTTTTTAGTTACCAATAGTTACCAACACAGGTAGTCACAGTCACAGGGAGTTCAAGCTTAACAGGTGAATGCCCAAAAAGATTCATTTCAATCGGATAGTATAAAAACAAAACAACTCCATCAAAAGGCACTGAGTTTAAAAAATTGTTTTGGATACTTACTATATATGAATTTACAATTACCGAGTGTTAAAATTAAAATACCTATCTTATTTATTATTTTCAAAATAAAATATATTTTTTTAAAATAAATTATAGAGGGTGTCACAAGATTACAAATTAATTAAAAAAAACTGCTAAAGAGTTGTTTGATATCATAATTTTATGTATTTGGCAATAGTTTACAATACGGTTTTTGTGTGTCATGTACGAATAATATAGTTTTATTATCTTATATTTATTTATTAATAAATTAAGTGTAATAAGTAAATAAATTTAACCATATAGTTGCTACATATTAGACCATTTGCTACGTTCTTAGATTTTAAGTCCCAAACATTGCTCTTGAGATTTTGTCCCGCTAGAATAACCATCCGCCGCACTGTGGAGCGCTGGTCAGCGCGTGACGTAGCATTCCGCGGCGATTTGACCCGATCGAACAGTCCTTTAGAATATATACAGTCCTTGATTTTTCCATACCCTGTATGTAATAGAACGTTCACATGAGTTTATTATTTTTCTTCAAAATATTTAGGTTGGCCAAAGATGCGCTTCACGATCCAATAAAAATTTCTCAAGGTATGAACATTATTTTTTTGTAATTTTAAATTATTTTTACATGTTTTTTTTGGTCGTAACCTTTTAAATAGGAACTACTGGTCAAGCCAATGAAGATATCACCCAACATGCCTTGCTTTTACCCACTCAGGAAGCCAAAAGAGATTGGTTGTTTGGAAAACTAGTTGAATTGTTATCAGCTGGTTCAGTGTTGATATTCGTCACGAAAAAACTAGATGCTGAAAAAGTAAGTATAGTTCATATCAAATAAACGTTTAGTCACGTGATTAAGGTTGACCGGAAACAGTGTTGCCCACTTTTACATATTTTCTTTTAGTCAAAGTATTTTAGGAAACATAAATAAATTAATTATAAATACACTATCGGACAAAAGTAGAGCAACAAAGTTTATTTTTATTCATGTTTTTAAAAACAAAAAAAATTATTAGGTTGTGATTTTCGGCTATGTTTACTAACACACTATCCTTACACTAAAAGTAATATTTTACAAAATTTTGGTGTGCTTTTAATCAGTTTAAAAATGGTAAATAATAATGATTATAAAAATTGATGAGAATGGGGGCGACAAAAGTAGAGCAACAAATTGTAGTCAACAGATTTTATTGTGTCTTCTTCTTATTTTTATTCTTCTTCTTATTATTATTTATTTCAACAAAAAAATATTTAACTAGAGATGGGCGAAACTGTTATTTTTAGATAACAGTTGAAACTGTTATTTTTAGATAACAGTTGAAACTGTTATAGTTATTTATAAAAAACAGCTTAAAATAACAGCTTAAAAATAACAGGTTTCTTTATTTTACTGCTAAATATCTGAAAGAGTATGAGGCTGTCACCGCCAGGCGTATTAACGCAGTTGCAAGTTGCAACAATGACGTGCTCGGTGGTAGTATTTCCAGGGTGTCAAAACATTTCTAAATATCGATTGTTATCTAAAATACCTCTCTAAAAACGGTCGTTGTTTACAAATAAGCGCCGTTTACAAATTGCGATATAAAAAAGCCAAAATTCCGCCACTCGTCTATACGTATACATTCCGATCTACCTACGCCTTGCCCCTCGATCGGCGTAGATCCTGAATTGCGTAGCAGTGTACAGGGTGCATCTCACTCGACGGGCGAGAAGCTCTTAGTTATGATTTTACCATTTGCGGTCAAAAAATAGCAATATAGAAAATGTGTAGTATATTCTTCATAAGTAAACCAACTACACACTAGAATTCGAATTAATTTTATACTTAAACTAGCGTGTACCCGCTACTTCGTTCGCGTCGAATTAATAATTTGTAATGGTGATGATAAAGCACAGCAAGAATTTTTATTAACATACAAACTGGATAAAATTTTCTCACATTTGCCAAAAATAAGCTTTAAACGTCGAGCAGTTTAAGCAGAATCGTGGTTAATCAATTACTCAACTTTTTGGAACATCCTGTATTATTTTTTAAAAAATTTCAAAATATGTAAAAAAACAAAATAAATTATGCGTGTCCAAGCGTTTTCCCGAAAGACTAACCGTTTTTTAAATAACAAATATTGTAATATTTGAGGGGCGTTTTCACCCTCTTGGAATTTAAGATTCGAGAAACCTCTCCTTATCGAACCTCAACCCCACAGTCAATCCGTTTGCCAAAAATCAGCTTTAAACGTCAAACAGTTTACGCAGAATCGTGATAACTCAATGGTCACATTTTATGAAACACCCTGTATATATTTTTAAAAAATCTTAAAATATGTAAAACAACGAAATAAAATATACGTGTTTAAGAGTTTTTCCGAAAAACTCACCGGTTTTTATATAAAAAATATTCTAATATTTGAGGGTGGTTTTACCCCCTTAGAATTCGAGTTTCGAAAAATCCCTTCTTATCGAACCTCTACACTCTAAAGTCAATCTGTTTTCCAAAAATTAGCTTTTTACGTCAAGGGCTTTAAGCAGGATCGTGATTAATCAATGACCAGATTTTTCAAAACACCCTGTATACATTTTTAAAAAATCTTAACTGAAATTATTGATATATACTGATATTATTCTGAAAATTTTTCAGAATAAATAAATACCTAAATATTGAAACTTAATAACGTACTGAAACATACAGCGCCATAATATCTCGACCTCCGCCCGTTATGCTCGTAACAGGTTGAAAAGCAATGTATTTAAAACAACTGATGCGTTATTCTCCAACCTGTTTCGAACTTCCATCGACAATCGACCGATGCAGCAGCGTTCCTTTCCCACTCCGATTATCTCGACCGCCACCCTGTTATTCTCGTAACAGGTTGAAAAACAACGTATCTAAAATGACTGCTTCTCCAACCCGTTGCGAGCCTCCATCGACAATCGACCGATGCAGCAGCCTTCCTTTCCCACTGCTGTTATCTCGACCGCCAGGCGTTATGCCCGCAACTGTTTCAAAAAAACCTGCTTCTTTTTATATCCTATTATTTTAAGCTGTTGTAAGCCCAATACGACCGTCGACGGGATCGACCGAAGCAGCTACGTTCGCCGTAGCGCATTCCCCACTCCGTTGTCCGTTGTCTCGCCGCCTGTATCGATGGTTGACGAAATAACATTTTTTTCATCCATACTAGTTGTTTTTTGGAATTGCTTCGAGCAGCATAGAATTTCTTGGCGGTGCAGAGCGCCGACTTCGTTTTTCGTTTCACGAGCGGCCGATCTCTGCGTGTCGTTATTTTATATCTGTTATTTTTTAGAAGTAGTAACGGTTGCGTTATGTTATTTCTAAATAATTGTTATAAAATAACAGATAGTTAAATAACAACCCATCACTACTTGAGAACTACTATAATAATAATATACTAGATTAATTTTAAATATTTTTGACAGGTGGCCAAAGACTTGTTAGTTAAAGAGTATGACTGTTTGCTGTTGCATGGGGATATGGAGCAAGCTGAAAGAAATAAAGTTATTACAGCTTTCAAGAAGCAAGAAGTACCTTTAATGGTATGTATTTGTATTGGAAATATGTGGAAAATGTTGAATTTTTGGTTGATTTCAGGTTGCTACTGATGTGGCTGCTAGGGGTTTGGATATTCCTCATATCAGGACAGTTATTAACTATGACATAGCTAGGGATATTGATACGCATACCCATAGGGTTGGTAGGACTGGACGTGCTGGTAAGTCTTTATCTTAAATACATAACTAACGTCAAGAAATACAGGGTCGCTAATATGTATAGGAACGGTCGATTACCCAAGTAGCAAAAAGAAATTCTAAAAGGATTGAATTATTTTATAACAGTCAAATAGCGTTGTCTTAAGGACTGCTTGATTTTATTAAGCGTTTGGTTTCGACCATTCTGTTTTTTAATTAAAGTTGTCATATTAAACTATATTCTAGTGGTTTTTACAACGTATCCTATAACGCATTAAACGATAATTTCTTTTAGTATGATATAACACTTAATAAGACAATGCTATATGATAACAAATATATTATTTTATGAGACTGTTATACCCACCATGTAAGCGTTCTATAATATTCAGGGGGGGGGTGGAGGGTTGGTAAGGGGGTATGGGAGAGAGTTAAAAATTTTAAAAAATCGTAACTCAAAAATTACAGTAACGAAACGCGGTTTTCAAATTAAGATTAGGAATAATATTTGCAACAAAATTTGTAATAACATCAAAATCAAAGTCGCAGTTTTTGAGATATTAATATATTTTAGTATGGGCGGCTATACATACCTCCAGGTGCCAATTTTTTCAAAATTGACCTAAAAATGTATGCGTGTTTCTTAAGGTTAACGCGTTTTTTGACAGGTATGCAGGGTACGGCTTACACGTTATTAACCTTCAAAGACAAGGAATTTGCCGGGCACATAGTAAAGAATCTCGAAGCGGCCCATCAACAAGTACCGCAAGAGGTTATGGATCTAGCGTTACAAAGTTCATGGTTCAGAAGTCAAAAGTAAGTAAAACCATTTTTATGTAGATAGGTTTTTTCTTTAGTTTTTTACTTCTTTTTTTGACAGGTTGAAGAGCAAAAAAGAAAATCCCAACGTGGGCGGCATAGGGCTGGGTTTCAAGGCGAAACCGTCGGCGATGCGAGGCTTCGTTGCCAGCTCCTCGGGAAATCTGTCAACGTCGCCCGCGGCTCCGCCCCCTTCTACGAAGGGACCCGCCACCAACAGACTGACCGCCATGAAAGAGGCCTTCAAAGCTCAATATATGAATCAGGTGAGTTAATCAGCATTTGTTTTTCATTTTGTGCATTTTTTTTCATTTACTTTACGTTATTCATTTACATTATTTGATACGTTTTGACTGAACAGATAAGACTGACAGCTAAACCGTTAAGTGTAGACACGGCTTAATGCGTTAATACAAGAATAGTTATTAGACTTGTCGGTTAGTCTTTTTAATCAATGTTTTAGAGGAAAAAAAATGTAATGCATTTTAATTTTTTTTTCTGTGATGACGCTTTATTATACAGGGTGTCCCAGAAATAAGTGCAAATATTTTAACTGGTAGTATAGTTCAACCCCAGAAACACGCCTATGAGGTTTTTTTTGCGAAAAAAAAATGTTAAAAATTTAAAATTTTTCTTGACATTTTCCGGGAAATTTGAAAAAACTTTTTAGTGCCACTTGTTTATTCACCTGAGATTTCCCTACGGTGTATCTATACCTTGCAGTGTTGCAACCTCCTATATTATCCACATTCTACATAATTCGGCGGAACATAGTTCTACATTTATAGACAAATTTCTACTCAAAAAATTAGGAATGTTAAATTTAATCTTTTATCAATGCTCATTATTAATAATTATAGAAAAAAAACACATTAATTATTTTTAGTACTTACCCTTTCAATGAAAACTTAACAAAAACCACCGAAAATTAACTAAAACATTACGTTTATGACGTTTACGAAAATCTTTGTTATGCTGAAAAATAACTTTATTTTGGAATAAATTTAATAAAATGATTCATATTATTCACAATCAGGTCACAAAAAGAAATTCCTAAAATGTTTATCGTAATTTAGAATTCAATTCAAGAAATTTAGAAAACAGCCCAACGAATAATCGATTCATTTTTGTTTTGTTTGTTTTCTTTCATGTTTCTCTGTTTTATTTGAACCACTGTTTTACAAAACACCTTGAAAAGCACACATTACACATTACTTTGAATACCTTTCTGAATGAATAAATGTTGAGAATTATTGTCTCTTATCGCCACTTTACGAACTACTTTCAATCTAAGAAAATACATGTTTCACTCAACAATTTTTGACAACGTATTTTATTTTTTCGCTATTTTTTCGATGTATTTCGACAATTCCATCGACCTAACGACCTAACCGGTCGTTCTTCTCTGGCCTAACCGTCAGCCAAGAACCGCCGCGTGTGAACTGGTCCTTTGAGTCGCCGGTCGCCGCGCCGTCGTGGCGGGCTTGCGTCAGACGACGATGTTAAGCAACGTTGCCGTAGTTACAACAATTTCAAATTCAAGACATTCGAAGCAATCAAATTCGTATGAAATTTTAAAAATAAAACAGAGAAACATGAAAGGAAATAAACAATATAAAATGAATTGATTATTCGTCGGGCTGTTTTCGATGTATTGAATTCTGAATTACGATAAACATTTTAGAAATTTCTTTTTTGTGACCTTATCAATAACCAATTCATTTGTGTTTTGTTTGTTTCCTTTCATGTTTTTCTGTTTTATTTTTAAAATTTAATAAAATTTGATTGCTTCGAGTATCTTGAATTTGAAATTGTTGAAACTACGGCAACCTCGCATGACGCAAGCTCGACACGGCGGCGCGACAAAGGCAGTTACCAGTGCGCGCCTCTCTTGGCCGACGGCCGACGCGACGATTGGGCTGTCGATGGAATTGTTGAAATACATAGAAAAATAGCGAAAAAAACAAAATACGTATTTAAAATTGTTGAGTGAAACATGTATTTTCTTAGATTGAAAGTAGTTCGGAAGTGACAATAGTGGCGGTAAGAAACAATAATTCTCAACATTTATTCATTCAGAAAGGTATTCAAAGTAATGTGTGCTTTTCAAGGTGTTTTGTAAATGAGTGATTCAAATTGTGATGAGGCCTATATGAAAATAATGTGTTAAAAATGGGGACTGGTATTTTAGTAGTTATTATAATAGCATGTACAAGTAAAGCAGTACAGTGAAGTGTATTTTAGTTAAGTGTATATCGAAAAAGAGAACTGTCGCAGTTACATCGATCTGTCATAAGTATCTTTTTAATGTTGGGTAAGTTTTTTAATTTAACTTTTTTTAACACATTTTTTAACACATTATTAAACATTTAACTTTTAATTTATTTTATGTAATAATATCACAATCTTAAAAGTGTAAGGTGCACCAAAATGTAATGCATCTCTGCAAACTCCTCAGGTGTTGTGATTTTATGACTTACTTTTAACATATACTTTCTTGTCCCTATGGCAACACAGTGCGTCGAATTAACTGAAATCCGGGCTTGCTCCGGGTAATTGACTGATAGTTGGCGATATGACAGCTAAAGGTTCTCAAAATATTGCGATTATTTTTTTAAATTTTCAAAGTTAAATAACTCGGTTATTTTCAATTTATTTTAAAAATGGTAAAGAGAAAATATGTTTATTTTGACCAGATCTACCACCCCTTAAAATATCTGCACTCATTTCTGGGACACCCTGTATAGTGCCTTGATTGGTCCAAAAATAGCCAGGCGACATTTTTATAGCTTAATCACACTTCTAGCCTATGATGGAAATAAAAACGGTGTCAAGTTTGTTTGGAAACGACGATCGATGACACATCATATAAGTTTTCATCTGAAACGACAGCAATTCAGTCATTTCTAAGCTAACTCTGACGCCGTTTTTTTTTCTTCGATCGTGTGGTACTTATTGTACCTTTTTTTCTTAGTTCACTGCTAGTTCTGAAAGTCCCCCACCGCCACCGCCTAGCCAAAGAAAAAAAAAGAGCCGATGGGAATGAACAACCAGCGTTTTTATTTAAATTTTAATGAAATTATTAGGTACTCGCGTATGTACAAATGTTACAAACTAAAACTAAGTTCGTTTTAGATGCAGAACTTTACACAGTCAACAGTTATTACTTCAGGTTATCTGACATTTGTTATATGTTACAGTGAAAGTCGGAAATTCAGTGATTGTTAACAGTCACTAGGAAATGCTAACAATTACGCATTGGACCAGTGAATGTGGTATTTTAAAGAGATTTGTCGACTTTTCATAGTAATTTCTAAAAAAAATGATTTAAATCAAGTGATTTTTTTAATTTTAATCATGTGATTTATATCAAAACATTAATTTTATTGAAACTTTATAATAAATGAAAAAATAACTGTAAAAGTTATAAAAATCTGTCCCAGAAAACTATAAAAAATATTTCTATAACAAATATAACAGATAATAAATCGAAAAATAATTATAAATTTTATAAAACTATATAAAAATATCTATTCATCAACTTAAATGTTGAACCAATTTTTGAAGTAATTTCGTGTGAATCCATAAAACCGCTAAACGCAGGGATTTATTTTAAAATTTATTTATAAGTGACAAAAATTCGCTTTTCGAATACATATAATTCACCGACTAGTGCAGAACTAGGTTCTTCTGATATAGAGACTATAATATAGTCTCTATATCAGAAGAACCTAGTTACCTAGTGATATAGAGACTATAATATAGTCTCTATATATATAGTCTATAAAATGAATAACTTTGAATTTTGACCGTTATTTTTTACCAACATGGCAAATATAAAATCCCCCTGTCAAAAAAGTTACTGATATTCTTTAAATTGAGTGCCTGAACGAATCAGATGGGTAACTCTTTTTACTTTCGTGAAATAGAAAAGGAAAATAATAAAACAAGTGACAGTTCTTCCTCTTCTTGCAAAATAACACAAAATGTCATAACTGACAAAAGTAAAATGTCATCAGCTTTTGACATTTCTAAATATTAGACCAATGCCATCTCAACAGCCACGAAGCGAGATTTATGACGTCACGCTAGTTAGATACTACGGATTAATAAATATGTTGTAGAATACATGGAAAACATAATTATTCCTCGTATTTTTGGTTTGTATTTTAAAAATAATATAGTTTACATAAAATATACATAATATACCGTTAATAAATACAATATAATATATACCTATTTATAGTAATAAATACTTTGGCAAATAAACTATGAACCATACAAATGCAGCAAATGCTTTACAATATACAAATAATGAATAGGTGGTACATAAGATAATGGGTAAAATGTAAAATATATTTTAAATTTTGGGGTTTGAAAATCGATCTAATTTAACAAAAAACATTCAATATCTATTAATAGTGATGTATTATTATTTGCATTCACAAAATTTATTTATATATTATAATGTTTACTGCAATTAATAAACTAATACAAACTTGTCAAAAGATGACCACATATTTTTAAAAAATTATTATTCTTAACACAAAAACTATCTACATTGACTATGGAGTACGATTTCAGCCATATTGTAAAACATTTGCTGCATTTGTATGGTTCATAATTTATCTGCCAAAATATTTATTACTATAAATAGGTATATATATTGTATTTATTAACTGTATATTATGTATATTTCATGTAAACTATATCATTTTTAAAATACAAACCAAAAATACGAGGAATAATTATGTTTTCCATGTATTCTACAACATATTCATTAATCCGTAGTATCTAACTAGCGTGACGTCATAAATCTCGCTCTGAGGCTGTTCTATTAGAGACGGCATTGCGTCAGCATGGCCGCAAGTTGCTAACCTAATAAAATTAACACTAGAAAAGCCCGCGGGAACTGCCAAATTCAAAGTTATTCGTTTTACAGACTATAGAACCTAGTTATTATCTTCATTCCCGAAAATATATAATCCTTGTCAGAAAATATGTTGTTTTATATATTTTTTTTGAAACGTTGGTATGTTTCCAAATTCTTACCGACATTGATGATTTGCAGTAAGTACTTTACACTTTGACATTAGATCATACTAATTTCATTCTCGACTTAAATACTATTTCCGAACAATAGTGTATTGTTTTATTAAGAGTAGAAATTATACTTTTTTTGCCGATGCTGTACATTTGAAGAACCATCGTAAAGCTATTCCGACGTTACAAGGAAGCACAAAAATTACATTTTTACTCCGAATAAAACACTATATTTTTAAAACATTACAAATAATGTTTTAATCAATTTCAAATGTTGCAAATAATACAAAGAGTAATCGAGAAACGATTTGTACACTCGTTGAATTTGACACCTAATATCAGTTTAATAATATATTTTTGTACTTGTGTGCTTAGGCGTAACAGTGATTTACTTTTATGCCTATAGCCGTTAAAATGACAAAAATTAATACTTTTGGGACGTTTGAAAAAAAATCCTTTTGATCTGAAGCGAGCGACTGTTTGCGGAATATATTGGTGACCGATGTGGAGAAATGGCACGCCCCGTAGAATTGTTAATGTCATCGGTATCGCTCAGAGTTTTTTTAGGATAGGACTTTAATTGGAAATAAGTCCTAGTCATTTGGAAATCGGATTTAAATATTGTTTTGAATTAAAATCAAAAAAATCTGATTTAAATCAAAAAAATCCGATTTAAATTTTAAAAAATCTGATTTTTTAAAAAAAATCATGATTTTTTCCAACCCTGCTTCTAAATATTAATAAAAAATCGGTAAAAAAAACTTTTAAGTTAAACGGTTTTATCTTATGTGCACTGAAAACTAGAAAATAATAATAACAATTAGGTATTTTGAACTAGTTCAGAAATATTTTAGTACTAGGCAGAATAACTTTTAGGCATATTAGACTAAAATAAAATCGTGGGGCCCCTCTGAAATCCTATCTATGGCAAAGCATATCTTTATACTTTGGTAAATCATGAGCTCGGCGTTCGCTGGTGAAGCCGCCACGGCTGGTTATTGATTGTCAAAATCTCTAGTTACGATTATAGTAAGTCGATGCAATCCACACTTAGTATAGAAGAAAGTATTAGAGCAATAGTTAATGGGCCCCACGTTTTTATTTTAGTCTAATATGCCTAAAAGCTATTCTGCCTAGTACTAAAATATTTCTGAACTAGAAGTTCAAAATACCTAATTGTTATTATTATTTTCTAGTTTTCAGTGCACATAAGATAAAACCGTTTAAAAACGTTTTTTTACCGATTTTTATTTTTCTAGTTTTTTAGTATTTAACGGAAATGCCTACCGAATATTCCTCATTCTATTTAATTCATTTAGTGCATCATTATTACATGGTTTTTACCTGATAATTTATTACAATCTGACGCTCAGGTGTTTCTGACGCTAACAACTCTCTCTGTCTGTCGCGTTCTGATGCTAGCCTAGACTCATGACGCTCAGGTGTTTCTGACGCTAACAACTCTCTTTGTCTCTCTCGTTGTGATGCCAGCCTAGACTCATGACGCTCAGGTGTTTCTGCCGCTAACAACTCTCTCTGTCTGTCACGTTGTGATGCTAGCCTGGACTCATGACGCTCAGGTGTTTCTGACTCTACCAGCTGCCTTTGTCTCTCACGTTGTGCTATTAACCTGGCATCATGTTGCTCAGGTGTTTCTGTTGCTAACCGTTCTCTTCGTTTCTGTAGTCGACTATATGTTTCATTTTCACTTTCTTTTGCACGTTTCGTTCTATACTTTTCTTTCGCCTTTTCGAGCCTTCTTTTTCGTTGTGTAGCAGTTTCGTTTTTATCGACCCTCCCAGAGGTTCAGTAGAGGGGCAAGGGCATATACAAGAGGCGCCCAATCTTGAGGGGAAAACGCTTGCGACATTACATTTTTAGCCACCCTAATGTCATACAGTCCTCAGCACGTTTTAACCTATTACCTTAACTTGGGTGGTAAAGCTACCGCTAACTACGTAGGTACATCTAATCACACACACACACACACACCTATTTTTTTTATCTGTCCTTCTAACGTCACACAATCTTGGACACAACTGTTCTGGACACGACTACTCATGCCCTCACCTAATACGCCATTTTGTAACGACGTCCATCTTGGATTTTAAATTTTGTCATAATCACAGTATTCTACTAGTGTAGCCCTTTCATTTGATACCCATATTGAGGGGGTTGTGGAAAAATATGAAATCCGCCATTTTGTACCGGCGGCCATCTTAGATTTACAATGTTATTGATATTACTATATTGTATTGTCATCGGAACTAAAGGTGTGTACCAAATTTCAGGTCAATCTGACAACAGGAAGGTACTTAAATTTCAATTTCTAATTTTGACCCAAATAAACAAACAAATAAATAAATACCGTACGGGTCGAGCTAAATAAAACCGTTTAAAAACGATAGTAAACGTTTTAAAGCGTACAAAAGAATTAAAAAAAAACATTCATAAGATTACTTATTGGTACAAGGTTTTTTTTTAATAAAGTTCTTCATCGTGGACAAAATAAAGGTATGCCCGAATTTTCTTCAACCGGGAGTTATTCGTTTTTTCAAACTCGCTACTTCAAGCATCAAAACTTTAATAAGTTCATAGTCACTAGGTTCTTTAATATTTTTTTCTCTTGCACGCTTAACTTTTGCTATGGCTTCATTATATTACAGAAATGAAAAACGAGCACTGTTACATTTTTGCGAGTGCCTGGTTTACCTTATTTTTTTTCACAGAAAGTTTCTTCCATAGGGAAAATACCGCACAGCACATTTTACAATGATAACAAGACAATTATACATAACCACAAAAAGCAAAGCGAATTTACGCCAGATGTCTGTCAACGTTGCCAACGTTTAGCCCAATTTAATGTTATCCTTATATTGCCTATTATTCAACTTATCCTTATTTATCCATATCTTTTACAACATGTGGCAACTGCGCTAACTGAATCTTTTAAACTCACTGCTATCACAGATTAGGTATCCTATAAGTATACAGATAAAAATCTTGTCCCTAATTCGTGGTACGAAAATTGTTTTTTATGACGATGTGCAAACGAGTCAAATTTCCTGCGGGCAAAAATAAACTCGCGTAAAATAACAATAAACAGCGTAATAGAGAGATATCGCTAAACAGAATAGCGTGCATGGACGTTAATAAGGCCAGATGTTATTTCCTTTACGCGAGGTGGTATTAACTCTCTTCATTTATAGTTATCGGATCGGAAAGAATTTTGTTCGCGTCGCGTCCGCTATTTATACTTAACTTTGAATTTAAAACTTTGAAATTGTTTTGTTTACTAGGTATTTTAAAAGTAAAGGGCTAAAGTGCTTATTTCCAGTGCTTTATTGTTCAACGTCTGCCAGTGGGTTTAGGGCAACAAGCAATAAATTCTCTTAGAAGGGCTAAGTCGTCATCTGCTGTAAACGTAAGCCTCTTTATAGGTTCTTTAATATTGGAAGAGGTGGAATCCATATTTTGGGCCATATTTATTTAATTAAAACTAATCCCAGCTACTTAAATATCAAATTACCTAATAAAACTAAAGTAATAATTCAAAACAATTCAAACATAACCTAAAATAAAAGATCTCGCCGGCCGACCCCGGGTGTCAAATACCCGCACATGCCCATTTAAGCAATTTTTAAACGTTATTTAGAAATAGCGCTTGGTGTAATTGATCCGCAAATTACGTCAGGCGGTAAGGTTATTAGCGGGTGTTGCGTTAAAAATTGACTCGCGCATATCGTAACCATGATAAGGTACGCGTAAATACTGCATGACGCTATTCGGTTTTCCGATATCTCTCTAATAACTGTGCCGGTCAGGCACTGTGCACAACTTTAGAGGCCTTTAGTGCCCGATTCCGAAAATTGGAACCACGATAAACAATAAAGATAAAACAAAGTGTATATCTATTAATCTGTATAATCTGTGCTGCTATCGTCCAGGGAATGCTAGCATTCACTAGTAAAATTTGGTTTCAAAAATAGCTCTTGAACTTTTACTGGCTTAGTCTTAGCAAATCAGCGAATGTGAGCTTTTACTAGTAATTGTTAACAATCACTTATTTCCAAGTTTTACTGTAACATATACATATTTAAAATCAATTTTAATATCAATTGTCAAATATAAATATTTAATTATTGCATTTTTAAAAAATAGAATTCAATAATAGACAATTTCTGTATGAAATTTTAGACCTTTTTAACGTTTGAACTTACAGTTAAACAAAATTGATAGAATTTTACTTTATATTGAGACTTTTTCTTAAAATAAATAGAATAAATGAAAAATTCAACGACATTATTGTGTTTTAATTATTTTGAACACCCTACATTGTCCCGGATTATCTTTAGAAGAGGAAAAACTTTTTTATTATTAACATTTTCAGAAAAATGCATTCTTCATAAAATGTTTTGCTTATTCTAAAATGGTTAATCCATAGACAAACTAACAAAAGCAAGACGCGTCAACGCTGTACTGCAAAACGGTAACAAGTTTGATAAGAGTTTATTACCGCGCTTGCGTCAACTGGCCTTTTAGACGAGGACGGTTTACTTATGGATTGTGTATTTTGTAGTAGCCTTTTAGACAAGGATGTTTAATTAAAAAGCGTTTATTAAAATCAAATAAATTTATTTCCATCGGTAAAATAAACAATCATTTCTGGACATAACAGATATAAAAACAAAAGTTAAATAAACGAAAAACGTATTCCTCTTATTAAAATAACAAAAAGATGATAAAAAACAACAGTTATGGTAAACGAAATAAAAGCATTATTCTTCAAAGGGTACAAAAAAAATAATTATGTATATTATAATATTAATAATAGGAACAACAAGAAATATCTTAAAAATATACAACTTTTTCAAATATAAAACAAAAACATAAACTTCACATTTTCACAAGAATTTGCAAAAATATTAACATTTCGAGTCTATTATAAAATATAAAGCACGAAAATTCAAATCATAAAAAGATTAAAAAAAAGATAAAGATTCTTATAACTTACAGTCAATTTGTAGGACCTTCGTTTTGTCTACGTTAGCGATGTAATCACAATAATATGTATAATCACAGTAATTATTATGTTCTTCATGAATGTAAAATGTATTAAATTATTTGTTTTCGTTTTGTACGCTAATAAAATAATAGTAATAACCAAACAAAACGCAAAATCAGGAATTCAACAGTTCGTTCAAGGATGGTTCAAGGCAAAAACGTTTTTCGTTTTATTTAGGTTAGGTTTGACGAGTGCGACTGCGCGATGATTTCTGACTCACCTGGCCAGCGCAAAAACAATAATTCCACTTCTTCAATCCTTTGAAAAGTCTTGCTTTTGTTAGTTTGTCTATGGGTTAATCCCGTCTATACTTTTAAAAATTTCCATACCATTTTAGAGGAAATTTGTTTCATTCTTTGATAGATTGAGTGATTGAATTTTAATTATCACGTCATATACAGGGTGGTCCGAACTGTATTCCGAAAACTTCAGCAGCATATTCTGCAGATAAAAATAAGTAAAAAAGTTTGTATAAATGTACGTCCTAAGATGCTTAGTTTCAGAGATACAGGGTGTAGAAGTTTCATTTTTATTTCGATTTTTTCTAAATAATTTCTGAAATAACGTCAATATTTGGATGAAAATTGAGGTCTCGGAGTTTTTTGACATGAGACATTTGATTTTGATGTCAATATGACTCCTACTAGTAGAGGGCGCCACCTATATGTGTTTTAACTGTTTTGAAGCGTAATAACTTTTTGTCCGTACCTGCATAAAACTACCGAGCGAAAGAATATACATCTCTGTGACTTTCTACGTAAAAAATATCTCTTTGTAAAGATCGCTACGAGCAATTGTTCTTAAGATATTTAGAATGGAAATAGTCAATACATGTCATTATTGACGAAAAATAAACACGCGTTGAGTAGAGATAGTTATTTCACTGAAATAATAAATTTGGGAAATTTTTATTTTTTTAAATTAATCATAAATGTTTCTGCAAAAAATGATGGTAAAACAGTTCCTGTTGAACTTTTGGCACAAAAACATTTCAAATTTATGATTTCAATCTAGTCTAATAAGTCTAACTACACTTACCGGAAACACACGCACCGGAAAAGTCTAGAGATATTACAATTTTATCCAGCCATCGTCAGTAATTTTATTATTTACATTTCTGATATAATAAAATTAAAATAAACAAATAGTTTATTTGTGCGAAATTTACCGAATTTTTCAAATTTACCTTGATTTTTATTGAACTCAAAAAAATACACACATTTTTTTTTATTCTAAACTGTGAATTAAAAAAAAAGATAAAACCATTTTTACTTAATAAAGGATATGGCCTCCTCTACTGTTCATTACAGCCCTACATCGTCTCTCAATGCTCCTGATCAGGTTGTCGATCTCTTCTTGAGAGGTACAGCCTGCCACGCTGCATTCACGGCCCGAACCAGATCCCTACAGGTTTCACGTGGCATACCCATTCTCAAAATTCTTCTTTGGACCGCGTCCCATACGTGCCCGATGGGGTTGAGGTCAGGAGATTGTGCCGGCCAGGGTAAGAGGTTTAATTGATGAGCATTGATAAACTCACTTACCACTCTGGCTGTATGAGGCCGTGCATTGTCATGCATGAGAATGAAGTTTCTCCCAAAATCATTGGCATATGGTAACACGACAGGCTCAAGAATTAAATCACGATATGTGATTCCTGTTAGAAACCTTTCAAGAAAAACGAGATCGGTTTTCGGCCTAACTGGACTCCTCCCAGACCATAACTGTTCCACCTTGATAAGGGTGCACTTCCTGAACATGATCCAACCGAATAAGATTTCCCGGTTCTCTCCATACCCTAAACCTTCTAGAATCCGGATGAATTCCAAAGCGTGACTCATCCGTGAAGAGAACATTGGCCCATTGTTCATTCGACCACTGAACATGATCTTGAGCCCACAAATATCGTACCTCTCGATTTCCTCTCGTTAAGGTTTGAGCTCTCCAGGGGCGTCTGCTTCTTAAGTTGACCTCTCTTAATCTATTGCGAACAGTGTCAGAACTAACGGTTACATCATATGTTTCCTGGAGAATTAAACTAAGCTCTGGTGCTGTAAGAGTCGATCGGCGTCGAGCATTTAATTGTAAAAAATGATCTTGCTGAGGGGTAGTAATGCGATGTCGCCCTGTGTGCCTTTCAGCAACATCACCACTTTCACGGTAGCGTGCACTTAATCGCGATATTACACTTTGCGTTGTATTTAATGCTCTAGCTACGTCGATTTGGCGCATTCCAGCTTCAAGCATACCCATGGTCCTTAGCATTTCGTCTTTGTTAAGATGTCTACGCTCCATAATGTCGTTTAATACTAAACAGAGTTATTTGAATGAATTCTGGCCAGTTATCATAAAAACCTAGCCAGTACAGGTTAAATTCGAACAATTGATGCTAGGTGCTTTTTATACATTTGACAAAAAATGCATAAACACTTCTGCAAATATCCCAAATTTAGAAATAACTAGTGTGACTACTTCGTTTCAATCGAAGTAGAAAGAATCGGCCTACAAATATGTGGTTGTTTATTAAAAACATTTATTTTTAACTTTAATAAAATGATATCCCTAGATTTTTCCGGTGTGTGTAGTTTGTTTCTAATTTTTTTTACTCAGTAGTTTTATACAGGTACGGACGAAAAGTTATTACTCTTTAAACCAGTTAAAAAATATGTAGGTGGCGCCCCCTACAGGTGGGAGTCATATTGACATCAAAATCAAATTTCTCATATTAAAAAACTCCCAGACACCAATTTTCATCCAAATATTGACGTTACCTCAAATTATTTGGAAAAAATCGAAATAAAAATGAAATTTCTACACCCTGTATCTCCGAAACTAAGCATTTTAGGACATACATTTATACGAACTTTTTTACTTATTTTTATCTGCAGAATATGCTGCCGAAGTTTCCGGAATACAGTTCGGACCACCCTGTATATGTATATCTTTTGCTGAAGATTTATTTAAACAAAACACCTGAAATTTTCAGTATATCGAGATAATTTTTTTTTAAATAAACATAATAAAAATAACACAAACAAAATTTTTTTAATTGTTTCATTTTTTGAACATCCCTGTACACATCTGGAAACCCACCTACACACCAAAGAGTTATCTGGATAGTTTTTAATCATCACAGGGGTTAATATACTCTAGTGCAAATTATTTGTATTTATGTAGAATTCCAGTTAGGACTATATCTAAAATGATGTTCCAAGTGATAGTTTTTGTAAATATTGTATTTAGTGTGTTTGGTAGTGTACCGTTTTTTGTTAGAAAGGACTGGACCAATAAAGGTAAGAAAATAAAATAAATCTAGTATAGAAAATTACTTAGAATCTCCATTTTTTTAGATATGATGTTAAAGAACAAAACAATAAATCCGTGCAATAATTTCTACGAATATTCTTGTTCAAAATGGTTCAAAGAAACCACTAAACCACCCTTTGAACCAAGCTGGAACCATTTTACTGAAGCTTCTTATGAATTAAATAAAAAAATTCGTCAAATTTTGGAAAAAACTCACACCAAAGAGAATTATTCTTTAGGGAAATCACAGAGATTCTACCAATCTTGCGTTAATTTTGAGGAAAATCAAAGTGTATACTTGGAGAATTTAAGAACAATTCTGAACATTTATATTAATGATTTGAGAAGATACGATGAAATGAAATCGTTTAATTATAAAGTTATGGAACAAATTATGAGAATTACTAGAAATTTGGATGTTTATCCTATTTTCAAGTTTTCTGTTAATATAGATTATAAGGATACGAAAAATTACATTTTGTATGTAAGTAAATTTTTAAAATTATATTATAGCTTATTCAACCATTCTAATACTTATTATTTTTGAGCTTGTATTTTTTTGCAGTACTTAATTAACTAATTTTAAGTAAGTTTGATATATTTCTGTTATTTTCCTAACTTTTTTTTTTTCTATTGAGTTGACGATTTGAATTTATTTTTACAAACATTCTTGTCAACATACAAAAAAAATATGAAAAATATCAAAATTCAACTAATCCAAATTTTAAAAACCTAACCAAGAATGTTTATTAAGATAAATCAGCTATACTTAAATAGTTTAAACTTCATTAGACTTTAATTCCCAACCTTATACCACAGAATATCTAGCTACGCAACAGAAAAATACTCGAAATGAAAGAGCTAAAATTGCACAAATAGAATACTAGATGGCGCGACAATATCATAATCAGAATATAATTAGAAATTTTGAACTTTCGGTTTTGGATCGACGGCTCGTCGACGGCCTTATAGCTCGGCTAAATATGCACAGTTGCCAGATTCAAAAGACTTGAATTGGCATCCCATTCTTTGTGTGTATAATGCAGTATGTGTTTCTTTCTATTCTTCTTTTCTTGTCAGATACACTTATATTAATTATTCCTTTGGCTATTAAAATAGTTTTAAGTATATTATTACAAAACATATGCATTTTTAATATACACTATACCTTATAATGTTAACTAAGAAAATACCTTTAATTACTTTTAAAATTAATAATATACAGGGCGATTGATAGTGATATTTATTAATGCTGGAACGTTAGTAATGAAATATAAGTTTAATAATAATGGAAATAATTTATTAAAATGCAGTACAAAAATGTTAACTGACTAAAAAATACTATAAAAACAAATTTCTTCCGTTTGCCACGTTATTTATATAGACCTAGGTAGATTTTAAAAAGTGACACAGGTACAATTAATAATTTATTAGTTCGGCATAAAAGTTGCTGTCACGACATCGAACAATAAATTAAAATTCGTAAAATAAATTAAAATTATTAATTAAACAAATCTTTATAAAGAAACGCAAGTGTACCAAATTTGGGCCCAATCGAACTCCAGGAAATTATATCATAATAGTGTACTATATTATGGTACCACTCGATATACTTTAAAGTACCATAATATTGCAATGTCACCGAAGATCCGTAGTATACCAAATTTAAGAACAATCGAACGGCCATGAAATGGTATCGTAATATGGTACTATATTAAGGTACCACTTTATATACATCATAGTTCAATCATATTACAATGTAACCGAAGATACGTAGTATACCAAGTTTGAGCCCAATCGAACGCCAGGAAATGGTATCGTAATATGGTACTATATTAAGGTACCACTTTATATGCATCATAGTACCATCATATTACAATGTCACCGAAAATACGTAGTATCCCAAGTTTAAGCCCAATCGAACGCCATGTACGTAATATAGTACTATATTATGGTACCAGTTGATATGCTTCATGGTACCATAATAATGCAATGTCATCAAAAATACGCAAGTATATATCAAATATTGCGTAGCTAGATATTCTGTGCTTATACCCTTTATTCCCAACCCTTCCATACCACCAGAGTTGTATATTTTTACATATATATCTATTTTTACGTATATTTTTACAACTAATACGAGAACAAAATTATTATTTTTTAGATAGAACCTGGAAACCTCATATTTCCTTCAAGTATACTTCTAAACCCAAATATATATCAAGAAGAAATATCATCATACGTTAAATGGATATCAAAGAGTACCAGGCATGTTTTAAATATCAACAAATCGAATTACCCAAAATTTAGTGCAGTAAAAATTGTGGAATTTGAGATAGAATTAGCTAAACTGATGTCCACCAAATCTAATACTGAAAGAAATAGTACAGAACATTTTTCAAACATGTTTGATTTTGATTTTATCAATGCAATCAATGAGAATTTATTTATAGATACTACCAGAAAAATTAGATCAAATGATGTGATGGTAGTAAGGAACTTTGAGTACTTTAAATCAGTATTTTTTCTGTTCAAGACTTATAATACTGAAACTATTGGTAAGTCTATGTGTCTCCTTGTGACAGATTGCCTTAAAAGTCTCAAAATGTCTAATAAAGATATTTTTTTTAGAAAACTATTTATTATGGTCCATAATAAAAGAGCTCTCAAGAGACACAAACAGATACCTAAAGAACCTCAACTTTATAATAGACAGGAACGTCTTAAACGTCAAAAAAGATATTCCAAGAAATACAGAGTGTACCAGCAAAGTACTGGAATACTTCAGTTATGCCTTGTTGCCTAAATATGTTCGTTTATACTTCGATGAGAAGATATTGGAAGATATTCAAGATATGGTGAAGAATATTAAAGATAAATTTATTGAGGTTTTGGCGAAGAATGATTGGATGAGTCAAAAAACAAAACTGTTGGCTATGAAGAAGATTGGTAACATTAAATGCAATGTTGGATATCCGAAGTGGATAAAAAATGTTTCCATAATAGAAGAATATTATTCTGATGTAAGATAAGTACCAGATACCTACCGTCTGTCCAAAAAATGACTGATGAAATGAAAAATCAATTAAATTGACAAATAACAACTATCACTCGTCCGCTGGACAGACTATTATACAGGGTGTCTCTAAAATAAGTGCCAAAAATAAATAGATTTTTTTTATTGGGCCTTATTTCATTTACACCCTGTTAATGATATAATTTTTTTAAAAAATCATTTTTATTATTTTACTTTATTTTATCCTAAGGTAAACATATCGACTAATCATTTACTAAACATTTTAATGGTAAAAAGAGAAAAATCCAGACGAAATTTTGAGCTTTTTAAAACCGCAGTAGCAGATCCAGTGTAAGACTAATAAAAAATCGAGTGAAAACATTATTTAATTAATTTTAAACTTATTACAGATGGCCATCAAATGTGTTTGATGTAAACGCATATTACAGTGTCTTACAGAACTCAATATGTAAGTATCTGGTTTTAAGTAAATTAAATTTTGTATAACCAAAGTTATTATTTTTTTCAGTTTTACCCCTAGGAATCTTACAAAAGCCTTTCTATGATTATCATACTCCAAAGTAAGATTTTTTTCATAATTTTGGATATTACAAAACATCTTTGATTCCTTATTTTTTTACAAAATTCATTTCATTATTTTATATTATGACAAATTTCACATTATGGTTAATGCAGTGTGTTCCACAAAAAAAAAAAGATTTTTGGACCAAAAAAAAATTAACTAAATATTAATCAATATACAGGGTGTCCTAAAATTCCATCGACATAGTACTATTACGCATTTTTAACGACTGATTTTTTTTTGGTAAAAAAGTCCTAGCCTTTACTACATTTTTTGTCTCTTGTAAAAAAACGCCACCTCGCATAGTTGAGAAAAAAATGTCTATGTGTCCATATAATAAAATTATAGTCACTAGTGCTAAAATAATTTTGGCACTTACCCCCTTTCGTATTTTCACTCTTCAATTGTGTTCAATGAACTTTTATTTTGATTCCAACAATACGTACTAGCTCTAAGTCCACGGAATAGTCGGACACCCTGTATATGAAATATGTTACTCTTTAGGATTTTTAATTATGGAGCCATTGGCAGCCTCATTGGTCACGAATTTGCTCATTCTTTAGACACCACAGGTAAATACACTAATCATTTTATTCACGAACTTCAAATATACATATACTATACCGGGTGTGTCTCAAAAGTTATCACCCTTTATAGGGGTGATAACTTTTTTGTTTTTTCAGATAAAGAAACGAGATTTGGTATGTTAGTATACGACATACATTAGGATTGATTGACGTATTCAATTGTTTTTGCTAACTTCCTGTTTCACCGGAAATGACTACAACTTTTGATTTTTAAATGGCACCCTCGGTATTTTTTTACTTTACTCGATAGAAAATGACATTTTGAATAGAATGACATATCATATGTCAATTTTTGACATTCAGAGGGTGCCATGGCTATATTAGAAACACTAATTCTTAATCAAGGAGTCTTTGAAAATATATTTGATCGTCTAAAGTTTTTAATGTTTTGTCCTGCCCAGTTAGAAAATGCTCAAATTGAATTTTTGATCATATCTCAATTTTTTCAAATGGAACGAGGGTGGCTCATTAGCATATTTGGAAACAGCAGTTTTTTATGAATAATTTGATACCACACACTTGGTATTCCGAGTCAAATTTTAGTTACGAACCGCGAAAATGTCAAGAGTTGACATATGTTATGTCATTCTATTCAGAGTGTTATTTTCTATCGAATAAAGTAAAAAAAATCAGAAGGTGCCATTTAAAAATCAAAAGTTGTAGTCATTTCCGGTGAAACAGGAAGCGACCGAAAACAATTGAATACGTCAATCAATCCTAATTTATGTCATATACTAACATACCAAATCTCGTTTTTTTAACTGAAAAAATAAAAAAGTTATAGGGGTGAGCCACTTTTGAGACGCACCCGGTATAAACTATTATTTTAAAGGTAGACAAACTAACTCCGAAGGAACAGTAACGAAATGGTGGAGAAACCAAGATATTTTCATCTACAATTTGAAAGCAAAATGCTACGAAAATACCAACAGCAATAAACAAATTTCAAATTCTTTAATAACTGATGAAACTATTGCTGATAATGTTGGTTTGGAACTGAGTTTTGAAGCCTATAAAAAGTCTGATAAAAATGTAGATCTTGAAGAAGTATTTTGGGGGAGAAATTACAACAGTATGTTTTTCTTGAGTTACAGCCAGGTATAGAGATGTTTGTTATATATTCTCTTAATATTTATTATACCCTCCTTTTTATAATGTTTATTATATTTTTCTTAAATAGGGCCATATACTTCAATAAATATATGTTTTTGTCACTAACTACAAACCAATGCTAGTTCTCATAACTTATTTTCTTATCCTACATCTCTCTTAAAACTTATTTCTATGAGGCGATTGACGTTCATTGTTTCAATTTTTTTTTGTTTATTATACAGGGTTGTTCACCACATCCGACACGGAGTATCGTAGCTAAACGATCAGATTTTTACAAATTGTAAGTTTTGGGTTCGTTGAAGGACTATTAGAGCTACAGAGTATCCCAAATAAGTAAAAAATATTATAGTTGTATTTTTTTAAATGGAACACCCCGTATATTATTCTATTTTTAGATTCTACGATTGAAATAAAGGTAATTTTGATTAAGGTTTATCACACTTAAACCGTTTTTAAAATATTTTCAATTTTATGAAATTGCAGTAAAAATTTTAAGGCTTCATTTCTCCAAGGGTATCGAAGTTTTTAATACTAAATATTTACTGAACTTTATTTATTGGTCAGATATTGTGTTGCAATAATAAACAAAATACTACCTTATACAGAGTGTCTAAAAATATATATTAAATAATTACTAGATTTAAACGGCAATAACTTGTTTAATTTAAATGGAACACCCTGTATATTTTACGAGAATCAGATGCACAATTTAATTGTCTATCAAATTGTATTATACCATTTCTTACCTCTCTCTTCAAGTTTTCGTAGAAAATGTATTTTCTTATAATTTTGACCTCATTTATCACTATACCCATGGAATATTGACATTTTAGATTATTTTTAAAGATGTAACACATTTTCAAAGAGTACAGATACTAATATTGTCGATATAGTTATTTCATAAAAGATAAAAAAAATTAAATATTTTTTTGTTAAAGAGGACCAATTAATACGATCCCAGTATTCAAACTATTAATTGACTGTTTAGGTTGATTATTAATAATTGCTCCAAATACTTAATAATTTAAAAAAAACTTAATTTTGTATGTGTATTAGACAGTGTTGTAAAAAGTATCTTATAAGTTTTATTTCATTTTTTGACGAATGCTTATTTATAACAACCATAGACTTAAAATAAAATATAGACTGAGCATCTCATTCATAAATAGCTGGAACATGCGGTCAGACAATATCTTGTTATTGTTGTGTTATTGTTTTAGGTTATAACGAGTGCGACACGAGCGATAGATAGGTTGTCTCTGTCGTAACGGTCGTTCCCTGACGACTCTGCCGAGAAACAGGGATATTAATAATTAGTAATAATATTGGTATACTCTTTTACAAAGATTAAAATAATTTTCTTTTTGCAAACAAATGGGCTTGCAGTATTTATTTTTACCACCTGTACATTTTGTACATATATATGGTGCTTTAAAAAAATCTAAAATGTCAATATTCCATGGGTATAGTGATAAATAAGGTCTAAATTATAAGAAAATGCATTTTCTACGAAAACTTAAAGAGATAGGTAAAAAATAGTATAATACAATTTGGTAGACAATTAAATTGTACATCTGATTCACGTTAAATATACAGGGTGTTCTATTTAAATTAAATAAGTTACTACCCTTTAAAGCTAGTAATTATTTAATATAAATTTTTGGACACTCTGTATAAGGTAGTAAAATTTTTATTATTGCAACACAATATCTAATCAGTAGGTAATCTTCAGTAAATATTTAGTATTAAAAACTTTGATACTCTTGGAGAAATAAAGCCTTAAATTTTTTACTGTAATTTCACAAAATTGAAAATATTTCAAAAACGGTAAGGTTTAAGTGTGATAAACCTTAATCAAATTTACCTTTACTTCGATCGTAGAATCTAAAAATAGAATAATATACAGGGTGTTCCATTAAAAAAAATATAACTATGATATTTTTTTCTTATTTGGGACACTCTGTATCTTGTAAAATTATTTTTAAATTGTAGCTCTAATAGTCGTTCAACGAACACAAATCTTACAATTTGTAAAAATCTAATCGTTTAGCCACAATATACTCCGTGTCGTATGTGGTGAACAACCCTGTATATACTTTAATTTGATTTATTTCTATTTTCTTTTATTCGTACTTTTCATGTTTAGATTTTGTCGTTTTTAGATGTGGTGTGAAATTTCCAACAAAAAAGACTTAACCAACGACGAGCATTCTTCACCTTATATAAGAGTAAACCAAGCCCTATACAACAACAAACAATTTGTTAAACTATTTAACTGTAATTTTTTAACAAAATCATTTTGTAATCTGTGGTGAAACAACAAAAAAACTGCATATTTAAAATCACTATTTATTACAGAGTCGCTTTAATATGAAATGGATCTAATCCTAAAAATGTTTAAATTAATAACAAAAAATTGTTATAATTAATTGATAAAATGTTTCAAAAGAAAATACAATGTTTGTATTTACTTTAAATTGTTTTTCTTTGAGAATGATATTTTTCTTCAAGAGAGCTATTATTTTATATTTGATTCAAATGAGTAATTTTCAGTATAAACAATTTGAGAAAATTTCTGTCATAATAATATTGACATTTATCTACACAAAGTGAAATAAATAGATTTAAAAAGTGTTCAGTCTAAAGAGTTTAAAATTGTAAAAAAAGAAAATGCCACCTAAGAGACACTATATACAGGGTGAACGATTGTGCTGAATTTTAAACATATTTTTGACACCATACTATTTAATTATACTTTATTTAAATCCCCAAAGGCTCACCCTGTATATATGTACAAAATATACAAGGCGTTCCAATTTGTTGTGGCTGGAGTTAAAAATATTGTTTTTAGTTAAAAAAAAGCTTCAAACCTTTGTCTCAAAAAAGGAGTATTTCTTTCTTGTATACTATATTATTCGTTTAAATACATTTAGAGAACATTTTGGAAAGTTTTAGTGTTAAAAATCTATCAGAAATGTCAAAGTTTAATATAATTTGTTTATCAAACAACAAAAATCTCAACTTGTGTCAAAATTTTACAGTTCTGATAATTTTTATTTTGTTATTCGGAAAACTCAACGCCCTGTACCTATACTGACGTGAAATTTTCTTTTTAAAATAATTTTTTATCAACTGTTTCAAGTTTTGATTCAAAAAAATTGAATCACCCCATATATTCTTATGTATTTTTTGAAATAATATTGTATAGTAAAACAACAAAGGGATATGGATTTTTTTACATAAAAAGTACTAAATCTAAGGTTCTATACATCCATGAAAATATGGTTTCAACCATTTTTTGTGGTTTCAGATAAGGTTGTTACATGGCAGTGACTAGATAGACATTATTAATGTAAAATAATACATCCAAAATATATTTTAGATAGAAGAATAAGTCAGTTTCATTTTTACCAAAAAAATATCAGTAGTTATATAGTAAATGACCTAAATAAGTAATAATGTTTTTTTTAAAGATATTTCATATATTTAAAAAAAACTCCTACTAGAGAAATAAGTAAACATAGAATTAAAAATATAAATATTTTCTTGCCTTTAGTTGTGTATTTTTTCTAATTTCGAAAAATCGAAACTAGAGAACAAAAACCATAGACTTAAAATAAAATATAGACTACACTATTTACATCTCAACGCGGACAAACAACCTTTTTTGTACAGATGTTTACTTCTGGGTACAGTCGACCGAGCCTTCCTCATCCAGCCTATGTTGTCACGTCTTTAATATTATCAATATTTTTTTTCTTGTTATACACATATATTGAGATATTAATACTACAGTTTAATAAAGTAGGTTTTAATATTCCATAGATGTATTAAATAGTCCTTATACTACTAAATTATAAGTCGGATACTGTTTAATAAGGATAAGTTCTTTACAATATGACAACACCGATTAGAGGCGAGGGAGCCTATTCATTCATTTATTACCTTGTAGTACGTGTCGCACGTGTGCGGTAAAGCTTTGTTGCCGCTATCTCCGCGGCTGTATTAACGCATTTTCTTAGCTTGTAGTCCTTAATTGTTTATTTTATTGACTTTTTCTGTTCAAAAACTATAAAATATGGTTCGCCAGTGCCAAATTTGCAAGAAATTTGACTTTAATAATCCATTTAAGTCTTGAAACGACTTTTGACCGGTAGGCAACTCTCAATTTACCCATTGGGAGTCAGTGGCGTTGTTGTAGAAAGGCGCTTATTTAGATAATATTTTAGTAAAATGTAAAATCTGATTTTTTTCTCTTACATTACATTATTTACTTACTTACATTGTAACAAAATCATAATTATAACCCTGTTAATAATAAATAATGTTTTTATTAAAAATATATTCCGGTTTATTCTAAAATTATCTTCAGAATCTAAAATAACATACAAGAATTTTAAAATGATATTACATTATGAAACAATATTTTTTAATATACCGGGTGTCTCAAAAGTGGCTCAACCCTATAACTTTTTTATTTTTCAGATAAAAAACAGATTTGTATGTTAGTAGGTATATGACATAAATTAGGATTTATTGACGTATGCAATTGTTTTTGGTCTCTTCCTGTTTCACCGAAATTATTACATCTTTTGATTTTTAAAGGCACCCTCGGTATATTGCTACTTTATTCGATAAAAAATGACACTCTGAATAGAATGACGTATCATATGTCAACTTTTGACATTGTCGCTTAAAAACATATCCTGTTTTAAATTTCAATCCAGTTTTTTTCAATCCACTAAGTTTTAATCAAGGAGCCTTGGAAATATAGTTTTGATTGTCTAATAGGTTTCGTGTCTTGTCTAGGCCGGTTAAAAGATGTACAAATCGTATTTTTAATCATACATATGTCAATTTTTTCAAATGGAACAAGGGTGACTCATTAGCATATTTGGAAAAAGCATTTTTTATGAATATATTGATACCACACACTTGGTATTTCGAGTCAAATTGTCGTTATGAACCGCGTGTTACAATTACAATTAAACCATATGCGAAAATGTCAAAAGTTGACATATGATATGTCATTCTATTCAGAGTGTCATTTTCTATCGAATAAAGTAGAAATATACCGAGGGTGCCGTTTAAAAATTAAAAGTTATAGTCATTTCCGGTGAAACAGGAAGTGACCAAAAACAATTGAATGCGTCAATCAATCCAAATTTATTTCATATACTAACATACTAAATCTTGTTTTTTTATTTGAAAATATAAAAAAATTATGGGGGATGAGCCACTTTTGAGACGCACCCGGTATAATAAAGACAGTACCGAGTTAAATAAATGTAGTTTTTATTTTATCCACTTCCTATCACCTTCCTTGCTTTAATGGAACAGATTTATGTTTTCTCTAATTTACATAATAAGACATCACTTAACCAGAAAAAAAATTACAACAATCATATTTTTTTTTCTCTCCCTGTCGCCGATTCTATTATATCTGTGGAATAGATCCTGTTTTGATTAATATTAGGGGTTGTAAATGTTTGACTAAAATTAATAATTTATTATTAATTTCAAAAATTACCTAATTTCGATTATAAAATTTCTTCTATAACGTGTATTTTATTATTTTTATCCTTTTTGGACTCTAAATTGTTTTTTCTAAACTTTTATTTAAAAAACCTGTCCTAAATCTCAATAAAATATAAAAAAGTTTAAATACGATATATTTTTAATTTAATTATTATAGCTTCATTAAAATAAAAAAAATACCCGGCTATGATACGGAGAGTTCAGGTGTACTTGAGAAACGAAAGAAGTGTTGTGTTTCTCGGCAGAGTCGTCAGGGAACGACCGTTACGACAGAGACAATCTATCTATCGCTCGTGTCGCACTCGTTATAACCTAAAACAATAACACAACAATAACAAGACAGTGTCTGACCGCATGTTCCAGCTATTTATGAATGAGATGCTCAGTCTATATTTTATTTTAAGTCTATGACAAAAACAAAAAGGAAAAAGAAAATTGTTTTGCTTGTCGTAAAGGGGGGAACCAAGCTCCACTCCCACAACTGGTTTCTGGGCCTACCCTTCATCAGGTGGGCTGCCCAGGGGCTGGTTCTCACCACCGAAATTAGAAAAAATACACAGCTAAAGGCAAGAAAATATTTATTAATATACACTAAAGCTGTAAGAATTTTGTTCATTTCATATATTAAAAATATCGTGATATTTGCATTTGACTACGCTAGAAACCAATGTAATTCATAAGATAGAACATATCTTTGTTTATATACTTCTCTGAATTTTAGAAAGTCCATATATTTAAAAAATAATCAGTCAATTTGATAGGTAAGTATAAATAAAATATATTTTTTTAAAAAACCATGTGTAACACTCGTTCACATGATGTAAAAAATCATAAATATTTCAAATTTGCTGATTTTCCACTCCTTTTGTTGTATTACTATTGTGTAGATCTCAAAAAATTTAATTATTATAAACAATATCTTATTTTACATAGTACCTAGCTCTCAAAATTGCTTGTATGTTCGAAGGAAACAATTACTACCATAAGAATTACTATCATATATCTACATCGAACGCAAATGATATATTTACAGTATGTATGTACCTCATTGCACTTGTTTCTCCAGTTCCCTTATCTGAACTAATAAATCGTTTTTCCTGTTTATTTTAGCCAGTTGTTCTGGTTCCGGTTTGCTGAGAGCCCCACTTTTTATTTTTTCTTCCAAGGCTTCCACTTCTCGCAAACGTTTTTTCAAATTCTTCAGTTTTTTCGCTGGATCGGTACTTTCAGGAGATTGCACCTGTTTTCCTTTCTCAGGCTTTTCTTTTTTGGGTTTTTCTGAGGTTTTCTCTGATATTTTGGTGCTTTCAAGTATTTTGTTGATCTCCTCTATTTCTACAAAGAAATATACATGTTTACTTTTACAACAACACATTTAAAAAATCTATACTAACTGTTTTTGGGTTTTTTCTTGTTTCCTTTCTTTTCCTTATCATCCTGTATAATAAACAGACCCGGTATAGGTCTCTGAGCAGTCTTCCCAGTCGACAATACTATCGGTTCTTGTTTTTTAGCCATGAACTGTTTACCTTTACTTTCATAAAGAGGAACTTCTTCCTGAGGAACGTATCCTTCTTTAACTCTTCGAGCTTTTCTCCATGTTCCATCGGGTCGCTGAGATGCCGGAATAAATTGTTCTCCTTGAAATAATGCAGGTTTTTAATCGAAAATCGTTAATAAAATAACTATGATTACATACCATTTTCAGTAACAATGTTAGCAGCGTAAGTAGACATAATAAATTATAAATATTACAGGGAACTGCAGGCTACAGGTTATTAAATTGTTCTTATCATAATACCCGGTCTCCAGCGTTTTGAATTAACAAATTCCTCTTATTTTTTTTAATTTTCCCATAAAAATATGTTTTTGAATTTATTGGTTAGCTTGTCATTTAATGACAAAAGCTGTCATTTTTTGTTGTTATGTACGGCGACATCTGGTTTTCGAAAGCTGAAAATGTAGCGAATAAACTGCTATAGTAAACTGTATATTAAAAATTAAATTCATGTTTTTATCGACATCTACCGTATTTAACTTGTACTTATTCGTTACAGATATCAATATTTATCATTTTGTCAAAAAAAAATGTATACAGGGTGATCTGATTTATATAAGCACAGAATATCTAGCTACGCAACAGAAGCCTCGTTACATGTATAAAATTGTAGGTAGCAAAAGGAGACAGGCTTTAAAAGTCTGTCTCCAAATCAGATATTTTGATGTGGTAGTTTCGCTACTTAATAATAGAGGGCAATAAATTTAAAAGAAAACAGTTTTCTAGAAACAAAATTTAAAAGAATTTTGTGCAGTGTTGCCATTGTGTAATTCATATCGTAATACTTCCTGATAAAGCCTACCTTCAAATTTGCTACATCATTTAAACATATTAAAATAGATCAGAGCTGTTTTTTTCAGTTTGCCATGTTAGTTGGAATTAAAACTTATGAGCTAAATTACAATCACTTCCTGACGTTTGATTGTATAATTGAATCCTGAATTTTCATTGTAATTCGGCGACAATATAATAAGTATTGTTCTACTATTATACCACTTCCTGACGTTCGATTGTGTTCATACCAAGTTCATATTGTATAATCAGGGGAAAAAACGGCGTTAGCGATAGCTATGAAATGAATATCACTGTCATTTTATATATAAATTTATATGGGAAATGTCATCGATCGTCCTTTTCCAGCCAACTGGACGCCGTTTTTTCAGAAGCATATCAAGTGATACCATAATATAGTACTATACTACGATACATGGCGTTCGATTGGGCTTAAACTTGGTATACTATATCTTCAGTGACATTGTAATATCGTGGTATCATGGAGCATATAAAGTGGTACCTTCTATAGTACCATATTTGATGACATAGCAATATTAGGTACATGGCGGCAATAGGGCTTAAACTTGGTGTACTACGGATCTTCGGTGACATTGCAATATTATGGTACCTTAAAGTATATCGAGTGGTGCCATAATATAGTACACTATTATGATATCATTTCCTGGAGTTCGATTGGGCCCAAATTTGGTATACTTGCGTTTCTTTATAAAGATTTGTTTAAATAATAATTTTAATTTATTTTACGAATTTTAATTTATTGTTCGATGTCGTGACAGCAACTTTTATGCCGAACTAATATATTATTAATTGTACCTGTGTCACTTTTTAAAATCTACTTAGGTCTATATAAATAACGTGGCAAACGGAAGAAATTTGTTATTATAGTATTTTTTAGTCAGTTAACATTTTTTGTACTGCATTTTAATAAATTATTTCCATTATTATTAAACTTATATTGCATTACTATAACGCTCCAGCATTAATAAATATCACTATCAATCGCCCTGTATATTATTAATTTTAAAGGTAATTAAAGGTATTTTCTTAGTTAACATTATAAGGTAGTGTATATTAAAAATGTATATGTTTTGTAATAATATACTTAAACCTATTTTAATAGCCAAAGGAATAATTGATATAAGTGTATCTGACAAGAAAAGAAGAATAGAAAGAAACACATACTGCATTATACACAATAAAAAGAATGGGATGCCAATTCAAGTCTTTTTGAATCTGGCAACTGTGCATATTTAGCCGAGCTATAAGGCCGTCGACGAGCAATATCATAATCAAATTTATAATTATATTCTGATTATGATATTGTCGCGCCATCTAGTATTCTATTTGTGCAATTTTAGCTCTTTCATTTCGAGTATTTTTCTGTTGCGTAGCTAGATATTCTGTGGTAATATTATACTTGTGTAAAAACCTATGAAAAAATTATGACAATATAAAGCAAATATAAGTGAATAAGACGGATTTTGCTGCAGTAACGTAATTTGTAGAATTTTATATAGGAATAGGCGACTTTTGCTGCAGTTTGGGACTATGTTTATGTAGATTTTAGGGGCACACTATTAATATGATTTTAAAATAAGTTTAAATATGAGTTGGAGCACCCTGTATATAATTTTGAGTAAAAAATGTATTTACTGGTGTTTCGCGATATTGTCACTTTGACATTATAGTCTTGTATAATAACATATTTATTTTTTTTGTACACTTTTTTATATTTATATAATTTCTTAAATGAGTGAAAACATTGAAAATACCGAAGAAGAATCGACGAAAAATGTAGAAACAGAACAAGAAAATGAAAAAGAAGAAAAATCTCTATTGCATAAAGACATGCATATGGATATGCTCATGGGAAACTTTGATGAAACGAAAAAGGTATTTAATTTGGATTTATAATAGTGGCGTAGACCATGGCGTAGAGCCATAACCCCTACTGAAAAAAAGTTGCAACTTGACGCCTCATATAATTTAATGATTAGAATTTTTTTTTGCAAAATAAACACCGAAAATATATACAGGGTGGCGTGCCTCATTCGCCTCGGTTGATAATACGAAAACGGAAAGATATAGAAACAAAATTTTTATGGGTATATACAGAGAGGCAATGTGCATAATTTAAAATTATTTTCACATGTACAGGGTGTGTCAGAACTAAGATCCATACCAAAGTTATATTTTTTCTTATGGAACACCCGGTATTTTATTTCATTTTTGGATTCTTGCGTATAAAATAAGGCATTTATTATTAGGGTCTAATATGTTTAAATGCTTTGGTTTTTGAGATATTTAAATATATTTAAATTTGCATGCTCTAATATAAAAGTTTGTCAGCACCCTGTACAGTGTGGGTCAAATTCGACGCTTTTAAATGGAAACACGGTGTCGGTGTCTGGAGCTCAATTTTTGTCAAAAACATGATGGTGAAAACCGCATATCGATACCTGTTACCGTTTCGGAGTTACGGGGTGTTATTCAAAAATAAGCATTTTTAACAAATCACTGTAACTTTTTTGCTATGAAAAATGTTGTATTTTAATGAAAACATTTCCAAAGCAACTTTTTACGTAGAATTTAATGGTTTAAGTATAATTTTTTTAAATTTAATAATTTAAGAATTATCAACAGAAAATTTGATTTTTTATATGGGACACCTTGTATATTTTTAATTTATTGAAAAGAATTTAAAATTACCTTTCCAAAAATATAACACACTTGATATTTTGCTCGATTCCTCTTCGAGTTATGAGTATATAAAAATTCGCCGCCTTTAAATAAGTAGGCTTTGAACGACACCGGCTGTAATGCAAAAAAATTCTAGCTGTGAGCATCAATTAAAACGAAAATAATATTTGCTATTAGAGATGCAGAATTATGTAACAATTTAAAATATATTTAACCAACATCAACACATTTAAACTATATCTAATAACAATAAAAATAAATAGCAAACCAAGACATGAGATTTTGCTACAGGTGTTCGACATATCAACCGTCTTCTGTTATGGACAGACGGGGCAGTTTTTGAACATTTCTCGCGGAATTCATTAACTCAGTGGGAGTGAAAGATACCCTCTCATAACTGCTAAGTATTTCTAATTCTTGTCTGAATGTCTTGTTGAATAAGGAACCTTTATTCTTCCGCAAATAGATCCATAGGCACTAAGTCAGGCGGCCTCGACGGCCAACGACTGGGATCTTGGTTAGCTATTCAATTATTTTTGAAATTGGCTGCAAAATTTTGCTGATAACTTCAGCGTTCTGAGGCGGTGCCTCTTCTTGCTGGAAAAGTATGGTTTCGAGTTCCATTAAGGGCATATCAACAATAAGGGGTCAAAAGCCTACTAGTTAAAAGTAGCGAACTTTTAAAAATTCTGTATTTCGAAGGGGATTATAACAAAATATCAAGTGTGCTATATTTTTGGAAAGGTAATTTTAAATTCTTGGCTCAAGTTTCGTTTAGCCGAAATCAGTTACATAGAATATCGGTTTATATGATGATTCTATACAAGAAAACTAGCACTACATAATTTGATTTTTGCCGCGGAAATTCTTTGTTTTTGAGTAAACTCGAATTTTTAATTTTTCTATTATTAACTAAAATTTAAAACTTTACGGTTTTTTAATAGTTTTTTCATTATAGAATGACATAAAAACATTTAATATAACGATGTGATCTAATTTTTATTCGAAAATATATTTTTATCACAATAATTTTCATTGATTTTTCCGGGTTTAGAAGTGCCGAAATGTGATAGGAAGATAAAAACTACATATTTTTGTTTGATTAATAATTTGCTATAACTTTTCTATATAACTATTTCCGCGGAAATCTATCATAAGGGCGGTGTAATGGAAAATCTTCAATATTAAGTTTTCCATAGTATTCTCAACTATTTTGCATACTTTCGGTTTGGTTTTAGTTGGTTTGGTTTAGTTGTCGTTTTTATGCTTTATTGACAATTGTTTTTAAATTTTCGCATTTGTTGACCATAGCGATATTAAGTTGATAAGAATAGATAATATTCATTGATCTGTGTCAAAGGTCGGGAAGAAGATCACTGCATAGTGGTGAAACAAGGCATTTCCGCGGATTTTCATTTTTGTATCGGTGCTTAAAAATAAGTCTACAATATAAAATAATATTAGTTTTTTATATATCTCATTTCGTTACTTGTGAACCATATTCAAAAAAATGGCAACAGCGCATTTCCGCGGAATTTCATTTCGTATTAGTATTTACAAAGATGTCTAAAATATGAAATAACATTAATTTTTCATGTATGTCATTTCGTTACTTTTAAACCGCATTCAAAAAATGGTGACGCGTTTCCGCGGCAAAATTTTTTCAGTAATATACTGCCTGAGGTACCTAAATGACAAAAAAATTGTTTTTTCTTTTTTAACAGATTTCGGCTAAACGAAACTTCTCTTCGAAACCAAATTCTTTTCGGTTAATTAAAAATATAGAGGGTGTCCCAAATAAAAAATAAATTTTTCTGTTGATATCTCTTAAATTATTAATTTTAAAAAAAATATACTTATACCATTAGATTCTATGTAAAAAGGTGATTTGGAAATGTTTTCATAGAAATGCAAAATTTTCCATAGCAAAAAAGTTACAGCGATTTGTTAAAAATGCACATTTTTGAAAAACACCCCGTAACTCCTAAACGGTAACAGATATTGATGTGCGGTTTTCACCATCATGTGTTTGATGAAAATTGAGCTCCAGACACCGATATTAGTTTTCCTCTATCTGCTATAGAAAAGGGTGTTTCCATTTAAAAGCGTCGAATTTGATCCACCCTGTACATTTCAAAATAACTTTAAATTATGCACATTGCCTTCCCACATATACCCATAAAATATTTTGTTTCTACATCTATTCCGTTTTCGTATAATCAACCTAGGCGAATGAGGTGCGCCACCCTGTATACAAATGTAACAAGTCACATTAATTTGCAATAAAAATAAAAATAAATATATATTTTAGAAAGAAAAAATGAGGAAAAGTGATGCTGAATTAACGGAAGACACTGCTGGTGATACCCGGTCAGGTTATTTAGAAGTACGTTTTAAATAAAAGTCTGTAATATAATATAAAAAATATACACTATACAGGATGATCCATCCAAAAAAAATCCTTATGGGTTTTTCGCCACTGCACTGCAAGAAAAATCTACAAAATAAAATACAGTGCAATCGCGATAATATGAACACAAAAAATTTTAGGTTGTTCATACTAACGGTACGTTAGTATGAACAACCTAAAATTTTTTGTTATTATTTAAACTAAACTAATTAGTAAAATACGGATTAATATTTTAAAAATCGTTTAATCGTACATCAAAATCAAGTGCTTAATATCTATATACATTACATGAAACTAATTATTAGTTCTAAAATATGAACTTATTTTTGACTGAGTTTGTTTGGCCGAAATGTTAGCTAAAACTGCCTTTTCAAGAATGTTTTTTAGAGTTGTAATATCCGATAAATTTATTGAATTTTGTTTAGCCCATTCTAATGATACTCTAAGGGCCTGGACTGCATCGCTATGTTTAATTGTAATTATTGGCTGTTCCTCGATTTCAATGTCACTCTCATTTGAATCCATATTTTCAGCTTCTTCCAGGCTCGCTTCTTCTATCACTGAATCCTTGTTCCATTCTTCAACGTCTACAGCCGTGTATTCCGCCTGTTAAAACGTTTAAAAATTACTACATAATATGTATTAATTTATACTATAGTTAATGACCTAGCGCTTACTTTAGATAAAACCGGTTTTTAAACAAAAATGTACAAATGCAAAACTTACAGGCCCTATAGCGCCTAAAAGTGCTATTGTGTCTCTTATTGGATCGGCAGCTCGTTCTTCAATTAGCTGTTGTCTTATGCATGATAGAGGCAAGTCGTCCTCATCTAATGTATCCGTAAAGTCAAGAATGTTTCGCCAACATTTTGAGATCATGTCTGGGTTTAGTTTTTCCCATGCGGCCATTAAATGGATCACTGCATCCCTTAACGTAGTTTTCTTAAGGGCTTCACCTACAGTGTCATTTGCAGTAATAATGGAACTAAGAAGACTGTTCCTCTAGAAAAGCTTGGTAAGCCTAAGCACATTCTGATCCATTGGCTGAAGTGGTGTAACGTTCGGAGGCATGAACATTACAAAGATCATACCATCACTAGATTTTAAATCTGCTGCAGGTGGATGAGACGGAGCGTTATCCAAAAGAAGTACCGCCTTTTCTGGTAGATTTTGAGATCTCAGAAAACTTTTAACCTAAAAAACCGTTAGTACAATAAAGTTAGAAATTAGAGGAGGATATTTTTTATGCTTACCTCTGGAACAAATTGCTGAAAAAAACAGTTTTTAAAAAGTTCACCAGTCATCCAGGCGTTCTTAGTGTGCCGGTACACCAAGGGATTATGAAAGTTTTTGAAACATCTCGGATTTTTTGCAGTTCCGATAAGTAATGGTTTTATTTTATGCGACCCTGAGGCATTGGCGCATCCCAAAATGTAACTCTTCGTTTGGCTATTTGAGTCCAGGTGCAGTTTTTTCGGTTAGTGATACATATGTTTTATCAGGTAACAATTGCCAATACAACCCAGTTTCATCAGCATTGTACAACTGGTGCTCATTTAATTCATATTTTTCAATCACCATTTTTAGTTTTTTTTTAAATGGATTAATAAGTTCTGGCTGACTTGACAGTTTTTCTCCGGTTATTTTTAAAAATCTTACCCCATACCGTTCTTTAAACCGTTGCAACCACCCATCACTTGCTTTAAAGCTGCTAACTTTTAAACTGGAACTTAAACTCAAAACTTTTTGCCTTATCATCTCTCCAGAAACTGGCATATTTCTCTCGCGTTGTGCAAGGAACCATTTATAAAGCAGTTTTTCCATTTCCGGAAGTTCTCCTTTTTTAATGTGCATTCTTTTGTTAATTTAGACGCACAACTTGCAACTCTTTCGACAATTCTTCTTTTTTTGTTTTTAATCAAACACACAGTTGATTTGGCAATACCGTACTTTTTTGCCAAAAGCGTCACGCCTAACCCTTTATCAACATCTTCTAAAAGTTTCGCTTTCTCATGAAGAGAGAGACATTTTGATTTGCCTTTCACTTTAACCATTTTAAATTATTACAGTTAAAGAGTTATTAAACACTTTATAGACTCTGTTTAGGTAACTAGCTGCGTTCACCTCTGTTACATAAATAACAATGAATTTGAACCTCTCTAACAGACACAAAATAGGAAAAAACCAAGATCTAACAAGTTGTTCATATTACCGAGATTTCAGGCTGTTCATACTCTAGAGTAGTCAATGAAAAAATTATTGTGTTCATATTACGGAGTGGTTCATATGACTGCGTGTTCATACTATCGCGATTGCACTGTAGTTATTTTTTTGTAAACACTTCTGCGTTAAACCTAAACGGACGCTGCTTGTCAGAAGTTGTGTTTACAGTAATAAAAATTTGCCTAACAAAGAAAAAAATGCTTAACGTTTCGGAAAATTTTCTCTTTCCGTCGTCGGAAGCAAAAAAATATAAAGAATCAAGAAAAAAACTATTTAAATTGAACTATTCGAGAACACTTTACTTTTTAAAAGAGATACGTCTACAAGAAATCGTTGACGTTCTGTTAAAATGACATTAGGTATATTAAGTTAAACTTCAAAATTAATAATTACTACCTGATAATTACTTAATAAGGTAAAACCAAAAAGCCCAAACTTTCTGTACGATTATTTTTAAATTTCACGTATGTTATGTTTATTTATGTAATGTTCTTTAAAATCAAAGAAACGATTGCCATACATTACTAACATCTACAGATGCATGAGCAATAAATTTATTTTTATTAGATTGAATTAAAAAAGCCTCTTTTATTTTTCTTTTGGAGGCTATCGCTTCTTTCATTATAATTTTGGCGTTATTAAAATTTATTCTGTGCCCTGTGTCCCATGAATGCTGACAAATCTTAGACTTGTGAAAATCTGCCTTTCTTAAATAATCTTTATGTTCTTTAATTCTAACATTTAAAGGTCTAGATGTTTCACCAATGTAAAATTTATCGCATTCACAGGGTATTTGGTATATTACATTTTTTGTTTGTTGTTCTGTATTCATTGGTTTAGTATGTGATAAAATTGATCTAAGTGTATTTTATGTTTTGAAAGATGTTTGTATGTTATATTGTTTTCCTATCCTCCTTATTTTTTCCGAAACGCCTCGTATGTATGGAATTGTAAATTGTATATATTGTGTATTGTTATCTTTGTGTCTATGATTTGGGGTTTGTATTTCGTTTAATATTTTGTCAATAAAATATGGTGGATAGTCGTTTTTTATTAATGTATTTTTTATGTGGTTTATATCTTTGTTTAGTGAAATGTTGTCGTACATATTATTTTTGTCCTATCATATAAACTTTTCATAACACTTTTTTACACTTATACTGTGATTAGATGTGAAATTTAAGTATCTATCTGTGTTTGTGGGTTTTCTGTAAACATCTAAAATTAGTTTATTTTGAAATTTTGACACTAAAACATCAAGAAATGGCAAACGATTACCTCTCTCTACTTCTAAAGTAAATTTTATGGTAGGTTCGCGAGAGAGAATTTATATATTCCAAAAAATCTCTATTTCAGAAACGTTATGTTGCCATATTGCAAAAATATCATCAACATAACGCAGCCATATTACAGGCTTTTTGAAAAACTATTTATTGTATTATTTTCAAAATCTTCCATAAAAATATTACTTAACAAAGGAGAGAGAGGTGATCCCATTGCCATACCGAAATCTTGTTGAAAAAAATTCATTATTTAATTGGAAATAAGTAGTTTTAACACAAAGTGTCAACAATTCCAAAATACTATCTATGTTTAATTTTGTTCTATCTATTAAATGTGTATCTTGTTCTAATCTATCCCTAACTATTTTAAGTGATTTATCTACCGGCACATTAGTGAAAAGACTAACAACGTCAAAACTAACCATTAAACTGTTAGGTGTTATATTAATTTTTGAAATTTTTTCTATAAAGTGTGGTGTGTTTTTAATGTATGAATCGGTGTTATTTGTAATCGGATTTAATATGTCTAGTAAAAATTTTGCTAACGGATGGCATGGAGAATTTATACTAATGACTATAGGTCTAAAAGGTATACCCTGTTTGTGTATTTTATTTTTTTTTTAAACCCATAACGATTTTTTTGGATAGATGAATCCGCCATATAGATATAGACATTTTTTACAATTCAGGATGATCCAGTATTACAAGAAATGTCTATATCTGGTTTTCCTATTTCATAAGTAGATATAGATAAGTAGATAAAGATAGATATACAGTGTGACTTAAATTATATTTTCCACAAAATTTACAGGTTTCTAAATGGAATAATAATGTACCTAGAGTTTTTTTGTTCGGTGTAGAAAAAATTTTTTCTCTAATTCAATCAACTTTGTGTCTTTTCTGATATACTAGATCTCTGTCGTGTCCATTTTTATATGTGACATGTATAATATTTAATATATTTTTTTTTATCTTACAGACAGAAGAACGGGAAGAAAATGCTGCTAAATCTTCAGCGCAAGAAATGCTCGAAAGATCTGTCTCAGCAATCGTAACTATAGATTTTTTTTCATTTTATATTTTTTATTATACAGTTCATACCAAATAAACTTTTAGTCACGTGATTAAGCTTGACCGGCCCAGCGATGCCCAGTTTTACATGTTTCCTTTTAATCAAAATATTTTAGAAAACAAAAAAAAATATACTGCCATTACTCGCTGACGAGTATTCGACACGCATCAAAAGATGGTCACGCAAGGCGTTTTCTTTTATGAGCTTTTCTGTGACTGAAAATACGTGAACGTGATACGTGATGTTATTTGCCTACCGCACTCCGGACAATCAAAAATCTCATTGCTTTGTTGCCTCTTTACTTTTTGGTTGTCGCTGTTAACTGAGTTTACAATTCTTCTCCATTGAGTTCTATTGTGAACTGCTTCTTCCCAATGATTCTGCATGTTAATCCCCTTTAAGTTTTCATGGAAAATATCCTTGTACCTTTTGAGTTGTCCACCCGGCGTCCTCTTACCGTCTACAAGCTCACTGTAAAGCAGAGGTTTTGATATGCGGTTTTCTTGCATTCTGCATACGTGACCAGCCCATCTTAAGCGGGATTTTGTAACCATGACTTCAATACTCTCGCAGTTAGCTTTTTCAAGGACCGATACGTTTGAGACATGATGGAACCACCGGATTCTTAAGAGTTGTCTAAGGTGTCTCTGTTGCAACTTGTTTAATGCCTTCATGTGTCGGCGGTACGGCACCCAGATTTCGCTCCCGTATAACATGGTGGGGATTATAATTGTTCGGTACACTGCCAGTTTCGTTTTTGTACTCAAGTCATGTTTGTAGAAAACGCTGTCTTTTAATTTCCAGAATGCTCTTGAGGCGCTGCTAATCCGGCGCTGAATTTCAGAGTCGATATTTGCCTTTTCCGAAATCAAACTGCCGAGGTAATTAAATTCCGCTACATATTCCAATATCTCATATTCCAGTTCCTCTCCGATTTTTACAGCATTTTATGATCTTCCGGGGGAGTGCACATGATTTTGGTTTTGTCGATGTTTAGCTTAAGGCCCAAAGCCTCGTATGCCCAGGTATATGTGTTCAACATTTCTTGTAAATGTTGTAACGTGTTTGCAAGAGCGCAGTCATCAGCGTATTGAAGTTCTGTGATGAATTTTGTACGTGTTTTTGCTCTCAGTCTTTTTATGTTGAACAGACCGCCGTTATATCTGTATCTAATACCCAATCCTCTCTCCTGCAGTTTGCTGTCCACTATAATGGAGAGCCCTGCCATGAATATATGTTGAATAGGAGAGGCGCTAATCCCTGCCTAACTCCTGTATTAGTCAGGAAGGGATTGCTCAGTGATGTGACACTCTTTTACACACTGTAAGAAATTTGTTGGGTACTCCGAACTTTTTCATAATTGCCCAAAGGGCATCTCTGTTCACAGGGTCGAAGGCTTTTGTTAGATCGATGAATATGCAACATAAAGTTTAGACTGCTGCTCTTTTACTTTTTCCTGTAGTTGGGGGATGGAAAATATGGAATCGACGGTGCCACGGTTGGTGCGAAAACCCGTTTGCGATTCTGGAAGGATTTTTTCTATATGTGGGTGAAGGCGATTTGACATAGTTTTTGCAAGAACTTTTCCTCCGATAGCCAATAGTGAAATTCCCCGGTAATTTCCGCAGTCTGATGCACTTCCTTTGTTCTTAAATATATTCACTATATTCGCGTTGCAAAAGTCCTGAGGTGCCTCTCCGCTTTCCCATATGACATCGAAGGGAGCCTTAAGATGACCAATAGTTCTTTACTTGCACACTTCTAGATTTCCGCCGGGATCGCGTCACAGCCAGCTGATTTGATGTTTTTAAGCTGTTTTATGGATGCCATTATTTCCTGTTCTGTTATTGGGGTATCCAATACATCGAGGCTGTTATATTGAGGTATCAAAGAACTGAATAATACACGATGCAAAAACAAACAACTGTCGAGATGGATTGTGGGAAATTTTTTGCGCGGGCCTTTTAAATTCTCTGTATTACTGGGAGTGGCCAAGCTTATAAATATCCAGATTATCCAGAAGATACCAACAGGATATTTTGTTGCCTTGACGTAATATATATCTATCTGTATGGTTTATTGCATTTTATGTAATATAAAAAGTAGTACATTATTTATTTTTCCTAAATATCTAGACGATATTGTTAGGATACTTTATTATCATGAACATGTTTGGATATCTCAGCTGGATGTACATTAGATATACGACAGAGTTATCCATAGGATATTCCCAAGTAGCATTTTCACGACTTGCGACCACATGTTTACTAAACACAACGTTGGATTAGATACAAAAAATAGTTAGCTCCCTACCTTGGGTATTAAAATAAATTTAAACGTTTTTATAACGTTGTGCCGACGTTGGACTAGTACTACAGCAAAGTAGAAGCTTCTGCGACGTCGAATAAACGTTGTCTTGTAACCTTTTTTGCTTAAGTGATCTTTAGGTGATTCGGACAACGTAGTTACAACGTTGAACAATATAGAGTTTACCGACGTCAGTTTCAGGACCTATTCCAACGTTATGCAAACGTCGTCTGTTTTACTAATTCCAACGTTAATTAGATTTCCTTATTCTTACGTTGGTAGGACGTCGAGTCACTACCTTTTTGCAACTGTATTGAACCATAACCTTAAATCTTAAATTTTCACTTTATTGTTCTGTTCAGTCAGACAGTTCAGTGCTGTTTTTGTTTTTATAAAAAAAACTTAATTAAAATGGGACATAAGAAAGGTACATATAAAACTAAATTTAAATATACATCGACATATATTACCGATGTATATCCACTCCCTCGTTTATTTATATTATAGAGGGCGGCACAAGCTAGACTCTAGGATGACTAAATTAGGCAATCTTGCGACTAGTATACTACCTGTTAAGGCCGAACTGCGACTTTATTAGTCCAGTATGCGACTACTCGAACTACTCCATCTTAATCTCCAAAACAACAAAGTGAAAGCCGCCATGTTGTTAAATAAGAAAATGTTTCGTTCCTAAAATAGCAATTCCTGCTTTTTGAATACATTAACTTGAAATATTTGACCCTAAAAAAAAACACGCGAAAAATTTTTTTCGACTGCGAATAAATTATTCTCTTTTACTAAAAAATTCAAGAAAATTTTTAAAACTTCTTTAATTTTAAGGCCCATTAGTATTTTTCAAAGTAGAAACAATACATTTATCAATAAAGTTGTTTGCGTTTAACTTTTTTGCCTTGGGTAACGAGTTAAAGTGTTTCAATAATTATGATCTTCAAACATCCTCCACACTTAAATACTTTTGTTTTGTTTTCCTTCACTGCCATCTGACATATGTCTAACTAAATCATAAAAATAATATTTTTACTATAATTATCCCAATTTAGGATAAAACGCGACTTAGACGCCATATTAGTTTTGTATTTCTGTGAATTAGGATTTTAAACAACGTTGCAGTTTGTACTAAATTAGGCTTCTAGCCAACGTCGGTATCCAACGTCGTTTCGACCCAAAAATTATTCTCCAAACTAGTGCAGACTAGGGTTGGCACGAGGTTGTGCCGACGTTGCGCCCCGACGTTTGGTCGCGTGACACAACGTTGTCCCGACGTCCAAATGCTGCTTGGGTTCTATTCTGAGACATCAACAGGATTTCAGGATGTCTGGAGGATATCCTATAGATGTCTTTATAAGATGATCTTATAATGGGACATTCCGGCATTCTATGAATATCCTGCGGATATTGTATGTTATATGGGATAAGACATAATATTAAGACAACACTAATTATTTAAGCCAAAAACTCGTAATACAAAACTAAAGTGTCAAAACGAATGGCAATGTCAGGAAATAAATAAATAAATGCGGCAACTTGACATTTTTTACAGCAGAGCTACCACCTGAACCTCCAGCGCGAATTTTAAATTCCAGTTAGTCAGCCCGGCGCCGAATATGTCCATGGTTGGCAACAATGAATTTAAAAATCGCGCCCTCGATTACGTAACTAAAAGTTTAATTGATATCAAAATATGTATTTCTAATAGATGGATGTGGACGAAGAGCGGGCAATATTAAACACAAAGTCAATATTAAAAGTCGATGCGGATTTTTTCGAAAACCAAGATGATCCCAATGAAACCCTTTCTAAGGTAAAGTAATAATTATTGTTTTCATCTAGTAAACTTTATAAAATAGATTACTATGTGTGCTTTAAAAAATCAATTATACTGTTGTACAGGGTGAGTCAACGATAGAGTAAAGTCCATTATTTCATTTGTTTCAAGGTTTACAAAAAAATGTTTAATATAAAAGTTATAGGGATGGTTAAGATACACATTTTAAAATTATTATAGAGTATACAAGGTGTTTCAAAAAAGTGTGGCGGCTATAACATATGTTTTTTTAAATGCAACACCCTATTTTTTATTATATTTTTAGATTCTGCGTAAAATTCCATAACTTTTTTATATATAATGTTATATACCTAAAATTAATAGTTTTTTTAATATTTCAATTTATTGAAACAAATGTTAAATTGGAGTGTGGTAAAAAATTGTCAGGCGGTGCCATTGTTTCTGAAGTTGGAGTACCAAAATTTGGTAGGAGAGTTTTATAGAGATGAAAAAAAAAAAGATAATATGTAAATATATTTTAGTTAAATGATACAGAGTGTTCAAAATATATTTATGAATTTAAACTATTTACTGAAGATGTTTTCTAGATAATATACATCTATCCTTATAGTAGTTAGCAAAGTACTATATAATATATAGTACTGAACCAAAAAATGTGGTTTTCTAAGCTTGTCTGTGTATATCAATCACATTGACTAATTCATTTCAAGAAAATCTGTAAGTATTATTTCTACCAATTATACTTATTACACGGGCCACTGCCGGCTGAGATCACACCTACAGAAGATGGGACTGGTGGAAGACGCCGAATGCCGACTCTGTTTGGAAGATGACGAAACAATGAAGCACGTTATGTGTACCTGCCCCGCTGGGGGCAGGACCAGGTTTGAGGTGTTTGGCAAACCCACGCTAGACTTATCAGACCTAGAAGACATATCACCCTCGGACATAACGGCCTATGTTAAAAGGCTGGGTCTTGAGGGCGAACTTTAATGCTCTTTTTCTATTAAAGAGTTTGTAGAAACTGAGCCACAATAGGCCCTCGCGGCCTCAGTGGAGGGTCCCACCTGGGACTCACTCTTAGTAAAATACAAATACTTATTACAACAAATTAAACTAAGATTCAAATTTTGTTCTTAACTTGCTTAACAGACATGAAATTGTGATAATTATTACTTTTTGTCATGGCAACTATGATGTTATAGCCCAATTGTATTAAAAATATGGGTAAAAATAGAAAAAATTGGAATAAATCGCAAACTAATAAAAATAGGTATATGACATTCTTAATAAAAGTTGAAGAGTTTGGCAAAATCTATCAGAAAAAATTATAATATATAGGGTGTACCATTTAAAAAAATTGAAATTCCTTAATTTTAAATAGTTGAAATTCCTAAATATATTTTGAACACTCTGTATTATCTAACTAAAATACCTTTACATAGGTTTTTTCTATATCTCTATAAAATTCTCCTACCAAATTTTAGTTGTCCAACTTCAGAATCAATGCCATCATTGACAATTTTTTAACCCACTGCAATCTAACATTTGTTTAAACAAATTTAAATATAACAAAAACTATTAATTTTAGGTATATAACATTATAATATAAAAAAGTTATGGAATTTTACGCAGAATCTAAAAATAAAATAAAAAATAGGGTGTTGCATTTAAAAAAAAACATATGTTATATTCGCCACACTTTTTTGAAGCACCCTGTATACTGTATAATAATTTTAAAATGTGTATCTTAACTATCTCTATAACTTTTATATTTAATATTTTTTTTGTAAACCTCGAAACAAATGAGATAATGGACTTTACTTTATCGTTGACTCACCCTGTACGGTGGACCATTTTGGTTGTTTCTATAGGGTATCTAGGAAACCGTGAGAAATATTCAAATTTTGATACTGCAATCTCGGATTCTTTTTTTGAAAAAAATTACAATGCCGCAAACGGATCGTGGCTATCTTGATCGGTTTCGAAGCTACAGGGGGATTATCAAATTTTGTACTTTTTGAAGATGTTCGATAGTTTGTTTATTTCAGCAACTACGCAAAAATGAATTATACATTCTAAAGGCACTTTTCTGTGTAGAATGCAGTGGCGTAGACAGACTTTTTTGAAAAAAAAATGTTTTTTAGGTATTAACTATAGTTCTGTTTTTTTTAGTTAGAACCCCCTGTATATTATTAAATTTCCTAATTCAGCGGGCTTCTCGAAAATATATATATAACACTCTATAATTATTTTTAGTCATAACCAACCCTTATATTTGCGCCCTATTTTCCACTTTATTATTAACTTTAGAAAAAAAGTGTAATTATTTTTTTGATAGAGAATCTTATGAAGAACAATTTTCTATATAGGTATTTTTGTCGAAAATTGCACCGTTGCCGAAATTATCTAAAAAAACTCAAAATGGGGGTAGAAACGATGTCCTGGGGGATGAGGCACACTATTTAGGGGTGGGAACTTTTCAGTTTATTAATACATATGATGTCCTGATTATTTCCACCAATTTTGAAAACTTTATGAATTTTGTCGGATATATCGCAATTTGAGCCATAATATTACTGAACTACCATCTCTGCTTATAACACTATAAACTATAAAGTATTTCTAATTTCTTTTTTTTAATTTTATTTACTCTTATTAGATAACTGGAATGACGGATGACATAGAAGAGGATGAGAGAACTCAAACATCAGTTGTAAAATTTTCAGGTAAAATAAAGCAACGAGAGTGCCCCTATTGATCTAAATTTAATTTTAATGTATTTTGTACGGGGTGTCCCATATCTCAGTTATTAGTAAAACTATCCAACTTTTTTGTCAAACGGAAGATGATGCAAACAAAATTTTCATAGCACCCTTCGTTTCTGAGCTACAGGGTCTTTTCGAAAATTTTGCAATTTGGGACAGCCCCCGTATCTCCGTTATTGTGGATGATATCGAGAAGATGAAAACTGATTCTTGTAGAACTTTTTACGTAGAATACAGTGGCGTAGAGTAGTATTTTTGAAAATATGAACTAAAGTTATGTTTTTTCAAATGGAACACCCTGTATATTTATAAATTATATGATCCGTCTTGCTATGGGCTTCTCAAAAATACATATCACTCTATATTTATTTTCACTATTTACTGCAATGTTTAAAATATATCATTTTCTTATTAGTAGGCCGTGATAAATAAAAAAAATTGTTCTAGTTACCACGATATATTTCGTATTTCAAAAATTCTAAAATCAGAAATTGAGAACGGACAAATCCGGGAATCGGGGAGGCTATCATATGGGTTCCTTGGTTCCAATTCATTGATTTGGGAAATAATAATTTAACAAAATTCTAATATTTTCGAAGTTGTGAGGGGGAGCCTCATCTTGCTGAAAGTATATTTCACGTAAATTAGCTAATGAAATATCTAAAATTCAGACAGCTTCCAAGATCTACAAATAGCGGTAGAGGGTTAAGTTTTCTAATATACACACACCGGAAAAATCTAGGCATATCATTTTATTAAAGTTAATAATAAATGTTTTGAATAAACAACCACATATTCGTAGGCCGATTCTTTCTACTTCGATTGAAACGAAGTAGTTACACTAGTTATTTCTAAATTTGGGATATTTGCAGAAGTGTTTGTGCATTTTTTGTCAAATGTATAAAAAGCACCTAGCATCAATTGTTCGAATTTAACCTGTACTGGCTATGTTTTTATGATAACTGGCCAGAATTCATTCAAATAACTCTGTTTAGTATTAAACGACATTATGGAGCGAAGACATCTTAAAAGAGACGAAATGCTAAGGGCCATGAAATCGAAGCTGGAATGCGCCAAATCGACGTATCTAGAGCATTAAATACAACGCAAAGTGTAATATCGCGATTAAGTGGACGCTACCGTGAAAGTGGTGATGTTGCTGAAAGGCACACAGGGCGACATCGCATTACTACCCCTCGGCACCCTCAGCAAGATCATTTTTTACAATTAAATGCTCGACGCCGACCGACTCTTACAGCACCAGAGCTTAGTTTAATTCTCCAGGAAACACATAATTTAACCGTTAGTCCTGACACTGTTCGCAATAGATTAAGAGAGGTCAACTTAAGAAGCAGACGCCCCTGGAGAGCTCAACCCTTAACGAGAGGAAATCGAGAAGTACGATATTTGTGGGCTCAAGATCATGTTCAGTGGTCGAATGAACAATGGGCCAATGTTCTCTTCACGGATGAGTCACGCTTTGGAATTCATCCGGATTCGAGAAGGCTTAGGGTATGGAGAGAACCGGGACATTTTATTCGGTTGGATCATGTTCAGGAAGTGCACCCTTATCAAGATGGAACAGTTATGGTCTGGGGAGGAGTCCAGTTAGGCCGAAAAACCGATCTCGTTTTTCTTGAAAGGTTTCTAACAGGAATCACATATCGTGCTTTAATTCTTGAGCCTGTCGTGTTACCACATGCCAATGATTTTGGGAGAAACTTCATTCTCATGCATGACAATGCACGGCCTCATACGGCCAGAGCGGGAAGTGAGTTTATCAATGCTCATCAATTAAACATCTTACCCTGGCCGGCACAATCTCCTGACCTCAACCCCATCGAGCACGTATGGGACGCGGTCCAAAGAAGAATTTTGAGAATGGGTATGCCTCGTGAAACTCGTAGGGATCTTGTTCGGGCCGTGAATGCAGCGTGGCAGGCTGTACCTCAAGAAGAGATCGACAACGTGATCAGGAGCATGGAGAGACGATGTAGAGCTGTAATGAACAGTAGAGGACGCTATACCCTTTATTAAGTAAAAATGGTTTTTTCTTTTTTTTTAATTCACAGTTTAGAATAAAAAAAAATGTGTGTATTTTTTTGAGTCCAATAAAAATCAAGGTAAATTTGAAAAATTCGGTAAATTTCGCATTTTTATTTCCAATACGTCCTGTAAACTATTTGTTTATTTCAATTTTATTATATCAGAAATGCAAATAATAAAATTACTGATGATGGCTGGATAAAATTGTAATATCTCTAGACTTTTCCGGTGTTTGTATAAAGAATTTATTAGTAGCTAACTTTAGTTCATATCTTTAAAAATATTCTTTTCGTAGAATAACAGACCACGCCACTGTATTCTACGTAAAAAGTTCTACAATAAACAGTTTTCACCTTCTCGATAGCTTTAATAATAACAGAGATACAGAGGGTGTCCCAAATTGCAAATTTTTCAAAAAGACCCTGTAGCTCAGAAACGAAGGAGGCTATGAAAATTTTGTTTACGGCATCTTCCGTTTGACAAAAAAGTGGGACAGGTTTGTGCAAACCGCACCCTTCTATCTTTACTAATAACAGAGATGCCGTATGACTTCAACCAAAATGGGACACCCTGTACAGTCTGTTGCATCGCCGGTCTGGACATAGAAAATCCCATGTAAATTTTAAAAATGATGAACAAGTTTTTCCCATTTTATTTTACAAAAAAAATGTATCGGAAACTTTTTAAAGAACTCCTTAATATGAAGCAAATTGTTCATTCGAAAAACATCGTACCAGTGCTTGGCGAATTTGAAGAGGCATAATTTTCCGAAAACCAATAAATATTGGTTTGACAGCAAATTTTATCCATTTTTTAATTATTAACAAGTACTTAATTTTGTTAATAATTGTTTTATGTTTATCCAAAAAAAAAATCCTTATGGGTTTTTCGCCACTGCACTGCAAGAAAAATCTACAAAATAAAATAGTTATTTTTTGTAAACACTTCTGCGTTAAACCTAAACGGACGCTGCTTGTCAGAAGTTGTGTTTACAGTAATAAAAATTTGCCTAACAAAGAAAAAAATGCTTAACGTTTCGGAAAGTTTTCTCTTTCCGAAAGAAAGAAAAAAAAATTCTTTTTTTTTTTTCTTCATCTTTAAAAAGTTTCAAGTAACTTTTTCTGTAAAATAAAATGAGAAAAACTTATTTAAAATTTTTAAAATTTACGTGGGATTTCCTATGTCCAGGTCATCGATGCAACACACGATATTTTACATGCTAAGTACGATTTAGATCAAGTTTGAATTGATTTTTTTCTAAAATTTTTAGAATCTGAAGTTCCTAGAGCTTCAAATCAAGTGGACAAAAAGTTAGTATTCGTATTGGTTACATTCACTCTCTAGTTAAAGTTTTTTTTTCAAATTAGTTGTTGGAACTGTTACTGACGCAGTGTCAGCATATCAGTGAATGTGAGCTTTAGTTTCTGTAAATGTCGTGGACAATGATTCAGCATTAACCCTCTGTATTTAAACCTCTGTAAAATATTTACGTTTAAGAATTAGGCCTCGCCGCGCCATTTACCTTTAAGTTAGGGTACCAATCAGGGTTCGGAAAACTACATGTTACTTTTAAAAACTACATAAACTACATTACATGTAGTTAATGTAGTTTATGTAGAGGGTGTAGTTTATGTAACCTATGTATGTAACTTTCAAATATCAAAGCTTTGAGGTGAGGTTATAATAAGTTGAAGCTTTAGAAAATACAATGTATTTAAGAAAACAGAAGAAATATGGCTTTGAATATAATATTCACACATCATATTATTTAGGCCCCTCATACAAAGCAAAATTATTCATAATATCAATACATAGTTTATTAACGTAGTTTTTATGTAGTTAATAACCGGGAAAAGACGTAGTTTTTGAAGAAAAACTACACGTAGTTAATCAGGTAAATTACGTCTTAATTAACTACTTCCGAACCCTAGTACCAATATGCAACTGTAAAGATGCACTTGATTGCCACGCCCTTTCTAATTCGAAGTTCAATAAAACACAAAGTTTACTTAACCTGAATGAGTTGCATAGAGGCCACTAGCTTTTTAATTTTAACAGCCGGGTGGTCGGGGTTCAAAGATATTAATAAAAGGGCGCCACGAGATTATACTCTATGAACTCGGCAATAAAGATGTAACTATTAAGTAGACTTCAACACTAACCTCGAACTGTTGAGTGCAACTATCATGAACTTCAAATATTCTATAACTATTTGTACTTAAGTGACTCTAACTTAACTATGAGACTAGACTGTAAATAATACTACTAAAAACATTTAAGCAATTTATTAAACTATGAAACAGTTAATATATATAAAGTAATAAATGAAATGTAAGAGAAATTAAATGTGTTAAGAAAAGCAAATTGAAATGTACGAAAAGAAGATAGAATTTAAATCAAATGAGAAATAACTAAACCTATGACGTCAAACCCCCTTATCTAACTTAATACTAGATACAAACAGGGTGGTTTACATAAAGCAAATCTAAATCTAAACAGTCTTACTCTAATCAATGTACAATCTTGAAACAACTCGGAAGTTCCTCCGGCTGAGCTACGGTGTATAGCTACAGGGTGGCTGCGGCGGTGCACAGCAGCTCGGTGTACTGTCACTGGAGCCCACGGATTTCAGCAGACGTACGGATGCCGGCCAGGTGTAGGACTTCAAGAGGTGAACATAAAAAAAACCCTCAACGAGGGTTTATGATGTTCAACGGGTAACTCTACACACGGGCAACAGGAACGGATGGAATTCTGGACTGTTCTGTGCTACGGTCTGGATCGGTCTTCTTGCTCTTGGAACTATCGGGGACTTCTTGGGCACGTGGAATCGGAATATCGGTCGGAAAATTTGGCTATTTAATCCCTTACGGAAATTGGTCGGTGGTCCATACAAATCAACAAAATCCAACCACGTCTCTAACCAAATGTGTTTCGGAAGCCTTAATCCTTCTCTAGGAAGACCTGCTATTCACCCACAGGGAATGCTTCATGAAACGGCAGCCAGTTCTTCACGACGACACTCTTCAGCCGGGGAGTACACAAGAAGTCATGCAAGGATTCGATTTCCTTCACAAAATCAGATTTCAACCGGAAATCTCCCTCCAGGATATAGATAGAGAACTATATATCGTGACTAGTCCAACTCACAAAAAGGCATAAATAAAAAATGATGTTCTAGATTATTTTCACAGCCATCTTCGATATCCGGTCAATGAACGAACTAAACTCACAAATTCCCACAATTAAATGAACGAATTGCATACTGCGATCCACATCAAAAATAACCAATTTAACTACGAAATTTTATCTGATAATTATAAAATTTCAATAACCAAAACAAAGGATAAATAAATCCAAAAACATCTGATTTGATCTAACAGTGACAAGTGACAAGTGATGACCAAAGATAAAAAGAGGTCGACAAAAATTCTAATGCTGGGCGGCATCCAGTAACAATATTCTGTGGCTCTATAGCGCGGTGTATATCGGGTTGCATAATGGTAAAATTTAAATAAAATAATATTTAACAATAAAATTATAGTAAACATGATGCAAAAATAATAGCTATTTGCGATATTTTATGAGCTAGCACACAGAGATCGTTGCGAGGAACTGACGAGGAACAGACTGTTACATGATTTTATCAAGTATTGTTCCTACCAGCAGGGGCTAAAGTTTCATTAGGGTCTGTGTGGCACCACCACGCCAAGAATGTTACATTATTAGGATGGCGGGTGGTCTAACAAGTGTGCCTCACTGGGACGCTAATTTTGAGGAAGCATTAATTGAGTGGTTTGATGAACTTAAAGAGGCTTAATTAAGATGAAGACCATCGAGACATTGATTTTTCTCCGAAGAGCAACCATAACTCCGATTCTGAATCTCTTACTTATAGAAGAAAAAAAATTGAATAATCAATACCAGAAAAGAAAGAGATGTGGTATATGGCAACCATATGTCAATGAAAAAATGACAAAAAACAAAAATTTCATGAATCAAATATGCACGATCCATGTGCGGCAAATGCAGATCCTATGTTAGCATGAACTGTATTTGAAAAAATTATGTACAGGGTGCGTCAAATTCGACGCTTTTAAATGGAAACACCCTTTTCTATAGGAGATAGACGAAAACTAATATCGGTGTCTGGTAGTAGTGGGAACTATGGAATGAATACTATCAAAACATTCGATAGTTGCAATTCATTCGAATAATTCGATAGCTAGTAAAAAACATTCGTTTAAAACTATTCGAATAAAACTTATCGAATAGATGCGTCATCTGCCTTATTGTATTCTAGTAATTCGGAGGCAAAAACCATTCATTTATAAAATTCATTCATTTATGAAATTCATTTATTCGTCAGGATCGATTATAATAAAATATTAACTGGATTTTAGTTGTCGCCCGGCGACGTAGGTTTCTTTCCGAGAAACCCGACAGCGGTCGGTGGCAATGCTATGAAAGAAGCCGGCATCTTTGATTTTTTGCGGAGTCATAAAGATAAGGACACATTATTTTTTTTATTGAGGTGCTAGTATTTACACAGAAAATACATTATGAAGGGCGCTGTTGCCATATATTGGTATTAGTTGATATTAGCAAAGAATATTATTGTTTGTCTTTAGTTAGTTAGGGATAGTATGTCTATATATTTTGCATTTTTTTTATTAATATTCTGTTGTTACACTGCAATAATACTTGTTATTTTGGATGTGGAAAATTATTTTTAATGTTTTAAGCAAAGACTGGTTTAATAAAAATAATAATAACAGTAATAATTTGTTATACCTATTAACAACAAAATTTAAAATAATTTAATATAAACATTATTTTACGTAGTAGCAAAAATTTAATTTTCTCACCCCATAGTTTGAGTTCGATAACCCCATTTACTTAACCACATTACTTAAATATGATTATTAAGTTCAACTATTTCATATTATTAAAACATCTAAAATACAAATATGTATTTTTAAAATTAATTCTAAGTTCATCTCATCTCTCTTAAAAATTGCTACTTCTCAAAATTTCCCATTAAAAATAGACCATATAGATATACCATATAAAATAAAATAAGTGAAAGATCGGGCTACGGAAAATCACACAAATTTTCGGAAAAATTTTGGCACCTGCACACGCACACAATCGTCAATTAAAAAAACTACTATTTTAGTATTTTAAATATTTTATAGCACAGTATTTATAAGGTGAAATTATAAAAATTTGGAAGAACTAATAATGCACTGACGCACACAAAAATCAAACGAATACTAAATTTCATTTATCAAAAGCATTCGATAGTCGTGGCTCAACGATAACCATTTAGTCGCACGGCGAGGTTGTCACATATGCTTTAGTATACAAATGAATGAATGATTTTATTCGAATAAAACCATTCGATAGTTGAAATCATTCATTCAGTAACCATTCGATAGTTTAATTCATTCGATAGTTCCCATCGCTAGTGTCTGGAGCTCAATTTTCATCAAAAACATGATGGTGAAAACCGCACATCGATATCTGTTGCCGTTTCGGAGTTACGGGGTGTTTTTCAAAAATGTGCATTTTTAACAAATCGCTGTAACTTTTTTGCTATGAAAAATTTTGTATTTCTATGAAAACATTTCCAAAGCACCTTTTTACGTAGAATTTAATGGTTTAAGTATAATTTTTTAAAATTAATAATTTAGGAGTTATCAACAGAAAAATTGATTTTTATTTGGGACACCCTATATATTTTAATTAACTGAAAAGAATTTAAAATTACCTTTCCAAAAATATAGCACACTTGATATTTTGTTATAATCCCCTTCAAAATACAAAATTTTTAAAAGTTCGCCACTTTTAACTAGTAGGCTTTGGACCCCTTATTGATGATTTGCCCTTAATGGAACTCGAAAACATATTTCCAGCAAGACGACGCACCGCCTCTGAACGCTGAAGTTATCAGCAAATTTTTGCAGCCAATTTCAAGAATAATTGAATAGCTAACCAAGATCCCAGCCGTTGGCCGTCGAGACCGCCTAACATAGTGCCCATGGATCTAATCCTATGCATATATTTGCGGAAGAATGAAGGTTCCTTATTCTTCCATATAATCTAGACAAGAATTAAAAATACTTAGCAGTTATGAGGGGTATCTTTCACCCCACCGAGTTAATGAATTCCGCGAGAAATGTTCAAAAACTGACCCGTCTGTCCATAACAGAAGACGGTCGATATGTCGAACACCTGTAGCAAAATCTCATGTCTTGGTTTGCTATTTATTTTTATTGTTATTAGATATAGTTCAAATGTGTGTTGGTTAAATATATTTTAAATTGTTATAAAATTCTGCATCTCTCATAGCAGATATTATTTTCGTTTTAATTGATGCTCACAGCTAGAATTTTTTTGCATTACAGCCTGTGCCGTTCAAAGCCTACTTATTTAAAGAGGGCGAATTTTTATATACTCTATATCTCGAAGAGGAATTAAGCAAAATATCAAGTGTGTTATATTTTGGAAAGCTAATTTTAAATTCTTTTCAATAAATTAAAAAAATATAGAGGGTGTCTCATATAAAAAATCAAATTTTCTGTTGATAATTCTTAAATTATTAATTTTAAAAAAATTATACTTAAACCATTAAATTCTACGTAAAAAGGTGCTTTGGAAATGTTTTCGTAAAAAAACAAAATTTTCCATAGCAAAAAAATTACAGCGATTTGTTAAAAATGCATATTTTTGAAAAACACCCCGTAACTCCGAAACGGTAACAGATATCGGTATGCGGTTTTCACCATCATGTTTTTGACAAAAATTAAGCTCCAGACACCGATATTAGTTTTTGTCTATCTCCTCTAGAAAAGGGTGTTTCCATTTAAAAGCGTCGAATTTGATCCACCCTGTACATTCAAAGTTTGCAGTTTTGTTGAAAATAATTTATGTTTATTACTTTAGATTCACATTTCAGTTGTTTGTACTATTAATAATAGGGTAAAATCATAAAATATATATGTTTTTAATTTCTATGGGTCAAGTTATATTTCTGTTGTCAAAAATTCCTAAAAAATGCGTTTTACTTTATTTTTGAGTCCGTTCTAATTAATTTGTTGAAAATTAATGAAATAGTTTGTTCACAAGTTTGAATATACCGGATGTTGCATCGTCGAGCGGGACATAGGAAATCCCATGTAAATTTTAATGGGGTCAATTATTGCCTTCCCTAATTATTTTAGAGAATAATTCTTATTTAGGTTTATTGAAGAGCACTAAAACCCACATTCAAAAGAATAACTTTAGATATTTTTGATTAGCCCGTTTACGAGTTATCGCCGATTTCTTTTTAAATATTTCTCCTTTCTTATGGCCCTGTATTTACTTATGAGCACCAGTCAAGGTAAAAGATAACTGTCAAATGAAGTTGTCATTTCTGAAATTTACCTATTTAGTGCTTTATTATTATTGATAACTCATTCCTACATCGAAAATCTTAAAGATGTATTTATAAATACAAATTAATATGAATTAAAGTAAAATAAAGTAATCAATTACAAGGTTAATTATATATAGTATTATTATCTACAATATTCAATAACTTATTAATTTAGGTACTATTAAATTGTTAGAACTTTAGGATTTAAGAAGATGTTCAAATATTCCTCCATGGACTGCTTGACAATAATCCAGGCGATCATAAAATTCTCTTCTTACATTCGCTAGTTGGTAAACTGAAATTCTATTGCATTCGGCAGAAATAGCATTTTTTAACTCGTCTAACTCGGCAGCCATCCATTTGGTACCAAACTTCCTGATTTTTCCTAGCTACATCATGTAAAGCAGATAAAATATGATTTTCGAGTAGTTCCAAATAATATTCTGCATTTAAATTTCGCGTAAGAAATAATGGCCCGATAATATTGTGTCCGAATATCCCTGCCCAAACATTTACTTTCTGTGGATATTGCGTCCTTGGTTCGACAAACCTGTGTTGGTTTTCTTTTTTCCATTATCGATAATTATGAAAATTGGGTTCATTATTTAAGGTAAACATGCATTCGTCAGTGAAACATATGTTTTTTAAAAATTCCCTATCCGTGTTTGCTCTTTCCATCATATCAAAACAAAACGCCTGCCGCCCTATTTCGTCCCCATCTCGTAGCTCTTGGTGCTTTTCATATTTGAAGGAATAGTATTTATGTCGTTTCAAAATTCGAAACGCTGTAGTGTGATCTATTCCTATTTCATCCTCAAGTTTCCTTGAGCTGATCTTTCCATCGTTCTCTTCCACGCACAATAAAACTTCCAAGTCGGTATCATTTCTTGCATCTTCTCTTTGTTCCTGGGGAAGCCAATAATTGACCCCATTAAAATTTACATGGGATTTTCTATGTCCCGTCCGACTATGCAACACCCGGTATTGTAAACAGTGTAAAAATAACAAGCTTTTTATAAAATATCATCATGCACTTTAAACTGAAAAAAAAATTGGGGTCCGTCGGACCCCAGAACGCCATAAGCGTTACATAAATTCACCACGCCCGCCAGTTGAGGGTTTTAAAAATAAAGGAATTTCGTCTTTATGTATTTTTATTAACACAGTTTCGGCTAGATCGTTATCAAATGTAAACTAAAGTAATTCCTAAAACTACTGAGCTTTTAAAATACCGCTGCCAGGCATTCACCGGTGAAAAAAAAGGGTGCAATCAACCGTTGACCAACTTAGGAAGCCTGCTTTCATTGGAGTGATTTCGGTACTAGGATTGCTAGATTCGGTACTAGATTAAGCTTTAGTATTGATCTTGTTCTTGCTGCACGATTCGAGAAAGTCTTGCTTGTGAAGTGGAACTTCTTTAAGCGCGATGGGAGAAAAAATTCAAAGCCGTGACACACGAGACGCGAGAGGAAAAGTAGTAACGATCTCGGAGCGTCGTTAACTCGGGCCCTATATGAGCTAAGGGACTGAAACTCTTTTTTTAATATATTATACCGGTTGCGTCCCAAAAGTGGCTCAGGCCTATAACTTTTTTATTTTTTCAGTTAAAAACATGAGATTTGGTATGCTAGTATATGACATAAATTAGAATTGATTGACGTATTCAATTGTTTTCGGTTACTCCCTGTTTCACCGGAAATGACTACAACTTTTGATTTTTAAATGGTCCCCTCGGTATTTTTTTACTTTATTCGATCGAAAATAACAATCTGGATTGAATGACGTATCATATTATGTCAACATTTGATATTTTCGCATATAGTTTATTTGAAATTATAACTTGCGGTTCGTAACGAAAATTTGACTGGAAGTACCAAGTGTGTGGTATCAAATTATTCGTAAAAAAATGCTTTTTCCAAATATGATTATGAGTCATGCTCGTTCCATTAGAAAAAATTGAGATATGATTAAAAATAAGATTTGAGCATTTTCTAACTGGCCAAAACAAGATACTAAAAACATGAGAAGGCTCCTTTCCAAGGCTCCTTGATTAAGAATTACTGTTTTTAACATATTATCCATGTGGCATTCTAGATTGAATTTTAGAATACTTTTTTTATTGAGCAAGAATATCAAAAGTTGACGTATATGATATGTCATTCTATTCAGAATGCCATTTTCTATCGAATAAAATAAAAAAATACCGAGAGTGCCATTTAAAAATCAAAAGTTTTAGTCATTTCCGTTGAAACAGGAAGTGACCGAAAACAATTGAAAACGTCAATCAATCCTAATTTATGTCATATACTAACATACCAAATCTCGTTTCTTTGAATGAAAAAGAAAATAAAAAAGTTATAGGGGTGAGCCACTTTTGGAGACGCACCCGGTATACATGTTTTATATTTTTAGACCAGACTTCGTAGATAAAAGAGTATCAATACTACGGGTAGAAGCAGAAAAATCAACTAGATCAATCGATTCAGACGGTAAGTGAAGTTTAACTTGTCCATTACTTTATTATTGTTCTATGGAAACTATTTTTTACGAAAGCGTAGAGCTGCCATCGCAACATTGAAATATAATTTTAGCAAAATTTACACTTTTTCTGTAAATTTACAGATTTTCTGTAAATTTACACTTTTTCTGTAAATTTACACTTTTTCTGTAAATTTACACTTTTTCTGTAAATTTACCGATTTTCTGTAAATTTACACTTTTTCTGTAAATTTACACTTTTTCTGTAAATTTACACTTTTTCTGTAAATTTACACCCTTTCTGTAAATTTACACTTTTTCTGTAAATTTACACTTTTTTGTATATTTACACTTTTTCTGTAAATTTTCAGATTTTCTGTAAATTTACACTTTTTCTGTAAATTTACACTTTTTCTGTAAATTTTCAGATTTTCTGTAAATTTACACTTTTTCTGTAAATTTACACTTTTTCTGTAAATTTTCAGATTTTCTGTAAATTTTCAGATTTTCTGTAAATTTACACTTTTTCTATAAATTTACAGATTTTCTGTAAATTTACACTTTTTATGTAAATTTACACTTTTTCTGTAAATTTTCAGATTTTCTGTAAATTTACACTTTTTCTGTAAATTTACAGATTTTCTGTAAATTTACACTTTTTCTGTAAATTTACACTTTTTCTGTAAATTTACACTTTTTCTGTAAATTTATACTTTTTCTGTAAATTTTCAGATTTTCTGTAAATTTACACTTTTTCTGTAAATTTGCACTTTTTCTGTAAATTTACAGATTTTCTGTAAATTTACACTTTTTCTGTAAATTTACACTTTTTCTGTAAATTTACACTTTTTCTGTAAATTTACACTTTTTCTGTAAATTTACACTTTTTCTGTAAATTTACACCCTTTCTGTAAATTTACACTTTTTCTGTAAATTTACAATTTTTTTTGTATATTTACACTTTTTCTGTAAATTTTCAGATTTTCTGTGAATTTACACTTTTTCTGTAAATTTATACTTTTTCTGTAAATTTTCAGATTTTCTGTAAATTTACACTTTTTCTGTAAATTTACACTTTTTCTGTAAATTTTCAGATTTTCTGTAAATTTTCAGATTTTCTGTAAATTTACACTTTTTCTATAAATTTACAGATTTTCTGTAAATTTACACTTTTTTTGTAAATTTTCAGTTTTTCTGTAAATTTACACTATTTCTGTAAATTTACACTTTTTCTGTAAATTTTCAGATTTTCTGTAAATTTTCAGATTTTCTGTAAATTTACACTTTTTCTATAAATTTACAGATTTTCTGTAAATTTACACTTTTTTTGTAAATTTTCAGATTTTCTGTAAATTTTCAGATTTTCTGTAAATTTACACTTTTCCTATAAATTTACAGATTTTCTGTAAATTTACACTTTTTATGTAAATTTACACTTTTTCTGTAAATTTACACTTTTTGCATGCGAAATTTACTACCCAGCAGGACGACGCGACGTCTCGGCATCGAGCTGTTCGTTACTCACTAGTTACAAGCGAGCTAATCTGTAAATTTACAGAAAAAGTGTAAATTTTGCTAAAATTATATTTCAATGTTGCGATGGCAGCTCTACGCTTTCGTAATTTTTTGATATTTTTCTGTGAAACTTCTTTACGCGCTGAGAGTAAAAATTCAAGGCCGCGACATACGAGCTAGTCGTAACGAAAAGTGGTAACGACGTAGTGACGCGACGTGTATTGGTGAACAGTTCACGTGCTTATTAAAAACATTGATATTTCAATACAAATTTTGTGAAAGTAAAACAAATTATTACTTGTTACTTATGCCCACTTGCACCGTTTGTATAAACTTTGTTTCAAGGCTAAACAGTGATTAACTATACATATTTTATTATAGTTAATCACTGTTTAGCCAATGATTATAATCTGTATAATATACATATTTTATTATAGTTAATCACTGTTTAGCCTTTAAACAAAGTTTATACAAACGGTGCAAGTGGGCATTAAACTATTAGCACAGATTATAGGTATCGTATAAGTATACAGATAAAAATCTTGTCCCTAATTCGTGGTACGAAAATTGTTTTTTATGACGATGTGCAAACGAGTCAAATTTCCTGTGCGCAAAAATAAACTCGCGTAAAATAACAATAAACAGCGTAATAGAGAGCTATCGCTAAACCGAATAGCGTGCATGGACGTTAATAAGGCCAGGTGTTATTTCCTTTACGTGAAGTGGTATTAAGTCTCTTCATTTATAGTTATCGGATCGGAAAGAATTCTGATCGCGTCGCGTCCGCTATTTAAACTTAACCTAACTTTGAATTTAAAACTTTGAAATTGTTTTGTTTATTTCCAATGCTTTATTGTTCAACGTCTACCAATGGGTTTAGGGCAACAAAAGCTACAAATTCTCTTAGAAGGGCTAAGTCGCCATCTGCTGTAAACCTAAGATTCTTTATAAGTTCTTTAGTATTGGAAGAGGTGGAATCCATATTTTGGGCCATATTTATTTAATTAAAACTAATCCCAGCTACTTAAATATCAAATTACCTAATAAAACTAAAGCAATAATTCAAAACAATTCAAACATAACCTAAAATAAAAGATCTCGCCGGCCGGCTCCGTTTGTCAAATACCCGCACATGCCCATTTAAGCAATTTTTAAACGTTATCAGAGGTTATTTAGAAAGAGCGCTTGGTGTAATTGATCCACAAATTACGTCAGGCGGTAACGTTATTAGCGGGTGTTGCGTTGACTCGCGCATATCGTAACCATGATAAGGTACGCGTAAATACTGGATGATGCTATTCGATTTTCCGATATCTCTCTAATAACTGTGCCGGTCATGCGCTGTGTACAATTTTAGAGGCCATAAGTGGGCGTGCTATGTGCGCAAACTAGTCACCTATCTAGTGCCCGATTCCGAAAATTGGAACCACGAAAAACAATAAAGAAAAAACAAAGATTATAATCTGTATAATCTGTGCTATTAATTATACGTAAAAAACTATTTTTTACGCGTATTAAACTATTTGTTACACTTAAAAAACTATTTTTTACGCGTAAAAAATAGTTTTTTAATTTATTACTTTTTTAACATTTCAAACTGCACTGTTGCAAACATCATGTCTTTTAGTAAGAAGTTTCACTTGCAATATGCGCACATAGTGCCCTCACAAAGTTCTTTCAATATGTCGTTAATTTCAGGGTTGATGGGGTCCATTGCAATTATTCCTGAAGGTAATCTATAGTTCATATTTTCTACACCAACTAATTTTCGACATTTTTTAAATGTCCAGACGCAGAAAATTAGTTAGAGACACATAGGTATAGGGAAATTAAAATAACTTTGGTTGCACATCATAATCAGGGTTCGGAAAACTACATGTTACTTTTAAAAACTACATAAACTACATTACATGTAGTTAATGAAATTTATGTAGAGGGTGCAGTTTATGTAACCTATGTATGTTACTTTCAAATATCAAACGTTTGAGGTGAGGTTATAATAAGTTGAAGCTTTGAAAACACATAATGTATTTAAGAAAACAGAAGAAATATGGCTTAAAATATAATATTTACATCATATTATCTCTATTACACCTCATACAAAGGGAAATTATTCATAATATCAATACATAGTTTATTAACGTAGTTTTCATGTAGTTAATGAACGGGAAAAGACGTAGTTTTTGAAGAAAAACTACACGTAGTTAATCAGTTAAATTACGTCTTAATTAACTACTTCCGAACTCTGATCATAATACGACCACCAACAACCTCTAAAAACCAACAAAAATAAGACGACGCCGTCGTTACCCAACCCTGTTCACAGGTGTATTGTGTTTTTAGGTCATTTTCTTGGCCTGTCGGAACTCGTTGGACAGACACTTTAATTAATGTATTTTATAAATTAATAATAATAATAATTTGTTTGCAATGCTTCGATTTCAGACGAAAAAAACCACAGAAGAAAATCAAAGAAAAGCGCCGCCTCGTACAATTTTGAATCCCGAATCAAATTGGAATCGTTGGAAGACTTGTTTGCCAGTTTTGAGGTGCTGACCAACGGACCTGATATAGTTTTAGAAGGTAGGACATAATATACAGGGTGTCCCACTAAGAATAGCTCTCGGCTGTATCTCGGAAAGTATTAGCCGTAGGGCTTACGGAAAAAATATTTATAACTAAAGGGGCTATGGGAAATTGCTGGAAATTAATTTCAAGTTTGTAGAACGACCGCTAGGGGGCGCAACTGTAACAAAAAGTAAGAAAATGGAGTTTTTACACAATTTTGCCTAGATAAGGTGTGCTATAAGTAACAGCTTCATAATCTTCAGTATGTTTTGAATATTTTTTGTTAGAGCCATTTTCTCCTATCTACCAAAATAAAGTGGTGGGGGAAGGTTAGATCTGCTTTTATTTGAATATTAATAACTCTGGACTGGATGATCGGAATCCAACAAGCGAGAGCTCGTTTAAAAGAGCGTTTCTTACTCTATATTGTACCATATAAACAATAATAATAAGCTTTTGAACGTCGACGCTAGGGGGCGTTGTCTTACAATTTAACAAACATTGCGCGTTTTTTCAAAAAAATTAAATGCAATAGTATATGTAATTTTAGCCGATAGTAAAGAGTAGTAAAAGCTTAAAAAGTCAGCGAAAACCGCATCTTCATATCTTCTTTCAAACCGAAGATATTAGCAAAATTATAATAAATACCAAAAAATAAGCCCTTAATTACCTTAATTTTACAACACGGATTAGTAGCCCTCTTGATTATGCCCATTCTAACCTAAAAATAAGATAGAAATAGTTAGTTTATTTTAAAATTGACGATATACCAGAATACCATAATATCAGATGTATTAATATCTAATAATTAAGATATTAATAATAGTGAACAAGAAACGATGATTCAGTGAAATCATGGTAGGCTTTGGAAAAAAGTTGCTTTTCGCGTAATAGTATAAACGTCAAATTGTTATTAGATCAACATTTTGATAGTCTTATCAGCGTTTTTTTTATCTTTTAATTGCTTTTTCAAAATGCCAACAACTTCAACTATTTCAAATAATAAAGGCATTTTGAAAAAGCAATTAAAAGATAAAAAAAAGCGCTGATAAGACTATCAAAATGTTGATCTAATAACAATTTTACGTTTATACTATTACGCGAAAAGCAACTTTTTTCCAAAGCCTACCATGATTTCACTGAATCATCGTTTCTTGTTCACTATTATTAATATCTTACTTATTAGATATTAATACATTTGGTATTACGGTATTCTGGTACTTCGTAAAAATATTAAGGATTGAAATTTGAAAAGTACTTTTTGCAAAAAACCCCGCGTAAATTGAATTAATTAAAAAACTTATCTTATTAATGAAACAAATGCTGAAAATGTTGCCCGTCAACCGCCATACATTAATACAAATTATTTTCAAACCGTTCTCGAACATGCTGAAGAACTTGCGGGGTCACTACGCGACAAACATCAGTAATTCGTCTTGGCAGGTCTTTTAATGAGGCTTGTGGAGTGCTATACACTTTACTTTTTATGTGTCCCCTTTAAAAAATAGTCTAAGGAAGTCAAGTCGGGTGACCGGGGAGGCCACTCAATTTCACCCCTTCGTCCTATCCACCGACCAGGAAAGATATTGTTTAAATAATTACGCACATTTTGAGAGTAATATGGTGGTGCGCCGTCTTGTTGAAACATTAGTTCCAGCAAAATAAAAACACTAAATCACCACAATACACCAAAACACTTTTACTTTTACACTGGACGCGCGTTTCGCTAACCATGTTAGCATCATGAGCAGATGATTATAAACTGAAATCAGTTTAACACCAAAGGTTCCAACCCTCAACTGTAACATTAGTTCCACTTCAACGTGTCCAGGATTGTCCTCTATGATGTTAGTTAGGGCTGGGTCGATGGTATTTTCCAGTAAATCTAAGTACATATCACCTGTTATATTTCCAGGGAGAAAAAAAGGACTTACAATAGAATTTTCAAAAAGCTGGTATTTTACACGTTCAATTTCTGAGGGTTTTGTGTGTGCACCTCGTGAAAAACCCTGGGGTTGTCCTCAGCCCAGTACCGACAGTTGTCTGACACTCATCTGAAAAACACACATTAATTAACGCATAAGTCACAGAACAGCTATCTAGCAACTACCGCACCTGATCGTTCAACTTTGTGGCAAGTGAAAAAATGCGTAAACATCGTAAACATAGAAATAATAAGAAAAAACAGCAAATTGGTGGAAGGAATTTATCCTTATCATTTACTCTGATAAATGTTTAAATAAACTTTTCAAATTTCAATCCTTCATATTTTCTCAATGACTGGACCGATTTTCAAAAACGAAGCGGGAAAGTATAGAGAATAGAAAGCCCTTTTCATTGCACCACTTGACCCCCCTTCCCATTTGAAAAAAATTGGGGGATGACACCCCCGCTTATAGGGTTGAAGATTTTGCAATCATTTTTGGGGCAAAAGTTGTCACCCTCACAAACAAAATTGACGTGTTTTTGAATTTTCTGAAAAAAAATTACCCTGGCCGTTATACCATGCGGAACGGTTTCGGGCCACCCTGGGCCACTTGTATATATATATATATATATATATATATATATATATATATATATATATATATATATATATATATATATATATATATATATATATATATATATATACCCTGTATATATATATATATATATATATATATATATCACTTTATCACTTTACTACTCAATTTATCACTTTATTCAGAATATCATTTTCTATCAAATAAAGTAAAAAATACCAAAAGAGCTATTCAAAATTCAAAAGTTGTAGTTATTTCCGGTAGAACAGGAAGTGACCGAAACTAACTGAATACGTCAATCAATTCCTGATTTATGTCACATACTAAATATCGTTTTTTATCAGAAATAATGAAAAAGTTAAAGAGATTAGTCACTTTTGAAAAACATACTGTATATATTGGAATATCAATACAACTTTTTTGGTTTGTTTGTGTAGAGGAAGCTCCAGAGGAAGAGGAAGTATCAGTTTTTGAGGAGGAGGAGGAACCTCAAATGGACAGGGCGCCATTTTATGAGAAGTACGAGAAATTTGTCGAAGAGCTGCCCATGCAGAGAATGAAAAATAATTTGTTTCACAAAAAACTGGCCATGCATTACAAACGAAAGAAGGTAAGATCCTTTCTTACTTGTAAACATTTACAAGCGACAATGTGACTGTCATTTATAAGGTAGGTTTACTTGTAATCACAGTATACAAGGGAAAACAAAATGTTGATATGTTGGTGAATGTTTGAAACACCCTGTGTAATATGTTAAAACAGCAAGAAATTTAGGAACCATTTTATCATCTAGATAGATCCTTTCTCGATAGTTTGGCTTTTCGGTTCATCTCATTAGCTTTATTTGTGTTGGAGTTATTCGCTTTTGAAGAAGACACAAATTTTTTTCTTAATTTTTACATTAAGACCATGCCTTTGCTTTTTTGTCCTAGTCAACAGATCTAGTAAGTTCTGGTCCCGAAGCAGGCTTTCTTGACATAAGATTTGCTTCATTTAGTTTTCTTCTTATAGTCCGTTAGTTAATATGTACGTTCCTTAGGTGCAATTCGTTATAAATTTGAAAAGCTGGCAAACGGCGGTTTTTTAGCGATAAACTTACAGTAAGTCGATCGTCTCGATTAGAAGTTCTCATACGAAGATTCCTGAACGTCTAGATTGACGTCCTCATGGATGTGGTCATAATTCAAAAACCACTCAGTATACTCTATGGTATTAAGGTATTTTTGGAACCGGAATTTTATAGCAAATTCACTGAACTAAACAAATATAAGGCATTTCATTTGAAAAACTAAAATTTACTTGTAAAACTATATTTGACTCACACTGTAGGTATATCTGTAAAAAGATTTTTGAAATATGAGCTACCATTAAAGACATATTTTTTAAAAGGTTTGGAGTGAAAATCTCAAATAGAAATCCTGATACAGGGCTTTTTCGGAACAAGGAGCCATTTTGTATGTATGCATTTGTATATGTGTGTTTAATTAAATATTATAGTGAAAGCAACGAATTTAAATGGGTAAACTTTGTAATATATCTTATTAACAATGCAAAAAGTTTTATAAAAATTCGTTCACAGTAAATGAATTCCGAGGTTTGTATCCTATAAGGGCTTAAATCACTCGTGGAGAGTGGAGAGAAAGTGAAAAATATTGTGTCTTGTAGATACTGTTACGTTTTTCGTCGGTTCCTTGTAGATAGAAAGTCTAATTTATTTAAACACAATTTATTTTTCACTAAGTAACAAAACAATAACGATAAAAGACTTAAAGAACTATTTACAAACTATTTATAACTATTTATCTAGAAGGAATTTATTTTGAATTTAGCGCGGCAACTTTACGCGTCTTTTTGTATCTGTCCTCCTCAGGCCCCAGGCGTCGGCTTATATACCCACAACTAAACAGTTCTCGAATAGTCCGTTAGATCATTAGGTGCATAGAGAAGGTTTAGAATGGTCTCGTATGTAGTCATAGACTTAAAATAAAATATAGACTGAGCATCTCATTCATAAATAGCTGGAACATGCGGTCAGACAATGTCTTGTTATTGTCGTGTTATTGTTTTAGGTTATAACGAGTGCGACACGAGCGATAGATAGGTCGGTCGTTCCCTGACGACTCTGCCGAAAAACACAACACTGTCTTTCTTTTCTCAAGTACACCTGAACTCTCCGTATCATAGCCGGGTAATTTTTTTTTATTTTAATGAAGCTATAATTAAATTAAAAATATATCGTATTTAAACTTTTTTTATATTTTATTAAGATTTAGGACAGGTTTTTTTAAATAAAAGTTTAGAAAAAAACGTCTTAGAATCCAAAAAGGATAAAAATAATAAAATACACGTTATAGAAGAAATTATATAATCGAAATTACGTAATTTTTGAAATTAATAATAAATTATTGATTTTAGTCAAACATTCACAACCCTAATATTAATCAAAAACTGGATCTATTCCACAGATATAATAGAATCGGCGACAGGGAGAAAAAAAATATATGATTGTTGTAATTTTTTCTGGTTAGGTGATTACATTTATTGTTAGTTGACTACATTTATTTAACTAGGTACTGTTCTTTTATACCGGGTGCGTCCCAAAAGTGGCTCATCCCCATAATTTTTTATATTTTCAAATAAAAAAAAAACAAGATTTAGTATGTTAGTATATGACATTAATTATGATTGATTGACGCATTCAATTGTTTTTGGTCACTTCCTCTTTCACCGGAAATGACTATAACTTTTAATTTTTAAACGGCACCCTCGATATAGGTATTTCTACTTTATTCGATAGAAAATGACACTCTGAATAGAATATCATATCATATGTCAACTTTTGACATTTTTGCATATGGTTTAATTGTAATTGTAACAAGCGGTTCATAACGACAATTTTACTCGAAATACCAAGTGTGTGGTATCAATATATTCATAAAAAATGCTTTTTCCAAATATGCTAATGACTCACCCTTGTTCCATTTGAAAAAATTGACATATGTATGATTAAAAATACGATTTGTACATCTTTTAACCGGCCTAGACAAGATACGAAACCTATTACGACGATCAAAACTATTTTTCCAAGGCTCCTTGATTAAAACTTAGTGTTTTTAACAACACCATGGCACCATGGATTGAAATTTAAAATGCGATTTGTTTTTAAGCAACAATGTCAAAAGTTGACATATGATATGTCATTCTATTCAGAGTGTCGTTTTTTATCGAATAAAGTAGCAATATACCGAGGGTGCCTTTAAAAATCAAAAGATGTAATCATTTCGGTGAAACAGGAAGAGACTAAAAACAATTGAATACGTCAATAAATCCTAATTTATGTCATATACCTAATAAGATACAAATCTGTTTTTTTTTATCTGAAAAAATAAAAAAGTTGGTGAGCCACTTTTGAGACGACCCGGTATATTAAAAAATATTGTTTCATAATGTAATATCATTTTAAAATTCTTGTATGTTATTTTAGAAGATAATTTTAGAATAAACCGTAATATATTTTTAATAAAAACATTATTAATTATTAACAGGGTTATAATTATGATTTTGTTACAAGTAAATAATGTAATGTAAGAGAAAAAATTCAGATTTTACATTTTACTAAGATATTATCTAAATAAGCGCCTTTCTACAACAACGCCACTGGCTCCTAATGAGTAAATTGAGAGTTGCCTACCGGTCGAAAGTCGTTTCAAGACTTAAATGGATTATTTAAGTCAAATTTCTTGCAAATTTGGCACTGGCGAACCATATTTTATAGTTCTTGAACAGAAAAAGTCAATAAAATAAACACTTAAGCACTACAAGCTAAGAAAATGCGTTAATACAGCCGGGGAGATAGCGGCAACAAAGCTTTACCGCACACGTGCGACGCGTACTACAAGGTAATAAATGAATGAATAGGCTCCCTCGCCTCTAATCGGTGTTGTCATATTGTAAAGAACTTATCCTTTTTAAACAGTATCCGACTTATAATTTAGTAGTATAAGGACTATTTAATACATCTATGCAATATTAAAACCTACTTTATTAAAATATAGTATTAATATCTCAATATATGTGTATAACAAGAAAAAAAATATTGATAATATTAAAGACGTGACAACATAGGCTGGATGAGAAAGGCTCGGTCGACCGTATCCAGAAGTAAACATGTGTACAAAAAAGATTGTTTGACCGCGTTGAGATGTAAATAGTGTAGTCTATATTTTATTTTAAGTCTATGTATGTACTCCTCATCATATGGGGGCGGGATATATTAGTTAGGTTAGGCCGAGTCCACACAACAATACTTCCGCAACAATACATTATTTGATTTTTTTTAGATGGACTATGTGGTAAGAGAAACCGATGTATCCTACGACACTGTAAAAAAGTACTTCAAAAAGTTGGAGGCCTACGGAGAACTGCTTAGCTTGATTGGCGAAGAAAAAGCAAGGGTTTACGACGAGATTCGCCAAATAAGGAAGGACAGGAACGTCAAAACCGCCGAGCTCAACGAAACGTTCAAGAAAATGCAACAGAGGGAGGCGGAAGTCGGCTATGGATTGATCAATACGAAAACTGGCCATACTATACCCGACAAAGTAAGCAGAAGATATTTGAGACTTGTCAATAGTGATGAGTGATATATCAGAAACAGTGATTTAATCACTGATATAAAAAAAATCGTGTAATGTAGGGTAGGTTAGGTTGCTGTGGTTTGGGATCCTGTTTGATCCCTCAGTCGGAGGCCTTGGGCCTTTTGCGATTCCCCTGTACCCATACAGCCACGGTACGTACCTGGTACGTAATGTTGGGACAAACGTCAGGTCCCTGGTACGTACAAGTACGTACAGGTATGTACTATGTACGTACTAGGGACGTACATTTTCTAACGCTTTGTACGACCCCGGTACGTCCCTGGGATGTGGTAAAGTACGTACTATGTACGTCGCATGTACGTACATTCCAGGTACGTACATTTTATGTTTTGTTCCGGACCAAAACTGGATGTAAAATGATCGAAAGTACGTACAATGTACGTACTATGGACATACAATGTACGTACTATGTATAACTCAGGTACAGGGTCATCCCTTATGTCTTGATACACCCGTGAGTCTGGTTTCGGTCCGGCAACTACACCCTTAGCGCACTCTGTCTTTTATTGGATGTTGATAGATATTTCATTTTTTTTTATTCTCCAACTGCTTCTAACTAAAAATACAAAAAGAAAACTAAGTAATCAAATATCTAATTCTTGCCTCTGTTTTGAAAAAATTGGTCGATTCTCAATCATTACAGGTTGTGACTGTGCTAGGTGAAATAGTCATATTAGATGTGGCAGTGCCATATAATTCATCTGATGATTCCCCACTTTGAGATACACAACATAAGTTATCTCGAGGGTTATCTGTTTCAGTTTCGCTATTGATAAGATGTGGCAGAGAATCTTCAGACTGTAAAACAAGAACTGAAACATCTGATGTGCTATGTTGATCATTACAAGATTGAAGGAAAGATGCCTGATTAAATGAAGCAGGCTGTCTATTTTGATTAGGGTATGGAGCCTCTTGAAGAGCTCTTTCAAACCGCTTAATTTGAACATTTGCCCTTTTGTAATATTTGCTAGAAGTATCTTTGCGCCACATTATATTATTAAACTTTAACTTACCTTGAAACAACGAGCAACAAAGGCAACGACAAAAGAAAACAAGCTGGAAGTCGAACAACCTACGGCCATAAACCTACGGCCACCATGACACCCACTCACATAACACAACACAACACAATCGAAAAATGGATCGGAGTAGGTGCACACTCGCAATGTATTGTTGTTTTTATTTTTTACGTTGATTAATAAAAGATGGAAATACACTGAGTGCGCACATGCGCACTACGATCGAAAACGCCCGACTTCCGATTCCGACAAGACTCGAATGTGAACGAATAACTAAGCGGGAAGTTTAAACATAGGACATAATTTTCCTGTTTTAGCAACTTGATTGCATAATATATTGCATTTTTAACACATCAGATTTCTTCAAAGGCTGTCATGCATTATGGTCATTGGATAATTTAGGAAATCATTTTTTATAGCGGTCGGGTTAGATTTATTAATAAAAGAAGTTGGGGTAGGTTAAAGTGACTTGAAATATCGTTAGCCTAGAAAAGATCCACTGATCCAGTCCATTAATTATTATTACGTATATCTGACCAAAATAATCCAGTCATGATATTAAAATTAAATAACATTTTGTAATGCGTTGTCAAAAAATTTGTCTTGTCATTTTTAATAAAAAGAGCCTTGTCATTTTTAATAAAACCCAAAAATTCTTATATGCGATATATTAAAATTAATTGAGATTTGAAGTTCCGTTGTATTGAGCTTAACTGAACATATGTTTCTATCATTCATCTATCTACTTCAACATCCATACGTGAAAATATATTAAATAACAACCTTAAATAATGAAGGCATATAATTTACTCTAGTTTTAAACTTTGAATAAGAAGACTAAGGAGGGAGCATAATGCTATCCATGTATTCATGCATGGTGGGCGGAAAAAAGCACCATAAAAGCACTCTAGGGTGGGGATCCTTGACAGTTCTGTTTGACGATTCATTTGACACATTTGAATTTGATTTAAAATTTTGTGGATTTGTCAGTCTTTACGGAGCTTATTTTATGTTATTTATTATTTATTCTACTACTGATAGTTGTATAAAGGTAGTAAATCTAGATGGAAATTGTGACAGAACTTAAATTAACAGTGACACTATCGCGATTTATCGAAAAAGACTCTAAAATAGTTGGTTGTGTAGCGTGCGGTAGATCTCGGCAAAAATTGAGTGAAATAATGGAACAACTTTTCGCTAGTAAGTTACTATATAATATACATACGTGTAGTAAACCGATCATTTATGAAATTCACTTAAATTAACTAAATTATATATTTTTCTTGCATTTTAGCTTTTTATTTACTACTTGTCAAACATTAGATGTCAAAGAATTTAGATACGTTAATTTGACTTACCTGCTTCAGTAGCGTATCGGATGTTTGTGTTAATAAATACTTATTATAACTTATCTATTTTTATTAGAATTATATATTTTTATAACAATTTTAATAACTACCAACATTTATTCACAACGTAAAATAAAACAACAAATTATTGAGTCTACCCCACGTCTACCCTACATCATAGTTTTACATTTTTTAAATAAAATTAGAACGACACTGATAAACCGGAATTTAAGTCGGCCATATTTGAGACCCATCGCGGTGTACCTAAGATTTTTGATATGCTCCTTCCTTAGTCTTCTTATTCAAAGGTTTTAAAAATACTTTATTTTTTTATCTATAATTTTTATATCCTTTTTGGCAAATTTCCTTTACGCAAGTTTTTATTATCGAATATTCATTAAACAGAATATTTATCAATATCTACTTCTTTTAATTCTAAAATTTCAAAGATTTAATTAATTAAGGTTTAATTCGTGGAAAAGAACTGTTTTTAAATTGCAGAAATTAATAAACATGTATTTTTAATAATAAATTTTAAAATTTTATTGGTTAATAAAAATGTAGCTATTCAACAAATAAAAATCGGGACATTAGGGCTTTGCATGGCGACGGGGGACTTTTGGATCAAAAGTCGTATCCGGCATTATGCTCTGAGAAATCTAGATAAACAAAGAACAACCGATATAAAGCATACCATATGAAAAGAGAGGAAAAACCTGTACTCTCTCTGATATTTGTCAAAGTTACGGCAGTGTATTGTTGTAAATGTCATCTTTTTGATCGACCTGAAAACTTCGAACAAAAAGATGACACTTTCAACAATACCCTGACAGATATCAGAGACGATACAGGTTTTTCCTCTCTTTTCCCCTGGAATACTTTATATTTATTGTTCTTTGTTTATCTAGATTTCTCAGAGTGCAATGCCGAACTCTGCTAAAATGGCAACCTCTGTGGCAACCCTGTCTTGATTTTGTCATTTAAACAATTCAAATCATTTAAACGTTCCCAGCACGTGGAACGCTTGGTATCCAGACAAAACAAAAACATGCAGCAGGTGAGCTCGATGCGACTGACCTACATCAAACTTAAGGTGATGATCCAGGAAAAGATGGACGAAATAAAGGCTCTGGAAGAGGTCGCTCCCGGCCTGTTTTTGGGCGATTACGATCAGATGAAGGTCGATAACAGGAGCTACGCGGATAAGATTGAAGAAAAGGACGAAGAATTGACCAGGCTGAGAGTAAAGACTGTCAATATCACTCAGGTAGACACCATTCATAAATTTATTGGAGATTGTATACAAGATGGTCCGAACTGTATTCTGGAAACTTCGGCAGCATATTCTGCATCTGCATCTGCAAAAATAAGTAAAAAAAAATCGTACAAATGTATGTCCTAAAATGCTTAGTTTCGGAGGTACAGGGTGTAGAAGTTTCATTTTTATTTTGATTTTTTCCAAATAATTTCTGAAGTCAATATGACTCCTACTAGTAGAGGGCGCCACTTACATATTTTTAACTGGTTTGAAGAGATCATAAATTTGAAATGTTTTTGTGCCAAAAGTTCAACAGAAACTGTTTTATCATCATTTTTTCGAAGAAAAATTTATGATTAATGAAAAAAAAAATCCAAATTTATCATTTCAGTCAAATAACTATCTATAGTGTGACTAACGGATCTGTAGCTACGGGGTATCGGCAGGGGAATGCAGTTGTAAACAAAACACGCCCAATTTCATTCATAAAATAGGCATGGGCGTACGGTGTTATATGAAAATAATGTGTATCATAAATATAATACTCAGATTAATAATTTTTTTCAAAAAACTTTATGCTGTTTGAATCGTTACTGTTGAGTTAGCAGATAAACACTAAAAGCTTTTATTAAAGCTCCCTTAAGTATTTTGAATCATTTTATTATTGTGTTGTTAATATAATAGAAGAAATAATTACAGCTGAGGGTTGGACCCTTTGGTGTTACACAGCAAAATAAAACACTAAATCAGTACAATCCACCAAAACACTTTTAATTTTACACTGGACGCACGTTTCGCTAACCATGTGTGCCATCAGCAGATGATCAAGACTGAGTCTTGAGGTATATTTATTTATATATCTGTACTAACTATATTTTTTTCTATAATACATAATTCTAGATATAACTATTTCCAGCAAAAAAATCTTGAAAATAGTTAACTTTGGAAGCGCAAACAAAACATAATTTTACTCACTAGTAGATCCAATATTGCCTATTACACCAGATATGGTATCGCTCCGCCAGCAGTTTTTAAAGGTTAGGTCATTGTCTACCCATATGTTTCATCCAAATAGATAATACTTGGCTATATTTTCGAATTTCGCGTATATATTTTTGCAATGCAATCTCTCTCTGCAATATAATGGGCCGCTCCATTAATAATTATCTGTTATTTTGATATTTACGCCAAAAAAATTCATTTGATTTTAATAACCCCCTAAGCATTTCCCTGCAAAAGGAAAATTCGATTCTTCCTGCAATTTTTGCAAAAGCTTTCTAATTGTGGGGACGAGTTTGAATTCGAGATAAAATTTATTTATCAAATTCCTGACCACTTCGAAAAAGTCGTCGAGCTTTTCGACAGCAGTCTCACTTGGTCGTTTCTTTCCAGAGCTGGATATCATTTTATCGGGGTTAGTTTTAGCCTTTTTTTTATCTTCTGTGTGAATTTTTTTATAGCCGATACGCTAACTCCGGTATAAAGAAATATCCGCTCAAGTTTACGTTTAAGCGGCAACTCAAGCGAACTCTCTGTAGCTTCTTCATCGCAAACCCTATTATGAACACAAGGAAATACACCAAATGAGATTTCATCCACGTTATTATTAACTTACCTATATAAATTAGCTATTATTTCTCTTGTCTGACTATGTAGCGTCTTACCCTTAACAAATTTATTCGTTTTAAAACACAAATATACGATCAAACTTGATATTAATAATTAAAAACTACGAACGAAAAACATTATAACAAGATAACAAAACAATAAAACACAACTTAACTATCAAATATACTAAAAATATAGGAATAAAGTTTAGGATAACCGGTATAAAATAATGAAATAAAGTAATAATGATCAAAAAAATGACACCGCCACTGGATATTTCAATAGTATTCAATATTCCTACTCTTTTCAGAAGAGACCGTGAAGTTGGGGATAAAGCAAGCGAATAGGAAAGGCGTAAAAGCCATGGCAACCGCGTGGTAACAAATCCTGTACGTACTCTGGCCAATCATGTTCGATGAATAGGCGGCCATGCGCGGCGATGCCGGTTTGCCAATGATATCGTTGAAAAATCTTCAACTTTCATAATAAGCAGATTATACAGAATGAAAGAAATAAGTTATTAAATAAAACATATCGAACAATATGAACTACGTTAAAATTCCTTAATAATATATGTCAGAATATATGCTAAACACATTATATATAATAAAAATATATTAAATTTATAGTTCATGTCTGGCAATTTTGCAATTTTATAGATAAACGTGGCAATATCGATTTTTTTTTCTCGCATTCCTTCCGTAGCTTCAGATCCGCTGGTCAAACAGTACTCAACATGTCTATTTTTTGTCAATAATGACATGTATTGACTATTCTCATTCTAAATATCTTGAGAACGGTTGCTCGTAGCGATTTTTACCAAGAGACCTTTTTTACGTAAGAAATGTCGTAAATGTATATTTTTTTACTCAGAAATTTTATACAGGTACAAACGAAAAGTTATTACTCTTCAAACCAGTTAAAAAATATGTAGGTGGCGCCCTCTACAAGTAGGAGTCATATTGACATCAAAATCAAATTTCTTATGTCGAAAAACTACCAGATACCAATTTTCATTCAAATATTGACGTCACTTCAGAAATTATTTGGAACAAATCGAAATAAAAATGAAACTTCTACACCCTGTATCTCCGAAATTAAGCATTTTAGGACATACATTTATACGAACTTTTTTACTTATTTTTATCTGCAGAATATGCTGGCAAAGTTTCCGGAATACAGTTCGGAACACTCGGTATATACAGGGTGTCCCGGAAATAAGTGCAAGTATTTTAACTGGTAGTATAGTTCAACCCCACAAGCACGCCTATGAGGTTTTTTTCGCGAAAAAATAAAATTGAAAATTCGAAATTTTTGGAAAAAAAATTTAGAATTTTTTTTAGTATTTAGTTAAAAAAACATAATTTCTAGATAATGTGACAACATAGGTATTAGATTAAATTTACAAGAAATAAAATCCAGGAAAGATCCAGTGGTTCTCAAAATTTTAGCAAAAAATCATTTTTTTGGAAATTTTCAAAGTAAAATAACTCTGTTATTTTGGACTTATTTGAAAAACGATAAAGAGAAAATATGTTTCTTTTATGGAGATCTACCATCCTCTAAAATACTTGCGCTTATTTCTGGGATACCCTGTATAAAAACGAACACTTTTTTAGGTCTTGGCGCATTTAAGAGAGAAAATAGCGGAATTTGATAACGATCTGGAAGATCTGATATATGAGAATGATATGATAGAGGCTGATTATCAAGGGGTAATTATTGTATATTTCATACAGAATAAAAGCCACTACTTCTCATTGAAAACATATTTCTAAACATTTTTGTTTATTTTTGAAGTGAAACTTTTTTACGAGCGCTGGGAATAAAAATTCAAGGCCGCGACGCGTCACGCGAGAGGAAAAGTGGTGATAACAGTCTTAGAAAAAATCGTCCGTTTTAAAGGAAATGAAATTAGAAGTTCCTCAGAACTTACGACCGAGAAAAATCAAAGGTTTTCCTTGATTTAAATAAAAACAATCTTCGGATTGTCACGGGGTTTCTAACAGGACACTGTCTCCTCAACGAACACCTCAGTAGGCTGAAGCTGAGAAACAACGACGAATGCAGATTTTGTGGGTAAAATGGGAAAACACCAGAACCACAAATTACCTATAACAGATGCGAAAGAACACCTAATTACGCGTTCAGGTTTCTGTGACCTTCAGAAAGAGTTCATAGACAATCCGCATCAATGTATAGTTTGGGTTATTATTTGTTTGGGTGAAAATAATCTGCACCAATATGTTATCGAGGCATACAAAAAGGTCCACAGACTTCGAGACATACGAAAAATCAAGTCCATTTAGCGTGTGTCGCAATTTTCACACATTAAAACTTAGTTTTTTATAGCTATAGCAATGCAGCGACTATGAAAAGAGCTGTGTGATTTTCATAGAAAATAAGGGCACCTGTAATTCATTTGAGAATGATATAAATCGCTAAAAGAGGTTTCAAATCTCTTGGATTTCTATTAATATTAAATAAATTTTATTAAAAATTGAACTAAAATTGTTAGTATCATTGAAAACAATTCAAATTCAAAAATTGTATCAGTCAAATTCCCTCATTTAAGGTGAATATTAAAGTAAATATAAATACAGCTCATTCTAAGCTCTACTTATCTTTAAGAACAATTTAAATCATTGTTGCAATTGGGCCTTAATGCCATTTCGAATGAACAATAGTATTAATAATATACATTATAATAATAATAAATTTTAAATAGTGTGTATTACTAAAAAACACTTTTAAATTGGTATTATATTAACAACTTTTGTTTTTTTAATCCAAAAAGTTACCAATTTTCTCAATCAAAATATTTGTGGTCCTGAAAAGGACCTTCGTTTTTCCATGTTCGTCAAGGTAGGTAATGGGTAAACGGTAAAAAACAGGATAATGAAATTTAAAAAATTACAAAAATTGTTCAAAAGTGCCTCCCTCCTGCATTAAACCAAACGATCATAAAATTCCCTCCTCACATTGGATAACATATCAGGGGTGACAGTGTCAAAGGCATTAAATATTTTCTGCCTTAACTGCTCCAAGTTTTGAATTTCTTCATGGCCGTAAATTTTAGATTTTATGTACCCCCATAAAAAGAAATCATTCACCGAGAAGTCAGGTGAAATTAAACGTCAGTCTAAACAAAACTGTCATTTTTGAAAACTTGTCAAAATTTGGATACACGCTAAATGGACTTGATTTTCCTATGTCTCGAAGTCTGTGGACTTTTCTGTATAATCTCACAGTAATTTAATAGATTGCTCGTCATATTATATCAGCTCGTAGGAGATTAGGAAAAAAAAAAGATATTTATAGTATAAAAAATTAATTTATTTAACAAAATTTAATTAAAGATGTGACAAAATAGTTACATTTCTATTGGTTCTATCGGACTTTTTTCGACTATATAAATCTTTTTTTTTTTGTAAACTTTAATGCATAAAATATTTTCAATCTAATAAATAATTTAATGATGTAAATAAGAGGAAATTTCTCACATGGGTGGTCAAATTCTATAGTTTTCATTATATCAAACAGCCTCTGAATGTTTTCTTCAGTTCAAAACTCATCAAAATTTAATATAAATAATTTTTCCAGCCTGTATATAAAATGAACAAATTTTTCCACTTTCATGATTAAAGGCTTTTAAATGGGTAAATAATTTCGAGTTATCCAGAGATTCGGATTCTTTTGCAAATTTTAGACAAATAGTCAAACATAATTAAAGGCATTTTGAGTTGAAAACATTTCTCAGAGGCTGTTTGATATAATGAAAACTATAAAATTTGACCACCCATGTGAGAAATTTTCTTATTTACATCATTAAATTATTTATTAGATTGAAAATATTTGATGTATTAAAGTTTAGAAATAAAGATTTATATAGTCGAAAAAAGTCCGATAGAACCAATAGAAAGGTAACTATTCTGTCACATTTTTAATTAAATTTTGTTAAATAAATTAATTTTTTATACTATAAATAATATATATTTTTTTCCTTATAAATAAACACATTTGCATCCCATTTTAAATAAGATATACAAATTACCAAAACTTAAAAATAACATTTCAAAAGTTCAACAAAAATCCAACACGCGTTTTTAAAAAGAAACATATAACCACGCACTATGTCATTCCAGCAAGCGAATACGACACAGCATAGGTTTCCGGACTAAACGACTGGTGTATTTACACCACTCAATAGGCGTGTCGGGTTTGCCGAGCGGTTTCCGATGCAGTCGCTTTCTTTCGCATCTGTTGTAGTTAATTTGTGCCAGAACGACAACCATTCGTGCCATGAACTTTGGTACGTCTGATGTCGAGGATGGAGAGCTGGCCTCTGTGGAGCCGTCTCAGATACTGGCTTTTGTTAAAGCTCTGAGACTGTATGATGAGTTATAACTCGTTATAACTCAAGAAAGGGGAACACATAATAGATCTATAAGGTCGCGGTGATTAGCTCCCCTCCAACCAACTTGACCGTGTACGATACGTCTCAATGTGACAGTTAGTTTTGACGTAAGAAATGTCAAAATGGCTACGTGATCGACGGTGCACACGATCCCACCCTACAAAGTTGGGTACGACCCTTGTTTATATATTCTTAGGGGTACGACGTTTCGTTTACGTCTTCATCAGGGTGGGATTAAGGATTTGATGTTGAAGAAAAATGTGGGTCGATTTAGGCATAATTGGGGACGGGCTACAGGACGAGTTCCTCGACGTTTCGAACCGATGCGATGCCTCTAAATAGACGAAATCATCAGGCTTTTTCTTAATTATGGGTCGATTGGAACCAAACTTGGCACGTGGATAGAGGCAGCCGAATGGTCATTTTAATACAAATCTTGGTTAGCTATCACTTTAGTGCAACAAAAATTGAACGCTGTCTAGTAGCTTATTCGTTAAGTAGTGTGGATTATTTAATGCAATTTCTGAAATAAAATTTGCGGATTCTTCAGGTTGTTTTTTAAATATATATACTATTTCTCGACGCGTAAACAATGAAGTTTTGTCATTAGGCACAGTTGGCATTCATTAGTTAGTTGGTTATTTGCTGGGGTTGGTTGGTTTCTACAAATTTATATTTGTTTTTTAAATATTCATTGATTTTAAGATAAAAGCCCTTGTTTGAGGTTAGGAAAAATGGGTATTTTTCCCCTTTAAATCGTCAAAATCCGCATTTTTTCTGAAACAATACTACTCTAAAACACTCCTGAAGCCCTTATTTTCTCAAAAAATGCTTAATCTCTGTTGCACTAAAGTGTTATGGGCACCAAATCTTATGAAATTGAATAAAGTTATTTATTACTTTTTAGTTTCACTTCAAAATATGCGAACATAGTGCACACACATTTTTTTTTAATTTTTAAAAATCATATTTAGCATTTTGATGAGTTTAAGTCAGCAAATGGGTGGTTTTAGATAAGATATCAACTGAACGAGTTGAAACAAAAAAGAGATTATTATCGACATCGCATCAACAAGATGAGGGAAGAATCTGGACTGCTGACTCAACCGACCTTACTGAAAGACATGGAACAAGCATTTAAAGATATCGAGGTAGGTACATCATCTTCATCAGCATCATCGTTTTCAACTTATTCAACCATTTCCGATTATGGTGTAGCCTCCCTCACATTAGATACTCTTTTTGTAGTTGGGCCCATTGTTGTCTATAGGGCCCAAGTTATTAGTCGACGCCGTGGTAACCGTGCTTGTTGATTGTTTCCATTTTGACTTTGACAACTCAGTTATTGATGTTCAATTTTGTGTTAAACGTTCAGTTTTATCAGAAAGCAAAAAATAATAATATTAATATGGGTGATTCTGATTCTGAAAGTGTCCCTTCGGTTATTGAAGGCATTGCTCAAAACGTCGATTCCCTACTTCCCGAAAAATCAAGACAAACGTACGAGCAAGCCTATGTAAAACTTGAAGATTGGTGTAAAGGGAAAGGAATCAAGAATAGTAGTAACGAAAAGGTTCTCCTGGCATATTTTGAACATCTTTCAAAACATAGGAAGGCTTCATCAATTTGGGTTTATTATTCCAAGCTACGTTCAGTTATATCGGTGAAGAAAAATACAGATATTAGTAAGTACGTCCATTTAATTGCATTTCTAAAAAGAAAATCGGAAGGATTTCGGTCAAAAAAATCGAGAATTTTAAGAAAAGAAGACATAGCTCGTTTTTTGTTGGAAGCCGATGATAAAACTTATTTCCTGACAAAAGTTTCATTGATAGTGGGACTTGGGGGAGCCTGCCGGCGTATCGAGTTGACAAATCTGCAGCTGCAAAATGTTAAAGATGAAGGACAATGCATTCATGTGCGGCCAAGCAACACAGAGTATACTCGATTTTTTGTGGGGTACAGAAATGGCAAATGTATTAAGCAACCCTTCTTCTTCTTCTTCTTTTAGAAGGCGTATCGCCTGTGTAGTTCCGGTTTCCTCCTCGTCTAAGCAACTCTTGCGAGGTTGCCTGCCAACTGTCTTGCCAACGTTTAGGTGGTCGTCCAGTAGGTCTTCTGCCATGGGGTACGTTGTTGCGAATTATTATGGCCATTCTGTCGGGGCCCATTCTATTGACATGCTGGTTCCATTCTCTTCTTCTCTGCCTTATCCATCTGACAACGTCGTTTGTTTGGCACTTTTCTCTTATGTCTACATTTCTCTGTCTGTCCCTCAATGTGTATCCAGTTATCATTCTTAAGGTCTTCATTTCAGTAGTTCGTAGGATTCTCTTTGTTACTGATGTTTCAGCTCTGGTTTCCGCACCATATGTCATCACTGGTCGTATGCAGGTTTTGTATATTCTTGACTTACATTCTGTACTCAAATGTTTGTTTTTCCATATGGGATATTTAAGATGTCCTGATATTGCGGCAGCTTTATTGGCTTGTTTCCTTACTTCTTCTTCCAGGAATCCTGAGCTTGTAATTTTGCATCCGAGGTATTCGAATGACATTATCTGATCAATAGTTTTGTTTTTTATTACCAATTTGCACCGTAGAGGCTCCTTTGTAATGGTCATGCATTTGGTCTTATTTGTGGAAATTTGCATGTTAAGTTTTTCTGCCTGTCTGTTAAAAGCTTGTAGCATTCTTTGGAGGTCGTCCTCTGACTCTGCAATAAGTACTGCGTCATCGGCATAGCATAATATGTTTACTTTATGCATTCCCATTCGATATCCTAATCCAGTATTCTTGACGGTTTTTATTACTTGATCCATGATTATGTTGAATAACAGAGAGCTAAGACTGTCGCCTTGGCGAATACCAGTTGTAGTTCGAAGGTGCTGCGTTAAGGTAAAGTTTGTTCTTATTTGGGTTGTTGTGTTTGTGTTTAAGTCCTTGATAAGTTCTGTGAGTTCTTTCGAGACATTACTGCTTTCCAAGGTGGTGATGATGTCTTTTAGTTGGACTCTATAAAAGGCCTTTGTTAAATCTATAAAACACAGATAGGCTGGAGAGTTATATTCTAAGGATTTTTCAACTAGTTGCCTGAGTATGAATAATGCATCGGTAGTTGATCTGTTTCTTCGGAATCCTTGTTGTTCCTCGCTTATTGGCACTATTGAGGAGATTTTGTCCGCAATGATCTTAGAAGTTTTAGCGAGGTGCTCGGTAATGTTATTCCTCTATAGTTTGTTAAGTTCCTCTAAGTTGGGTCTGTTTTATCTCCTTTTTTAAAAATGGGTATTGTTATACTTTGTTTCCATTCTTCTGGTATTTTCTTATGTTGTAATATAATGTTAAACAGTTTTGTGTGTATTCCTCTATGATAGCCGTGCCTGCGTTTTTTATTAGCTCGTTTGGTATTTTATCTTGATTAGGAGATTTTCTATTTTTAAGTTTCCTTATTGTCTCTTCTACTTGCTTGTAAGTGATTTGCGCATGATCTTCTGTATTATCTCTTTGGCTTGTCTCTTGTGCTTCCATTGGTTCACCTGTTTCTGCGTATAAGTCTCTGAAATATTTTTCCCACGTATCTTCTGCAATTGTTCTTAGTTGTATTGTTTCATTTGTTTCTCGTTTCAAACCCCTCAACATCTTCCAAATACGTTTTTGTGCTCCGTACATATCCGCCTCCATTTCGCTACTAATTAAGCAACCCGTTGGCATTAATACTTTAGGGAAAATGCCGTATAAAATAGCATTGTTCCTAAGTCTTCCAAATCCACAACAATACACTGGACATTGTTTCCGTAGATCGTCTGCGTCGTTGCTTGCAGATTCAGGAGTGGATTTATTAACTGTTAAAAGACATGGTGGTTAGCGCTCTAACACAGTGGCAGATATATATAGATATATATAGAAAATTCCAAAGAAAATAAGAAAAAAGTGTCATGTAATATTTTGGGTAACATTTCTGGCAATGATGGGGCTTCAACAAGTTCAAGCACTCAGGAAATAAATTTACTTTCTAAAAATTCAACTCACCCGTCATCGTCTGGAATTAATTTAACCAATAATTGTACTGATATTATAATTAATGTTTACAATAAATAAACGTATTTAGGTACCTTCTTTTGCTTGTTCCTTATTTTAAAATTTGCGTGTTTAGTGCTATTATGAAAGTCATAATGACATCCAAATGACAATATTAAATGTGTCATAATGACATTGTCGTAGATTAAACATTATAAAATTATAAAGCTAGAATAGTATACGGTTTATATTAACACCATTTTTTTAAAGTTTATAAAAAGCATTTATAAAAAACATATATTCTTCAAATTTTTCAATTTAATAGCTGTTAGTAAGAAATTTCACTACAAGTATGCGCACATAGTGCACACGCAATTTTTTTTATTTCTCTACAATTTTTTTTAAATTAATTTCAGAAAGAAACTGAACACCTAAGAACTCTGAAAGATGAACACAGAAAACGGTCGAATCAAGCGAAGAACGTCAGAAAGAAGATGGAAGATTTGATGGAAGTGAGGAAAACTCACACGAGAAGGAAAACTCACTCAATAAAGCTTCCCACAAAACCCATCTCCGGCGTAGCGAAAAAGAGAGAGAGCATCGATATGGGCGAGGCGACTTTCTACAAGGGAAGACCGTCCTTGATGATGCCTGTCATTGACAGTTCGGAGTTTACAGCTTTGACAACTATCAAGCCGCGAATAACGTTTGACAGGAGTAGGAAAAGTATGGGGAAACATAATTTAGTGAGAAGAAAAATAGGCTAGGAAATGTGACTTGGTATTAAATACAGATATAATGTATGTTTTGGTGTAGATATCAAAGATATTAATAAACCTTATAAAAAAAATGTTTCTATAGTTTCTATGGGAGAGTAATTATTTAAACATACAGGGTAACAATTTGAAAACGAACAGTATTCAATCATGATACAAAGAAAACAAGGTATGATCGATAGCGGTTCCAATTTCGTTCAGTTTGCGCATACCACCTGTGACAATGCCATACAAAAAAAATATGCATATAACCACTGTGTCTGTATGCATGGTGGACGGAAAAAGCACTCTAGGGTGGGGATCCTTGACAGTTCTGTTTGACAATTCATTTGACACATTTGAATTTGATTTGAAATTTTATGGATTTGTCAGTCTTTACGGAGCTCATTTTATGTTATTTATTATTTATTCTACTATTGATAGTTGTATAAAGGTAGTAAATCTAGATGGAAATTGTGGCAGAACTTAAATTAACAGTGACACTATCGCGATTTATCGAAAAAGACTCTAAAATAGTTGGTTGTGTAGCGTGCGGTAGATCTCGGCAAAAATCGAGTGAAATAATGGAACAACTTTTCGCTAGTAAGTGACTATATAATATACACGTATGTATATTATATAGTCACTTACTAGTAAACCGATCATTTATGAAATTCACTTAAATAAACTAATTATATATTTTTTCTTGCATTTTTGCTTTTATTTACTACTTGTCAAAGATTAGATGTCAAAGAATTTAGATAATTGACGTCAGTTTGATTTACCAGATTTACCTGCTTCAGTAGCTTATCGGATGTTTGTGTTAATAAATAATTAATATAACTTATCTATTTTTATTAGAATTATATATTTTTGTAACAATTTTAATAACTACCAACATTTATTCACAACGTCAAATAAAACAACATATTATTGAGTCTACTCCACGTCTACCCTACATCATAGTTTTACATTTTTTAAATAAAATTAGAACGGCACTGATAAACCGGAATTTAAGTCGGCCATATTTGAGGCCCATCGGGTGTAACTAAGATTTTTTGATATGCTCCTTCCTTAGTCTTCTTTCTTCTTCTTCTTGTTTCACGATGACCACGCGCCTTTCGACGCCAGTCAGAATCTATTATTCTTTGATTATTGTTTCTTTCTGATTTCTTTATTCTTCAGTTAAACAGAGAACGTCCTCACGGACGCAGACGCCTGGAATTGAAGAGACTTTGGGCGCATTGAGGGAAACTTCTGCTCCTTACTGCACTTTAATGTGGGATGGTTCTCTTCTAGGGTCCTCTTCTAGGGCCCCATAAAATTAGGCTTTTATGTCAAGGTAGTGAAGGATCAGGAATCACAAAGGAAAGACATGTACTGTGGCGTGTCCAGCAACTAACAGACAGGGACTGCGCCAGGCCAGGATGAATATAAGGGATATACTGCAAAATAAATTACTTATTATTGAAAGTTAAATATCATCGTTATTACCATTTCAAGCAAAGCAGGATCAAGCCACAATTATTCATCTACATGTAAAAGTTTACTCTAGATTAGCCAGTGTACAGACTGATAGTCTTATTGGCATGAAATCCATAAGCGTGACGAATCCTACATCGTAGGTATTTACAATTTTTTACTATAAAATTAAAGGGCATTGATAAACCGGAATTTAAGTCGGCCATATTTGAGGCCCATCGCGGTGTACCTACCTAAGATTTTTGATATGCTCCTTCCTTAGTCTTCTTATTCAAAGTAACCACTAATAAAAAAAGACATAAAATAAGGAAGAATTAGGACATAACCCCAAAAGTTATGTCAAATCATCGAGCTTGACATTTGAAAAGTCATGACACATTTATTATGTGCCATCTGTTTGACAATTTGAAATTGGCGGGCGGAGCTTGCCGACCAATAGTGCCGTTTATCACCTGTGACGTAGTGACCAACCTGCGCAATATCATACCTTGTTTTCTTTGTATCATGGTATTCAATATTCCTCTACCGATGATATTATGAAAATTGGGCGAAACACGTCAATTTACATATCAAGGGAGACAATTTTTGAGGCATTTGATGTCGTGTTACATTCAACCCCTTGACCCCCAAGGCACCTACCCCTAAAATTTTAACAATTTTAATTTTGACAATTTAAAACTCTTTATATTTTTTGTATTTTTATCCCAATGTTCTTTATTACCAAATTAACATTTGAACAAAAATATTAAAACGTTCATTATCAGGTAAAAATAAAGAAATACAATATCTGTAGCACTTTTTTATTCAAAACTAAAGATAATAAAGTACAAAAAGTAATAAGAAAACATAACTAAACAAGTAAAAAACATTAAGGTACAAAAAATCACAACAAACGGAATGTAATAAATACTTAATAAATAAATGGCAAATACAGATACTAAATAAAAATAATATTTATGCAAGACACTGACGTCTTCTCAACTATTGTCCACATGCTATGCATGTTTTTAAAACTATATTAAGTAGCTTAAAATGCAAAAATGAGCGTTTATAATAAATAATAAATAAATAAATAACATTAAACACATACATTCGAAAAATCAATCACAGATCAATAAAAAATAAACAATAACTTAAACATTTATATTTGGTGCAATTGTACTTGAGTATTTGTATACAAAACTTAAAATAATAGAAAATAAATATGAGATCCTTCAAAATAATAACGGAATACTTTTTTTCTTATATATAAAGAAATATAAATACTAAATACATACAGGGTGACACACCTCATTCGCCTCGGTTGATTATACGAAAACGGATAGAATGTAGAAACAAAATGTTTTATGGGTATATGTGGGAAGGCAATGTGCATAATTTACAATTATTTTGAAATATACAGGGTATGTCAGAACTAAGATTCACACCAAAGTTTTATTTTTTCTTATGGAACACCCGGTATTTTATTTCATATTTGGATCTGTGGACACAAAATAAAGCATTTATTATAAGGATTAAATATGTTTACAAGCTTTGGTTTTTGAGATATTTAAAGATATTTAAATATGCATGCTATAATAAAAAAATTGTCAACACCCTGTACATTTTTTTTCAGAATTAATTCTTGTGCTGACTTTTCAGTCAGAGAAATGAACTTTACTGAAAAATTTGATTGCTTCGTTTAATTTATACAGGGGTATCAAAAATTGCTGGCCTATTTTAAATATTTACTTTACATAAAAACTTCGTTATTTCAAATATAACACTTGGTTGGCGACACCAGCCATCTTGATTGCCATTTTATTAAAAAATCGCCTTTTATTTTAAATCTGAGCTAGATAGGTATGGAAACCCGAATATAGTTTGAAAGGGCATTTAAATCTGCTTCTACATATTAAAAAAATACAGAGTGTTGCATTTGAAATAACAAAGTTTTTATGTAAAATAAACCTTTAAAATAGATCAGCATTTTTTGGTACCCCTGTATAAATTTATGGAAGCAATAAAATTTTTCAGTATAGTTTATTCCTCTACCTTTAAATTCAGCACATGAATTAATTCTGAAAAGTAATATACAGGGTGTTGATAATCCACTCAAAAACCAAAGATTTTAAACACATTTAACCCTTATAATAAATACCTTTTTTGGGCCCAAGAATCAAAAAATTAAATACCGGGTGTTTCATAAGAAAAATATAACTTTGGTGTGGATCTTAGTTCTGAAACACCCTGTATATTTCAAAATAATTTTAAAATGTGCACATTGCCTTCCCACATATACCCATAAAATATTTTGCTTCAATATCTTTCCGTTTTCGTATATGATGAACTGAGGCGAATGAGATGCGCCAACCTGTATGTATTTTTTGAAAAATAAAGCCCCTGCTAACGATAAAAATATATTATCCCTACTTAAAGTAGCAATAAAGAAGTATATTTTTGTAAAAAATATAGTAAAAATAAAATAGTATTTCTATGCATCCTATGACGACATTTTTAATCAAAGAAAATTATAAAAGTTGTATATTTATTTTGGTTGACGAGAAAAAGGATAAAAAAAGGACACAAAACGTCAATTTTAAAGTTAAAGCTCTATAACTTCAACTGATTGAAATTATACCGTACGATCGAAAAAAAAAACAACGTCAAAGAAGGCTAGTAAATGACAGTTTTGACATAAAATTAAAAAAAAAAACATTTTTACTCAACATAAAAATAAATTATAAACTTCTCAAGGACAACTGCCTTCTACAACACGCCCTCTAGGGCTTGACCTCGCCAAAATTATCATCGACTGTCATTTACTAGCCTTCTTTGACGTTGTTTTTTTTTTCGATCGTATGGTAGGTACTGAAATTATTTAAATCTTATCAGAGTTAGTGAGAAACTTATATAGCCTCGGCGTTTTCGTTTACTACTATACCGCTGTCAGCATCAGTGTCACTGTGACTTGACTCGGTCTCCTGAGTACTTTTTCTGGTACTGTCAGCCACGACACCGCCTTCAACCGAACTGTCAACCCTGCGCCTTTTTGACACACGACAAATGTCAGAATCTTTGTCGAATTTGGGGTGGTGTTTGAAGGTTTTCACGTCTTCTTGCTCAGAAGGGTGGGCATTTTCGTCGGATTTGTTCAGGTGTTTGAATTTCTTGAAGATCTCGTTGAAAACGGGTGCCATGGTTAAGAATTGTGATCCGACTGTTCTTTCGTAGGCTAGTTTTTGTTTTTCTAATTGGAGGCGTTCTTTCTCTACTTCTAGATTTTCTTTTTGGACTTCTAGCATGTCCTTCAGGATTTTTGATATATCTGGAATAGGAGAATAAAATATTGATATTACATTAATTGATTTTTAGGTAAAATTATATATCTTCCGGTAAAACCATAGATGTCAAGGTAGGAAGATTGAGCATAAACATGTGCAGAAATTCTAATTGATATATAGTGATATTTGATTTTAGTTACTTTTGATTACTCGTTACTAATCGTTACGTTACTCGTTACTAATCGGGCTGAGTATTAACTCAGATAAAACCGCGGTAGTGCCATACACCAGAAAGCGAAGTTTAAAAAACTTGAAAGAATCCGTCTAGATGGAAAGGAAATACTGCCATCACAGGAAGTGAAATATCTGGGAATAACCCTGGATAGTAAACTTCTTTGGAACAGCCATATTAAGAACATTACTAGCAAAGCCACAAAGGCTCTCATGATATGCAGAAGACTGGCGGGAAATAGGTAAAACATTTTGTGCTGGATGTATACCATGATAGTAAGACCCATGATTACTTATGGAGCAGTTGCTTGGTGTACAAAACTAGAGCAACGTACAGCAAGGCAAAACGTGTGCAAAGTACAGAGACTGGCATGTATCTGCATCACAGGTGCCATGAGAACATGTCCAACAGCAGCAATGGAGGTCATTCTAGACCTAACACCACTGTGTGAATGGTCATTGACTAAAACAGTACTGGAAGAATTTTCAGGTCAGGGGCTTGGAACACCCTCAAAAAGAAAATTCTACTTCTCCAACTGTCAGTGGATGACATACCAAGAATTTACAACTTTAAGAAACACCTCACTGTAGTATTGAGTAATAAAAAGCATTGGAAGAAAGAAACGCTTACTCAGCATATAAAAGACAATACCATAACGTGGTATACTGATGCTTCCAAAACCAAAGCAGGGACAGGGATAGGAATTTTTGGGCCGAAAACTAAATATTCCGAACCAATTGGCACCTACCCCAGTATCCTTCAGGCAGAAATTTACGCTATCGAAGGATGCGTATAATTTATCTTAGATAGGAACTATCGAAAACAGGAAATTGCCATCCTATCCGATAGTCAGCACTTATCGCGATCAACTCAGTAACCATCAATTCGAAGTTGGTCAAAGAATGCCTAGAGAAGCTCAAAAAATTAGGCAAATAAAATAAAGTCCTTCTACTCTGGGTGCCTACTCTGCTCACCAAGGGATAGAAGGCAATGAAAAAGCAAATGATCTAGCTAGGAAAGGAGCGAACACTCCACTAACTGGACCAGAACCGTTCTATTTTCCAAACGGGAACCAACTGAAAGCGCAACTGAAGAATCTGGAAGTTTCCATCCGTAACTTGGAATGGGTGTCCTCCAACGGTCCAAGACACTCGAAAAAGTTCCTCAGAACTTACGACCGAGAAAAATCAAAGGTTTTCCTTGATTTAAGTAAAAACAATCTTCGGATGACACTGTCTCCTCAACGAACACCTCAGTAGGCTAAAGCTGAGAAACAACGGCAAATGCAGATTCTGTGGGAAAAATCGGGAAACACCAGAACACCTTATCACTGAGTGCGCCGAGACGACGACCGTTCATGCCATAAATCTCCATCCTCGACATCAGCCGTACCAAAGAGCTGGCCTTTGGGGAGCCGTCTCAGATACTGGCTTTTGTTAAAGCCCTGAGACTGTGCGATGAGTTATAACTCGTTATAACTCAAGAAAGGGGAACACACAATAGAGATCTGTAAGGTCGCGGAAATTAACGCCCCTCCTAAGCATTCTACATTTTAGGCAGATTGTGTACCTTTTAGAGAGTAGTTTTAGGGGAAAATATTTAACACCGTGCTCGACCAGCTTTGGACCAAAAATTGGTCTCAAATGTCCGAAAATCAGTTTTCGTCTAACTCTATAGTTTTCGCAAATGTCTACAAGAAAGATCCTGACACTTTTTTTGTAAAGTCCCGGGAGAACGCTTAAAAACTGCCCTAAAGACAGGGCCTATTTTATCATAAGGTCCATAAGCCCGGGCCTTGGGCCCGGTGGTCTGGGGGGCCCGTTAAAGGTTGTAAAATATTCATAATTTCAAATGTAAATTTACATAGCAGAGAAAAAAACAGTTACCTCTGATAAGGAAAATAGAATTAAATCAAATAAGCTTTAGATTGATATAATTAATGCATTTTTTAAAATTAGAATTAATTGTTGTTTTTTTTATTATTTATTTTGTTGAATATAATAATGTTTATTTATTTTTTAAAATTATTAAAAAAATAAAAATAAAAATAATTGTTTTATTTCTTTAACCCAAACTAACAAGAGAATTTTTGAATTTTATTGGAAAAGAGGGGCCCGAATTTTTGCTTGGGCCTTAGGGCCCGACCAGATGAAAAATAGGCCTTGCCTAAAGAACGGGTTTTCCGCCAATATTGACCGAAATTTGGCATGTAGATGATTTTCATGATCAAATGGAAGATTGGGTCCTAGCTTAAAAATGATCATGTCACTTTTTTTCGCACAGTTGTTCGAAAAAAGAAACCAATTCGACTATTCGTAATTATGCAATTTTCTTTTGTTTACGACACTTTCCAGAAATCTTAAAAAAGCGGAAAAAGTCCTCACGAATAGTTGTTTTTTATTAAAATGTGATTAAACAAATATTTCAGACTTTGTGAGTTGCTTATAGAGACTCTAAGAACAACTGTTAAAACAAAATCTTGAAAAATAAGTTATTTTTAGTGAAAATATGAATAAGTTTGTAAAAATCTGAACATTTTTGGGCTAAAGAATGTTTGCCCGGTTTTTTTATTAACATAAAATATAACAAAATTGAAACAAGTTCCAAAATTTGATAGCTGTTGATTCTATCTTTTAAAGGAACTTCGAATCATCAAAAAATATTAAATTTTAGCCGAGTTATTCAACGATTTGTCCTATCAATCAATGATATGTTTATGAAATCTATCTTCGGAGCGTTATTAAGACTTAGAAAATTGAGAGATATTCGAATTTTTTTTTCACTAAAACTATTTTCCAATAGGTACACAATCCGTCTGAAAAGTCCCGGTCGACGGATTAAGCCGTGGTTTCAACCTTCATTTACTGGACTAAATCCATAGACAAACAAATAAAAAGAGACTGACAAATCCCATGGTAAAGAGTGGGACCGCATTCCCGTAGCGCAACTCAGAATAACAATTTTGAAATCAATTAGCAGGACCATGGCAGGACGTACGTCTTTATTGCTATCTTTCTTTATTATGTGTGCTTTATATGAAAAAGAAAGAGATAGGTATAAAACGTATCGTAAGACATTATCGCACATTCTGGCCGGCGGGAAATTTAAATTAGCCATTATTAGTAGTATTCTTTCATTCTGAAACTGAAAATTTTCACTTAAACTGATTTATTCCCTATACCACGTCAAGGGAATAAATCAGTTTAAAAATACGGTTTCTTTCAATACGAAAGAATACTACTATATAAGGAAATTATAAAAAAGCAAAAATTGTACTGTTTTATAAACATATTTATTTATACATAAAATAATAAACTTTTTTATAATAGAATAACAAAAAATAACAGTGTTTATTCCACCCACCTACCAATTTTAAATGCAGAAGAACTGACTGTTGCAGGAAACGATCGGCCAATTTTTTTAAAGGGCATTAAAAATCTCATTTTCGAAAAAACTGCCTAATTGTAATAAGAAAGTGAATATCCAAGCAAAGAAGATTTTACGAAAATCATGATCCTGAACCATTTTCAAATCCAGTTTTAATCCTAAAACAAAAGTAAAATAGGTATATTAATAAAGTTTCTGGTTACTATAAACCAGCTATAAACTATCCAACCAAAAAATTAAAAAAATTAATTGTAATAATTTGTTATGTTAAGAGAGGTTCGAAATATTTTTGACACTACTACTTCTACTTTTTTCTTAATAAGATGATAAATATTGGTGGGTTCATACAGCCAAATAAAATAAAATAAGAATAAAATAAAATAAAATAAGAAAGTTGGTTATATGGGATACCGTACATGCGTTCATACAGCCAAATAAAATAACAAATAAAATAAGAAGTCTTTATCTTTTAACTTCTGTTTTATTTTATGTAACAACTACGCACGCTTAATTCTAACCTACAAATATTTTCAGTTTGGATTTAATTTATTTATAATTTCACATAAGTAAAATGTATAATATAGTAGGCAACGAATAAATAAATATACTATAAATAGTAAATTACTATAAACAATCGTAAAAGTTAACTTTTATCCAGCCTCATCGTACTGCGCATGAGCAAATATATATTTCTTATTTTATTTTATTTGACTGTATGAACGCACACAAATAAGAATTCCTTATTTCTTATTTTATTTTATTCTTATTTTATTTTATTTGGCTGTATGAACCCACCATATAACTACTTACCTTTATTTTACCGGGTGTCTTTAACATATCTATCAGAGAAAGGGGGCACCAATACATATAAAAAATAGATGATACTAGCTCCTGCAGCAAATAAACAACAAGAACAAGAAACAAATAGTATAACCTAAAATTATAAGTAACAAAATATAAATACCTATATGGAACAAAGTATAAAGTAACTATCCATATTCATAAGTCAATAAAATGGAGAGTTTAGAAAAAAAAGGTAAATCACCAAAAGAAAAATTAACAAACATGACGAATTGTCATGATGTTGTCATCTTGGTTGTAATGATGACGCAAACGAAAGGCGATTGATCTAATTTCTATTTAGAAATTACGTTTTATATGGTTGCTTCTTTCTCTCTTGTTATATTAGAATGAAATAGTGGGCCCAATAGACGCAATGCGCAGATCAACATAAATAGAACGAAATTTTGCGTTCTGTGTTGCGCTACGGGAACGCTGTCCCTCTTTTTGCCATTTAATTTGCCAGTCTCTTTTTATTTGTTGTCTATGACTAAATCTTGATGATTGATGTTTAGGCTCAATTTTATATCTTTCGGTAAAACCATAGATATAGAGATAGGGTGAGTATAGACATACGCAGAAATTCTAAACATGTTGTAACTTAAGTCTACCGGGTGTTTTTCAAAAGTGGCTTACCCCTAGAACTTTTTATTTTTTCAAAAAAAAGGAGTTTTGGTATGTTAGTATATGACACAAATTAGGGGTGGATTTATTGACATATTCAATAGTTTACGGTCACTTCCTGTTTCACCAAAAATGACTACAACTTTTGATTTTTTAATGAGGTATTTTTTTACTTCATTTCATAGAAAATGACAGTCCGAGTAGAATGACTACTTAAAAAACGACAATAATTTAAATTTGTATACTCAGTAGCTTTACACAGGTACGGACGAAAAGTTATTACTCTTCAAAACAGCTAAAACATATGTAGGTGGCGTCCCCTACAAGTAAGAGTTAAAGTCCCTAGATATATAAAGTACCGCAATTACCGCCATATTGGCGCCAAAACTAGCGGCAAATTTAAAAAGGAGGCCAACATTTCGCTGTTTCGGCTTTTTAAGCAGCTGGTCGGTCCGGCGCCAAAATGGCCGGCTCACTGATGACAAGCAAGCCGTAAAATAAAATATTTATTAATTGTAATAGAATTACGTTTATTATCTACAGTTTACCTTCATTTTAACGTAATATCAGGTGGTATATTAATATTCAATTTCATAAATTTAATTTTTTAGGCTTATATATGTTAAGAGGTTATAAACGAATGGTTTCCGTACAAGTGTTTTTCATTTGTATTAGCATTTATTTTGTTACCTTTTAGCGCAAAGTACGCCAACAGAAGTAAGTTAATAGGTAAGAGGAAATAAAGGTGGAATAACATTTAGAATTTTAGTACTTAATTCAGTCGAAACAATTGGAAAAACTTTGTTGATGAGAATGGGATACCTATACCATAAGTAAACTTTCCCTATTATACCAGTTATGCTGTAGTTAGTTTTGACAAATAAGCATGATTTAACGAAAGCCTTTGGAACTATGAATAAGCTACAAACTTATATTTGACAGCCGGCTTTTATACGAGAAAATTTTGAACCATGGTTGAAACAAATAAATGTAATAATTAAATTGATATGATACATACCTGCTATTTTTGAAATATATTAATATATTGATAGAAAGATTGTTTCAATTAGTATTACTTCAGGTAGTTTCGGTATTTTAGGTATGTAATTGTGCATTTAATTTAAAAATAACTTAGAAAGAAGCTTGAAACGCATAAGAGCTCTTTATGTATGCTGTATAATTAAGGTTTGTTATGGAGTGGTTTTTATACAACAAATTTATTATTAGTTGAATAAAAGCAAGTTAATACCACATAATACAATTAAAATATATTTTACTCTGCAATTTAATGTTATATTTTTAAAACAACAAGTGTCATGATGTTTAAGTATCATTATAATAAAAAAGTTATACTGCTATAAATTTAACATTGAAATAACTGTAATTATTGTTATACATAAATTAAGTAGGCATAATTTTACCTCGACAATATGTAAAACTTCAAATGAATCTTAACAATTTTATGTCATGTATAAAAATCAAATTTAAATCACACACTTTTATTTATAACTGACAGTATAAGACCAAATTTTTAAATATAACTTTACATGCTTACATTATATTGTTTACTTTCTATTAGTAATTACAATATGAACCAAAAAATATTAATTACTATCAATAAATACATAAAAACTAATCTATTTAAGTCCATGAAAATAACTATATAGTTAGCATATGCATAAACAACATTCTTGTTATTAGGATCAAATTTATTTGAGCTTTTTTTCATTGTTTTGGTTAATATCCCTGTTAGTCCTGACTGGTAAAACCACCTGAAGCGATGTCATACAAATCTGTATATGTATCATAACATAACTTATTCTATTAAGTAATTATCCTGCCTTTGGTCTGATGATAATATATTGTAGATTTATCTAAACTTCTTACTGCAAAATGTTGAAAACTAAACTACACTAAACATTTTAGGGAATGATTACGTAAAGATTTCACTTACACTACACTTAGCATCCTTTTTAAAAGATATGTATGGTAGTTTGCAAGTAAGGTCTTTGTCTTGTTCTATATTAGATTTCTAGAGGTGGATCTGGGCCTGACCCACTGCGACCTTCCCAGATCTATTGTGATCTTGTCTTGTTCTACAATGAAGTTTTATGTACCAATAGGTTATACTACAAATAAGATTGTTAAAAATATTCACTGGAGCATAAATAAATTCAATCCACTACCTAACCTGTATTGAATATCGACGATGTTAGAAAACACATCAAATGGCGGCCTTTTCTTGTAATACATATTTCTTCACTAAAGATATCGACGCCTATACATTATTAACTAATAAATTTGTAGCATTTTAGTGGTTTTATAATTATTTTAAAATATGTGGATAAATATTTTTATCCTGAAATTGACAGCTTCTCAACATTTGACATGACAAATTCAGACAAATGTGACATTTAAACAGTCCTACCACTACAGTTTTTCCAGAAATACCCAAAAAATCCGCCATTTTGGCGCCAATAACATTGAACAAACCAATTGCGGTACTTTATATATCTAGGGACTTTAGTAAGAGTCACATTGACATCGAAATCAAATTTCCCATGTCAAAAAACTTCCAGACACCAATGAAAAAATCGAAATAAAAATGAAACTTCTACACCCTGTATCTCCGAAAAGAAGCATTTTAAGACATACATTTATATGAACTTTTTTACTTATTTTTATCTGCAGAATATGCTGCCGAAGTTTCTCAAATACAATTCGGACCACCCTGTAAGTAAACTGCCCGTCAAATTAAATACCACAGCGATTTTTTTACTCATATTCAACGAATTGTAACTTTGAAAAAAATGGACCAATTTTATTGATTTTTTTAGCATATTAAAGATCGATTTTCGTAGATTGATCTGATTTTTCTAAATCTTGTATGAGATTTAGTTTTCTATGATATACAGGGTGTGGAAAAAAGGAATGTAATTTTTATAATTTTGTGTTGCTGCCATTTTACTAAAAAACAAAATTTAACTAGAATTATCAGTTCTGGGTATAGCTAAGACTAATATTTCGGGACGTATTTGGAATTTTTACGATAACTCATCGGGAATAAAAGATAATCAATTTTTACTCTAACTTGTATTTTTTCTACCTTTCTCAAGAGATTAGCTAACAAAACTGAAATTAACTTTAAAATTGTAGGATATTCGTTACTAATGTGAAATTAAAAAAAAATGATTTAACTACCGCAGTTTAATACAGGATCTCTTAAAAATACGACCAGCGAAAAAGTAAAACTATTTTTTTAATATTCTGAACAACAGCTTATAAGGTTAATATAAAAGCTCGACACGTATTTGATATTTTTGTAAAAACTCTTTTTGTGTCTAAAAATCTGTAGTTTAGCTGCAACTTAGTAGTTTTTTTTTTTAATTTCACATTGTAAAAGTAACGAATATCCTACAATGTTAAAGTTAATTTCAGTTTTGTTAGCATATCTCTTAAGAAAGGTAGAAAAATACAAGTTAGAGTAAAATTGATTATCTTTTATTCCAGATGAGGTTATCGTAAAAATTCCAAATACGTCCCGAGATATTAGTAGCCTATACCCAGAACTTATAATTCTAGTTAAATTTTGTTTTTTAGCAAAATGGCAGCAACACAAAAATTACAAAAATTACATTCCTTTTTTTCACACCCTGTATATCATAGAAAACTAAATCTCACACAAAATTGAGAAAAATCAGATCAATTTACGATAACCGATCTTTAATAGGCTAAAAAAATCAACAAAATTGGTCCATTTTTTTCAAAGTTGCAACTCGTTGAAAATGAGTAAAAAAATCGCTTTGGTATTTAATTTGACGGGCAGTTTATATAAAATACTTCAATGGAAAGGCAAAAAAAATATAGAAAACAATTAAATATGACATTATTTTTAACTTTACCTGAGTTCAGACCATTCAAATTTACAGGAGGACCCACTGCACAATTCTTCTGTCCCAAGGTACCCCCGCTTCCACCATTTTGTGACGCTTGCACCCCATTAGGCACACCGTTCAATATCAATAAAGGAAAAGGAATAGGCTGGTTATTAGACTTGTTAACTGTTGATCCAGCTGGAATAGCGGAAGGTGGTGCATTCTGAACCTTGGAATTAGTAGTGGGGACGATGGTAGAAGTGGACGAAACGGTAGTTTGTGGCATTTTAGGTGTTTTGGCGAGTAGGTTTGGGGAGATTTGAATTCTGTGGAAAGGGGTTGGCGGAGGCGGTGGGCTTTTGATTGGGGATGACGGTTTGGGGGCTATTTTGATAGGAATTATGTGCTTTTCATCGATTTCTCCTTCGATGATGGTTGGGGTGATCGTTGCCGGGAAAGCTGGGTTTTCTTCGAACTCATCATCAGATCTAAAAATAAAAAGAGACATAAGCCATCATGTACTACACTGAAAAAAAATAATTTGTAAATTTCATAACAATATTGAGGGTTATTAATTTCTTGCCACAGATTATTGTAGTAAATTTACCATCCGTTCTTTAGTTTTACAACTCGTTTGTAAAATAGCTGTCTGGGTTATGGCGCAAAACTCATTGTGAAAATGTGAAAATAATATCGTTCAGCAATAATCATTTAATACTAATAAACTGTTTCGCAAAATTACATTTCTTTGTAAAACTTTTACAAGTTTATTATTAAAAATACTCTAATATATCAATATTTATATATTTACTAGCGTGTACCAGCGACTTCGTTCGCGTCGAATTAATCATTTGTAATGGTGATGATAAAGCAAAGCAAGAATTTTTAGAACCCAACTTTTTGGAACACCCTGTATGATTTTTTAAAAAAAATCAAAATATGTAAAAAAACCAAATAAATTATGCTTGTCCAAGCGTTTTCCCGAAAGACTAACCGTTTTTTATACAACAAATATTGTAATATTTGAGGGGCGTTTTCACCCTCTTGGAATTTGAGATTCGAGAAACCCCTCCTTATCGAACCTCTACACCCCACAGTCAATCCGTTTGCCGAAAATCAGCTTTAAACGTCAAGCAGTTTAAGCAGAATCGTGATTACTCGATGGTAATATTTTATAAAACACCCTATATAAGTTTATAAAAATCTTAAAATATGTAAAACAATAAAATAAAATATAAGTGTTTAAGAGTTTTTCCGAAAAACTCACCGGTTTTTAAATAAAAAATATTTTAATATTTAAGGGATAGTTTCACCCCCTTAGAATTCTAGTTTCGAAAAATCCCTTCTTATCGAACCTGTACACCCTAAAGTCAATCTGTTTTCCAAAAATCAGCTTTTTACGTGAAGCGCTTTAAGCAGGATCGTGATTAATCAATGACCAGATTTTTCGAAACATCCTGTATACATTTTTAAAAAATCTTAAAATATGTAAAAAACAAAATAAAATATACGTGTTTAAGCGTCTTTTCGGAAACTTGACCGTTTTTTAAATAAAAAATATTGGAATATTTGAGGGGTGGTTTCACCTTCTTGGAACTGGAATTTCGAAAAATCATTTCTTATCAACCTGTATGCAAAATTGAGCTTCTTACGTTAAGTGGTTTGAGCAGGATCGTGATTAATCAGTATGTCAGTCACTTAAGGATTTTATATGTATATATATTAGTATAGATGTAAATTTTCAATATTTATATATTTATGTAAATGAATGTAAATTAATCATAGAACTGAATTAAGTTATTTTTGTTTCTTTGACTTTGTTTCTTTTTATGTTATTTAACATACTTTTGAAATAAAGATTATTTATTATTATATATCAATATTTTGCGATTTTTTTAAAATTAATTTTCAATAAAAGCATGATTTTTTAATGAACGAGTGGCTCGCCCCTATAACTTTTTTTATTTTTCCAGATAAATAAACGAAATTTGATATGTTAGTATATGATATAAATTAGGATTGATTTGGCGTATTCAGTTGTTTTCGGTCACTTCCTGTTTCACCGGAAATGACTACAACTTTTGATTGATATACACACACAGCACCCATAAATATCTGCGAAACCGTTAAGAGTTTTTAAGTACTTTGAATAAAAAAATTGTCAATTTTTTAATTCTCCATCTAACAAAAAAAAGTTCACAGTGTTCCATTTAAAAAAAAAACAAAGAAAAAATATTTTATAATTTAGAAAGTTTGGCTTAGTATTTTAAAACACCCTCTATGATTTAAGATTACGATATTTACATCAAAGTAAGTACAGACCTGCTAGAGTAAGTATCTGTGTAGTTTTGATTTCATGACATTTCTTGTATTTTTAATATTTTTTTTTCAAAAAAGCTCAAAAATATATTTTTTATTTACTTATTATTATCTCTGAAACTATCCAAAAATATTTAGTAATATCCTAAGATTATGTAAAATGATCAGAAAGGGAGCTAAAAATGCAATAATATATCAGCCCTAACAACTATATGTTGGGATAAGATAATATTTTGGAATTATTGCTCTGGTTTTTCAAAATGACTGAAAAATATATGTTTAATTTTTTAAATATAAACATAGCCATATATCCTAAACAACTTGACAATATTCTTATGAATTTGTAAATCAATCCATATTTACAGTAGAGGATTTTGTTCATAAAAGGACAAATTTGCTGACAACTAAATGTTGGGACAAGTATTTTTAAATAATTAATATCATCATAGGCGGCTTTGCTAAAACGTCACAAATGTCGCAAACTGTTTACTTCAGCATTGACAGCTTGCAAGTGACTCGATACTGTAAGTATTGAGGTTTACTGTAAGTAATTTTAATTTTTTTAATTTTCAATTTTGTTAATTATTTAATTCAAAGTAATGGTCCGTGGAAAAGCTACAAATCAAAAACTACGCGAAATTATCATTCGTCAATACAGTACGGGAAAAACAATTCGAAAACTTTCTGATGATTTAAGTATTCCAAAAACCACTGTCTTTAATATAATAAAAAAATACGGTGAATCTGCCAATGTAGACGTTAGAGGTAAAAGTTCGTGAAGGCTAAAAGTTGAATCTCAAAGAGATTTACGAAATTTAGTAAAAAATTGCAAGTCTGCGAGAAGAAGTACTCTTCGCGAAGTAACAGTTAAATGGAATACTGTAACTGGTTTAAATATATCAAGAGAATGTTGCCGAAAATATATCCACAAATGCGGTCTGGGGTTTTACAAGGTAAACTTTATTTTGTGTGGATAATCAATTACCTGAGGATTATAGATACAAATTCTTAATTAGGCCAAAGAAAAACCGCTACTGACAGAAATTCAAAAGAAAAATCGCTACAATTGGGCAAAATCTAAATTATCGTGGACACAAAATGATTGGAATAAGGTCATATTTAGCGATGAGTCTAAATTTTATGTTTGCGTTGGAGATCATCGAAAACGAATAATACAAAGTAAAGCAGAAGCCTTTCATAAAGATTGCTTAAAGAGGGTTGTTAAATTTCCTAAGGGGATAATGGTTTGGGGTTGCATGTCAGCAAGAGGTTTGGGCAAATTAAATTTTATAGATGGCACTGTTAACGCCCAAAGATATCAACATATACTTGAGACCTCACTTTTGCCTAGTGCTCAAGTATTGTTTCCAAACGAAGACTATATTTTCCAACAATATGGAGCATCGTGCCATTCAGCAAAATCAACTAAAAATTGGTTCGGTAATAATAATATAAAAGTTCTATCCCATCCTGCAAGTAGTCCGGACCTCAATGTGATAGAAACTGTGTGGCATAAAATGAAGCAATATTTAAGAAACCACCCTCAACGAACAATTTTTGATTTGCGGGCAAAACTGCAGGAAATTTGGGATAATTTTTCTCCTCAAATGTGCCAATCTTTGGTAAATACAATGCCATTAAGAGTTCAGGCAGTTGTTAAGGCGAAAGGTGATGTAACTCCGTATTAAACAGATTTCTTGTTGTGCTGTCCCAATATATAGTTGTCAGCAAATTTGGCTTGATTTTGGCAAAATAAGCTATTATCAAAAGTGATTTATTTGCAAAATTATAAAAATATAGTAAAATTGTCTAGATCATATTGTAATGTTTGAATTTAGAACAATAAACAAAATAAATTGAGCCGTTTTAACAAATTACTATTTTTTATTGCAAACAAGACCTTGTCCCAACATGTCTTGTTGTTAGGGCTCGTACAAGATGTTTACATTTAAAAAAAAGTCATCCCGACCAACACTTCTTTGGGCAACCTTGTCGAAGTTAAAATATTTTCCTGAAATAGATACTAGTTTATTATAGTACTTTAAGTTTGTACTTAATCAAAATTCTGAAGCTCATATTATATGAGCTACAGATGCCTGACGCACTGTTGCAGGAACCTGTATACAGGGTGGTCAGAATTGTACTAGGGAATAGTGTCTGTTAAATTATTGGCACAAAAACATTTCAAATTTATGATTTCAGTCTAATAACTATTTAGTCAACATGTTTAATTTATGTCAGTGATGACAGATATGGATTATTTCAATTCCAAATATTTCGAGAACCATATTACTCGTAGCGATTTTTACCAAGAGATCTTTTTTGCGTAAAAAAAAACGGCGGAAATGTATATTTTTCCACTCAGTTGTTTTATACAGGTAAGGACAAAAAGTTATTACTCTTTAAACCAGTTAAAAACAAGGAGGTATCATATTGACATTGAAATCAAATTTCTCAAGTCAAAAAACTCCTAGACACCAATTTTCATCCAAATATCGACGATATTTCTGAAATTATTTGAAAAAAAAATCGAAATAAAAATGACACCCTGTATCTCCGAAACGAAGCATTTTGGGACATATATTTATACGAACATTTTTACATATTTTTATCTATAGTATATACTGCCGGAGTTTCCAGAGTACAATTCGGACCACCCTGTATATCCTAGAGAAATAATTAAACATAGAGGTACCGAAAAATCACAGTTTTATCTGCTTTTATCAACTGTCATCTCCTGTAAAATGAGTCAAAATTGCAAGATTTAAACAAAAACCCGACCGTTGTATCGACAGATATTTTAAAACTATTCTCGATATTAAATTATTCTAATTATTTGAAATAACTGGCCAATTCAAATAAAAAACACTTCTAAATATTCCTAAAAAAATACTTACCCATTACTATTAGAGGTATAAGACCCGATATCATCGTCAAAATCGATATCCTCAACCTCTTGCTTCACAGTGGTCTCACTGTTCACCTCGCTGAGCAAATTGGGATTGTACACCAAACTCTGCCTCAGGGCATTTTTCCTGCTCAATATCTCATCCATAGATTTATAATGAGGCCAGTCGGGGTCCACTGTACCTATTCCAGCGCCTGTAGTCATCGATTTTTTGATCCTGTGATACAAACACTTCAAATTTCGAATTCTTGTCTTGATTTCGTCGGGAGTTCTGTAGAAGCCGTGCTTCTGCATGTTGGCAGCGATGAGTCTCATCACGGGGGCTTTTCTGTGAGTCAGATAGAGCTTGTTTTGGACTGAGGGACTTCCCCAGAGCTGAATCAAAAGCTTGGTCTCGTCTTCACGGAAATTCGTTGTTCGTTTCTTGGGTGCGTTTCGGAAATCCATCGTTCTGGAAAAATGTATTCGAATTTAGTGATTTTTTAAGTGGTTTTTTGGTAGTTTTGTCTTGAATTTAAAGATTTGTGACGTATACCTATTAAACTGACATACTAGTACCGTGTTTGTACCTTAATTATACAGGGTGGCCCTTCGAAAACGTTCCGCAAGGCATAACGGCCAGGGTATTTATTTTTTCAAAATATTCAACCCTCTAAGCGGGGGTGTCATCCACCATCTTTTTTCAAATGGAAAGGGGGGTCAAGTGGCACCGCAATGAAAAGATCTTTCTATTCTCTATATTTCACCGCTTCGTTTTTGAAAATCGGTCGAGTCATTGAGAAAATATGAAGGATTGAAATTTGAAAAGTTAATTTAAGCATTTATCAGAGTAAATGATAATTAAGACCAATTTGCTGTTTTTTCTTATTATTTCTATATGATTACGCATTTTTTCACTTGCCACAACGTTGAACGATCAGGTGCGGTAGTTGCTAGGTAGCTGTTCTGTGACTTGTACGTTGAAGTTCTTCTCAATATCGTTAAACTGACCTACAATAGAATTTCCAAAAATACCAGCCGACACGTTCAATTTCTGAGGGTTTTGTGTGTGCACCTCGTGAAAAACCCTGGGGATTGTCCCTAGCCCAGTACCGACAGTTGTGCCGATTAACTACACCGTTCAAAGAGAAAGTACACTCATCGGAAAAACACACATTAAATAGGAAATTATTATCATTCGCCACTCGTTCACTCATAGTTTCACAAAATTGCAAGCAACGATCAAAATCGTCTTCGTTGAGTTCTTGTACCAACTGAATTTTGTACGGGTGGAACTTGTGTTTTTTTAATATCCTTTGGAAACTTGTACGATTCTCGCCGGTCTCATTGGCTAAGTTTCTTCTACTCAGAATAATGTCCATGGCAACTTGGCCCAATACGAATACTTCCATAGCTTCATTTACTACAGGATTTTCCCTCTGCCTCTTTTTATTCATAACGGAACCAGTTTCGCGAAATTTTGCTACCAACTCGCGAACAATTTTGCCATAAAGGTGTTTGTCAGGATGGCATTCATTGAATATCTGCGCAACCCGATTGCAAACATCTAGAAATAATAAGAAAAAACAGCAAATTGGTCGAAAGAATTTATACTTATCATTTACTCAAATCAAATTTCAATCCTTCATATTTTCCCAACGACTGGACCGATCTTCAAAAAGGAAGCAGGAGAGTATAGAGAATAGAAAGCCCTTTTCATTGCGGTACCCCTTGACCCCCCTTTCCATTTGAAAAAAAATCGGGGGATGACACCCCCGGTTAGGGTTAAAGATTTTGCAATAATTTTTGGGGCAAAAGTTGTCCTCCTCACAAACAAAATTGACGTGTTTTTGAATTTTCTGAAAAAAAAATTACCCTGGTCGTTATGCCTTGCGGAACGTTTTCGATGGGCCACCCTGTATTCGTTTTAGTAAATAATATCTCGAAATTCCGAAAGAAATTTTAAGAAAAATAAAGATGATGGTACACAAGACAGAATTCATACCGACGTTGATTTTTGGGTGTGAAAATTTGGTATTAACAAATAAAAGATTAAGGAGTAGGAAATGAGCAAAACTGCGATTGTGATTTTAATATTTACCCAACCAAACTATTCGTAAAATGTGTTTTTTTTTCTAAATATGCCAATGAGCCACCCTCGTTGAAAAAATTGAGATATGATTAAAAATACGATTTGGGCATCTATTAACTGGCCAGGACAAGACGCGAAAAACAATAATAGACGATCGAATCTATTTTTCCAAGGCATCTTGATTAAAAATTAGTGTTTTTAACACAACCATGACATTCTAGATTGAAATTTAAAATACATTTTTTTTAGCGAAATGTCAAAAGTTGCCATATGCCATTCTATTGAGACATATATATTTTTTTCCCCTTTCTTGGGTATGAGGTTTTTTTTTATTAATTGAAAATGGAAACTTTTTTTTTATTATGCGACGTTTCGCCTCATAACTTACATTCTTCTATATAGACTGGTGGTAGCAAGGCGGCTGCGGCTTCAAGAATAAAGTGCCTGAGAAAGCCCACCATGATGAGGCGAAACGTCGCATAATAAAAAAAAAGTTTACATTTTCAATTAATAAAAAAAACCTCATACCCAAGAAAGGAAAAAAAATATATAAATGGATATAATTCTAAAGGTTTAAGAAAGAGAAATAAAAATAAATTCTATTGAGAGTGTCATTTTCTATCGAATAAAGAAAAAAAATACCGAGGGTGCCATTTAAAAATCAAAAGTTGTAGTAATTTCCAGTGAAACAGGAAGTGACCGAAAATAATTGAATACGTCAATCAATGCTAATTTATGTCATATACTAACATACCAAATCTCGTTTTTTTATCAGAAAAAATAAAAAAGTTATAGGGAACCACTGTTGAGAAACACCCTGTATATTATGATCGTGACCCTAGAAAAATAATACCTTCTCTATAAATAAATAATATCCAAGACAAAATTCAATTGCCAGTTTACTATAAAATACTTTTTTACCACATCAACAACATTCGCAACAATATAGCAAATCCCAACTCGTAAAAATTCAAACTCGCAGATAGAAATCACGGCCACAGTTTACAAAATCACAATTCGTTCACAAAAAAAATCACAAGCAAAATCGCAAATCGCAGCTATTGTAATACTGGTTACCTAAATTGAAACTAGCAAATAGAAGAAATCGCAATCGCAATCGCAGTTTTCTATGAGAGCCAATCGCAGGTTGCGATTGCGAATTTAAAATCGCTGCTGTTGAATCGCAGTTTGCAATTTTTTACTCATGTCTATTAAAGAGTAAGATTCAAAGCATATGGAAGTGTTGGGTTAGTAGATACGATAATACGATCGAAAAAAAAAACGGCGTCAAAGACGGCTGAGAAATGACAATCGATGGTAATTTTAGCGAGGTCAAGCCCTAAACGTTATTTACTTGGCCTATACTCTTCTCTATTTTTTAATGGCGCTCTTACTGCAAGTTGACCTTAAGAGGGTTGAAATTTATTTTTGAGAAGAAATATTTTTTGGAAATAGATTTGTGTGTCTGGAAACGTTCTTTCCTTTTTTATTCTATCTATTTTTTGACAAGTTGTATGTCAATTTTTAGTAAAAAACGCCTAGAGATTGACTTAGCCAAAATTATCATCGATTATCATTCCACAGCAGTCTTTGACGCCGTTCTTTTTCAATCATACGGTATTTTTGAGCTACGGATTATTATTTTAGTAAGTTCACAATAATACTTGGTAAATTGCCCTCGTAGTATTTAGAAAACAACTTTTCAACGTCCCCTTGTAAACCTAACTTAACTTGCACAAGAATGACTATGGAAATCTGCTGCACGCTGCACAACTATTTTACAGTCTTTTTTGGAAATCGCAATAACGACACTAGTAATTTAAGTTCTGCCACAATAGCTTTCCAGATTTACTACCTCTAAACAGAACCAGTTGTAGAATATATGTATAATAACATAAAATAAACTCAGAAAAATACAAGAAATCCGCAAAATTTCAAATCAAATTCAAATACGGAGTGGTCAGAATTAAAATAGATCAATAGATTAATACCTATTCTTAGGAAAATCTTATCATTTCATATAGACGTAACGTAACACACTATAAAAGGCAACCCATGAAAGATCTTCTTCCCTTTATCCCGCCTATGTACCATAATTTTATAAAAATCGAAGAAAACAATATTAATAGGCAATGTAAAGTCAAAAAATCCCTTAATGACGAAGAGTAATGTACCGATGAACCTATTTATATCTAAAATATCAAATATTTTTAGAGATAAAATGGTTCAAGTCCAAGAAAGTATAAACAAATATTCTTAAAAATGACCACAGTTGTATTTTGAGTTACTTTAGTTTGCGATTATACAATTTAAAATATAATAAAGCATTGCGTCAAGTTTTTTCTTCTCCAGCTTGTTTTATTTTAATTAAGTAACATTAAAAAACTTTAACTATCATTTTCTCCATAATTATCTTCTAGGACTTGATCCAGTTCACTTCTGAAACCCTGATATGTCAAATGAAAAGTCAAAGATAATGCAGGAATACATGGATAGTGTTATACCCTCCTTAATCGTTTTATTTAAAGGTTTTAACTCAACTTTCGATGAGTTATTCTACAAAGTGCATAATAAAACTTCATTACTTCCCCTCGTAGTATTTAGAAAACAACTTTTTAACCTCCCCTTATAAACCTAACTTGGCTTAACTCTTATTGCGTAATATTACAGAAGAACATTAAAAAAATTGCCAGAAAACGACTGAGATTAGCTGTCAATTTTAAGTAAAGTGTCTTAAGTTAATTTTTCAAAAATAGATAAATACAAAGTTTATTTTTTATGAAAATAATCACATCCGATGATACAAATAATAATGTAGACTAGACGTACCTGACTTAAGTCACTGTAGCACTCAGTAACTTCTAGATACGGAAAATTTATATCTAGCTATCGAACGCGTACAGGAAAAGCCGGAAAATTTAACCGGGGCTAAAAGCCGAAAGTATGAGTCGCCCGCGCTATTCTCTAAGTTCGAATAGGCGCTGAACTACGGGGTGCTCAACCACCCTACTCAAATAAAATCGATACTCACCCTTGCTTGGCGCCTGCGCACTTGCTCCGGCCCAGCTTAAGTAGAACGACTGCTCAGTGTGCTTACTCTACTAATTCTGCATCCCCTCTCTTTCTTGCGCCGCTGTGACGTGATTTGGATAGAGCCACGTGGAAACGGTTGGGCATATATCGATCTGCGTCTAACACGCTACGGTGCGGTATAGAGGGCTCTTTGTTTAATACAGTTGCGATTGTCGGCGGATTTCAAAGCCTGCCGCGGTGCTGTGCGAATCGAAATCCTGGCTTCAAGTATTTTTATTTGGGGGGAGAGGGGTAAAAAATATCGGGTGTACTATGGAAATGTTTCGGCCAGAATAAAGCGTGGTCCACACGCAACAACTTATCGTACGATTTCTTTGACTACAGGTCTGGCTAGTAAACATTTTTAAGCTTAAAGTACTTATCACAATACTATATATTTAAACCAAAAACTCATAATACAAAACTAAAGTGTTAAAACGAATGACACTGTCAGAAAATAAATAAATACACTGCTCAAAACAATTATCACATATTTTCTAAAAAAAATTATAAGGGAAATACGATACAATAAGCTTACGCACTAACCTGTAATTTTTAGTCGGCCGACTATTTTGTTGCAAAAGTAAAAACAATACATACTTATGAAGTCGATCGGCCGATTATTTGATTGCATGTAAGCGCGGCTTCATAAGGATATATTGGTTACAAATATGCAACTAAATAGTCGGCCGATTAAAAATTGCCTGTCAACGCATACCCTAAGGCTACGCAGTGTAATCAAATATTGGGCCGATCGGCTACAAGAATGTATTGTTTTCACTTTTGCAACTAAATAGTCGGCCGACTAAAAATTACATGTCAGTGCGTACCCTAATTATTCTAAAAAAACTCACAAGAGAATGGCAGAAAAATGCATGCTTCATTTAGAAATATGTAACAATTATTTTTATTCAAATATGCGATAATTGTTTTGAGTAGTGTAAATGCGGCAACTATACAGTTCTGGCAACACTGGTTTGTGTCCATATAAAACGTTGCCGCTAAAGGACCCCATACACTTCGGTTATTTTGCTCGGATTTAACCGTACGGATAAAACCGCGCGGGTAGGAAGCACGGGCAAGGAACCCACACATACTGTTTCAGTTTGGTCATGGAACGATGGATTCGAAAAACGATAACAGTGGCGGCAAAAATTGCATTAAAAAACACGCACAACTACACCAAGTTTTCATTCTTTGTTATAAATCGAAAATTATATACATCATAAAAATAATTAAAACTTTGTTTAAGCTTGTGCCTTTTAAAAGTTTGGGAACCTCTGAGCAATTAACTGATTTCATATACAAAATAAATATTAATAAATCTTATTTATATTGGTTCAATACATTGTGAAAATTTTCCAATCAATTCCACACGATAATTAAAAACAAAAGATGCTCGATAATAACATCAACAACTTAACTGGTAATTGAGATAAGTACTATAAGTTATTTAATTAGATATCACATAAATTAATCATTTATTGGATAGTCCAAAAAACATCGCTGTCTGTAACGGTATGCAGTGATCGGTTGTGCGATAATGTTCAGTTATAACATGTACCAAATAATTCGTACCAATGAGATTAGGAGATCTAGTGCCTTTCTTGATCAAGATGAAGCTTTTGAGACTACAAAATTACTGTCAAAAAGGACGAGTAGTGATGATGTGAAGTGTAGAAATAAAAGTTCATGTAAGTTCTTAAATATTTGTTTAAGTAGTTCTTAAATTTTGGTTACTTATGTTGAATAATGATTATGATTTATCTACCGGGTCGTGCATCGTCGCGTCGTTGAAGACATAGGAAACCCTATGCAAATTTTGAACTATCCAAATATTGGCATCCCTGTTGATTTTACAGGCACTAGTATCAGAGTGACACTAGTATAAGAGCTAGTATCTAAAAGTGACATTGGTTAGGCACTAGTGCCTAAAAGTGAAAAATGAAACGTTAGAAACAATGAAAATATTTATTTATTATAAATCTTAAACAGAGTTGACGGCTTTAAGGTAGTGGATAACTTCAGGAAATAGGCTATAGCAATACCTTTTCCGTGAAATTCTCAACATGTTTTTCTTTGACCCAGTGTTCAAAGTTGTCGTAGGTGGTCTCGTATACGTTTTGCGACTTCTCGGGTACTAACGTGGATAGCGCAGTTTCAGCAGCTTGTTGAAAATCCAAAGACTCGTCATTATCACTCATTTTTTCAAAAAACTTTGGAGGAAATACGGCGACGTTTGAACCTGACAAAACTTTGTCATTAAACAATGCATAAACAATGCCTTAGAAACCGATTACCAGAACATTTTGAAAAATGTTTAAAAATAAGGTGTTATAAAAGTACGCAAGATATACACTATATAATTAAAGGTATTATTAAGAACCATTATGTAACCAATAATACGACAAGTTATATAATTGTTCCCTCAAATCGTTTTTTTGCACCTTGCAACCTGTAGTTACCGAATATCAAACCTAATGACATAACCTCAAATTTTTAATATAATCAAAACAAATAATATATTAGCAAGCAAAGCAATTCGGTATTATTATGAATAATAAAAAAATAAACTGGACAAAACACAAAAATACATCTACGTTCAAAAGAAAGGTTCTTCAGAATTTAAAAATATAGCAATAATCCAAACCTCATTCAAACTACATCTACCAATACTGAAAGCCAACATGCAAATTTACCATCCACAAGCAGAGATCAGGATCAACCTGAGATATTTCCAACAGAAAGTTGCCAAAACGATCAGGAACAGGAAGATGCCTGGTTAAGGCATTCTCTAACATAAGAGAATGAGCTTTGCACTTTAACATTACACATTCTGCACTTAAAGAACTTTTTTCTATAGTCAATTCATTCATAACTGTTCTACCAGAGTACCAAAGGAACCTAGGACTCTTTTGCAAACACCTACCACTTTAAATATAGATCAAATTGAACCAAAACAGTAATATTTTAATTTTATGAGGTTATGTTTTGTTTTCTGCACATTTTCTGTCAAATTGCTATAATGTCAAACTTCGTTCGCAGGGAGTCGCTACAGTCGACACCACGGTTTACATAAAGGTTTTCTGGGTGACTAAAAGTAGCCATAAACACCCCGGCATTTATAATGATGATTTGTATCACCTTTAGTTGTATAAAACACTAAAATTGGTGTTTTAAATAACCCAAACTCATTTACGCAACCTTAAGTAACCAAATTTATATAATGGTTGATGAGTATGTTATAGACCCTAAAGTAATATATAGCACTTTAAATATAATGGACGCCATTATTATTGATGTCTTCATTTTTGGCTACAATGAGTATTTCTAAGATAACGTTGAAAACTGGTACAAAACTATTTTTTGGCCAGTGGCCAGTTATTTCTATGTATTAAAAAGTCGTATGTTCTATTATTTATTTTAATAAATTTGACTTTCATTACAAAAATTTTACCATATTTTTTTTTGTTTATAAAAAAATCTATTAAATAATTCTGCTTTTGGGGGCGCATGTGTTTTTTGGAGGTAAAATTGATTTTCACACAGTAAATTTAATATCGCATATGTATTTTGTACTCTGGCTAGGCACCATAGATTTTATTAAGCCAGTAATTTCTATAAAGTCATTTGCATAACACAAACGCTTTTGTAGGCTATGACAAGGATGGCATTATTTTGTCTCTTGTGTCTGGTCTGGATTATCTGCGTAGGACAATTTGGAGCAATAAGATCATATCTGCTTTTTATGTTAAAAAAAGAGGCAAATATTAAAGTAGTTAGTCAGAAAGAAACAAGTTTATTTTCAAAAAACGCGCATGCGCGATATTTCTATGGAGGTAATCTCTGGGAATCTTCTCAACACCACTATATAACTATTATATACCCTTTTTCAGTTTTATAGCGGTAACTCGATAGGATATATAAAGGTGTTGAGAAAGTTTTCAGGACTTTAGTTGCACACCTTGAGTGTTGAGGATTACCACAGGAATAAAATGGACCGTTTAGGGCATATAAGTGTTATATAATGGTTACCAATAACGTGTTGGGAAGTTTCCTAACACACTTATAAAACAAAAAATGTTTCTTGGGAGAAAACGTACTTTATATTTTCTGCCGTTGTCAGAAGCAGAAGCAAATAAAAACAGAAAAAAAATTAAAATATCTAAATACAGCTATTCAAAAACAACCCTCAGTTGTTAGCAGATACTTTTGTCTAGTATAAACCGTTGATGTTCTGTTAAAATAACATTATATGAAAAGCCCTTCCTCCCATACGACCTACAACGTACAATCTAGTGAATTTACTGAATAAATTATAAATATTCTCACTTTCATCAGCTGCTGAATGACGTTCTTCTATTATCGTCGAGTCTGACTGTTTTTATTAATGAATATATTGTTTTCACTATTACCTTGCAAAATTTCAGCCTTCAGAAATCACTTTGAGTGACAAAATTTTTTTGACAGCGCGTTTGAGGTGGCGCTGACACTTTGTGTCCTCATTCTTCTCTGTCTGACTGTAATATTTTTGTTTTACATCGCATTCGAATGTTATCTACAAATTTTCAGCCTTCAGAAAACAGTTTGGAGGTGTTAGTTAAAATTTCATCTTTCAGCGCTTTTCAGCGCCAGGTGTCCCGGAACAGGAACGGCTCACTGTATCTTTGCTTTTTAACAATAAAATTCAATCGATTTTGAAAGTATGAGCCTTCAAAAAACTCTTGCATGTTTTTGCACCCAGCTCTTAGACTATACTCTGTTTTTTTTCTCAGGTAAGATTTCGACAGACGATGACAGAAGAAAAGCAGATGACGTCCCATACCAATCTATTTATTTTACTAAAAAAAGTTTCTAATAATTTTTAAGTTATCTATGGATGGG